CTTCACTGCCTGGTTGTTTTTTAGCTTTGAACCCTGAAAAGATAACTTTGTGTCCCTTCCCCTTTGGCCCTAAGCACATACTCATTGAATTCAGATCATCTGGCAGGCCCTATGCCCTCATGCCCTCATTGATAATACTATAGATCACCACTCCTGGGAACACAACTGGCACAGAGGATTTTGAGCTGTTTTTGGAGTTAAGGTTCTGCTGAGCTGTTGATATACTTGGTCAATTTTTGTACAACAGAAAGCTGCAGGAGCCGATACAGTTGGCGTAACTTTTTTTGGAAGTTACTAACTCCTCACATACGTGTTAAGGGTAATACAATCATATGCAGTGGTCTCACTCCTGCCCTGGCTACAGGTATATCCTCTAAGACACATTATCATAAAATGAAATTATATTGAAAACAAATTTATAACTGGTACTTATTCCTTATGCCTTACATAGTCCTTGTCACTTATTAGGCCTTCAGTTCTCAAATGTAATAGCTACTATTTTATTTTCATTTCAGAATCACTGCAGAAAGATATAGTGAGGTTGCAGTGTTCAAATGGTCTATTTTAGTTAAAATCTACATTAAGGAAACAAAAAAAGTCATAACTAAAAACACTTAGTTTAGCCTGCCAAAGTGATATATTTTACTTGTGTTTGTTTATTTGAGATGGAGTCTTGCTGTGTTGCCCAGGCTGGAGTACAGTGGCACAATCTTGGCTTACTGCAACCTCTGCCTCCCAGGTTCAAGCAATTTTCCCTGCCTCAACCTCCTAAGTAGCTTGGATTACAGGGGCCCGCCACCATGTCCAGCTAATTTTTGTATTTTTAGTAGAGACAGGGTTTTGCCATGTTGGCCAGGCTGGTCTCGAACTCCTGGCCTCAAGTGATCCATCCGTCTTGGCCTCCCAAAGTACTGGGATCACAGGCATGAGCTACCATGCCCAGCCTATTCTTTTATTTTTAATATTGGTTTTTCTAACAGTGATTTTCTTCTGTGGTTTAACACTACCATGAAGGTCGTCATCTTCTATTTATTTAATTAATCATTCCATAGACAATATAGGCTGGGCATGGTGGCTCATGTCTGTAATCCCAGCACTTTGGGAGGCCAAGGCAGAAGGATCATTTGAGGTGAACTCCTGGGAGTTCAAGACCAGCGGGCAACATAGTGAGACGCCCCCCAGCTCTACAAAAAAAATTAAACATTTGCCAGGCGTGGTGGTGCATCTGTAGTCTCAGCTACTCAGGAGGCTGAGGTGGCAGGGTCACTTCCCCCCCGAGAGGTCAAGCCATGATTACATCACTGTACTTAAGCCTGGGTGACAGAGTGAGACCCTGTTAGGTTAGAATATTTATTTTTAAAATTTTTCATTTACCTTAAAATTTTTTTTTTAACTTTTTAACTTTTTTCATTTTTGAGATGGAGTCTCGCTCTGTCGCCCAGGCTGGAGTGCAGTGGTGCAATCTTCACTCACTGCAACCTCTGTTTCCCAGGTTCAAGCGATTCTCCTGCCTCAGCCTCCCAAGTAGCTGAGATTACAAGTATGAGCCACCTCACCCGACTTCTTTTTTTTTTTTTTTTGAGACGGAGTTTCGCTCTTGTTACCCAGGCTGGAGTGCAATGGCGCAGTCTTGGCTCACCGCAACCTCTGCTTCCTGGGTTCAGGCAATTCTCCTGACTCAGCCTCCTGAGTAGCTGGGATTACAGGCATGCGCCAGCTAATTTTTTTGCATTTTTAGTAGAGACGGGGTTTCACCATGTTGACCAGGATGGTCTCGATCTCTTGCCCTCATGATCCACCCGCCTCGGCCTCCCAAAGTGCTGGGATTATAGGTGTGAGCCACCGCGCCCAGCCCTGACTTCTTTTACCTTTACTTTTTTTTTTTTTTATTACCACACTAGTCTACACTGTCAATATAATCTAGTAATATTCTTATTACTGAAATATTCTAGGGGTTGGGCTTCTGTCTAGCCATAAAATAGACTTTTGGCCTTGATTTGTTCCTTAAAGCTTCATTATAATGCAGATCAGAATGGATTACAATGGGTACAGATCAAGCAATGAAAAGTGGATTATATATTCCTGCAGACATAATGTTGTAATTAAGGATTAAAACACTACTAAGGACTTCTCATTAAATAAGTCACATAGCTGTAGTCAGTAATATAACTAAGCCCCTAAAATATAAAACAATGTTCCATATTCTATAAAATGGATATAAACATACTGAATACATTGATTATGCAAGTTCCTTCCAAAGTATAATAAAGTATAGTACAGCATGCAGAAATTTTAAATTTTGTAATTTCTTAAGCACCTACTATATGCCAAGCATTGTAGGCAAATCAAAGTAGTCTAAGCTCTTGAAGAGCCTGGCGACTAACAAGGGGTAACACATGTACATAGTAACTATAATTTGAGGAAGGGTGAGAATAGTGATAGAGCCAAAGAACAATGTTAGATGAAGGGGAGATTCCTTTTTTAAGGTCAGGTTTCATGGTAGAACTATCATTCCTTTAAGTATTTGAAAAAGTGAAGATGATGGAAGTGAAGGCAGAAACGAATGCATTTTGCTTTGAGAAAATGACATGAGCAAAGGCATTGAAGTGGGAAAGAACACATCATAACAATAACATAATTAAGAGCTACCATGAATTAACTACTTAGAGTATGTACCCTTTTAAAATCCTTGTGTCAGTCCCGTTAGGTAAGTGGCTGTTGTTATTGCCACTATACAAATTGGAAATTGGAGTTATATGAGAGGTCAAATAAGTGACAGAGACAGGATTCTAACCTAACTGTCTGATTCCAAAACCAGTGTTCATGGTTGCGATACTGTAGTCTTTACATTCAAGAAATAGCAGATAATACGGTCTACCTGGAGAATAGAGAGAGAGAGAGAGAGAGAGAGAGAGAGTGTGTGTGTGTGTGTGTGTGTGTGTGTGTGTGTGTGTGTGAACTGGATAGTCTTCTGGGAAAGGATTTGTAGAGGGTTTTTAAGAGGCAGTGAAAATGAACAGAAAGGGATAGTTGAAAAGTTTGGTGGAGGAGGGCGCAGAAATAATACACAACTGATTGTTCTGGGGATTGCAGAGAAGGGGGAAGTTAAAGGTGCCTGAGGTTTCATGTGTGGTTGCCTGAGGATAGTGGCATCACAAACACAAATAGAAAAGTGAGGAGAAGAAAGTGTTTTGGGGGGGTGGGAAAGGAAAGATGGAGCAATAATTTTGACTGTAGACATGTTGCATTTAAAACACAGATGAAATACACCATTGGAAATTTAGGCGACAGATGTGACTTCTCATTTTAAGAATTCCTCTGGGTTAAAAGGAAGACCAGAGGACAACAACTAGAGTTTGCTAGGAGCTAAGACTTTATCAGAATTGACACCGACTTCAGTGGGCCTTACCTTCCCTGTATCTCATCAACCTGTGTCCTGACATCACTCAAATCACCTCACTTCATAGCGCCTCTATGACCACAGCTTCCTTTACTAATACCTCTGCTGTTCTTATTTCACCTGCTCTCCATTCTCCCTGTGATCCCTTGATACCTCTGAATGCACCTAGTTCAACAAACAGTCCCTCTCTGTTTTCATCTTCCTTTCTCTCTAGTCAAACCTCTGGCCATTCATTTGAATTCTGACCTCTCTGGCATCTTACTGTACCTCTTTCATAGATACTACCTTTCTCCCCTCCATTCCAAATCCAAAGGATCATTCTCTTAACTAGTGAAGCCTTAAAGGGTAATGAACTGTAAACCCTCCAAATCTGAGACAGGTCTCGGTGAATTGAGAAAGTTTATTTTGCCAAGGTTGAGGACATGCTCTCATGACACAGCCTTAGGAGGTCCTGATGACATGTGCCCAAGGTGGTCAGAACACAGTTTGGTTTTATACATTTTAGGGGGACATGAGACATCAGTCAACGTATATATGATGAACACTGGTTCAGTCTGGAAAGGTGGGACAACTGGAAGCAGGGAGGGGTTTCTAGGTCATAGGTAGATAAGAGACACATGGTTGCATTCTTTTGAGTTTCTGCGTCTCCAAAAGAGGCAGTCAGATAGACATTTATCTTGGTGAGCAGAGGGGTGACATTCAATAGAATCTGAGGCAGGTTTGCCCTAAGCAGTTCCAGCTTGACTTTTCGCTTTGGCTTAGTGATTTTGGGGGCCCAATATATTTTCCTTTCACAGAACTTATAATCATAATTATTATACTGTCCCTATTAGCTCTAGAGGAACTATCCTCTTCAATGGGAATTAGCACTGTAAAGAGTCCTGGCCTTAAAGGAACCAAAGCAGGCATATCTTGTTAGGCTTTGTGCCTGAAACCTTTGGTACTCTTATTGGATAATATACTCTAGAAATGAACGAAGCAGGTGAGATAGGCTAGCTTATGTCTTATTTCCAAACTTCTGAAGTGTGCAGCATGAAGGGAGTTGGCATGGAGACATAAAGCAGAAACAACTTCAGAGCTCCTTTAAGGTGACAGTGTACAGGGCTACTGCACAGGCATCCTGCGTCTTCCTGAAACCAGTCCTGTGTGTAAAATCCAGCATCAGTTAGGGACTTTGAGGCAGCACTAGTCTTGACTGGAAACCCTGGCTCTCCTCTAAACCCACACTTTTGTGGCTCCTGACTAGCCTCAGGGAAGCCGCTTTGCAATCAGCACCTTCTGTCTGTAGCTGAGAGCCCTGAGATCTTCATGTACGTAGCATGGGGAGCCAGCAGAGGGTGGTGTTGTCCCAGAACTTTTTTAGAGCTTCTAAGAAGTTCTGATTTTGAAAAAGATCTTCCTAGGCTCCATGCGAACGTCCCATGCAATAAGACTCTAACTCTTGAGATATGTGAGAATTTGGTGCCAGACCCCTGGTGTGAGCAGATGGGAAAGCTACTGCATAGCTGTTTAAACTTGGAAGCCGCAGGAGCTCTTGATTTCAAGGAAACGCCTGTTTACTGATCCAAATCAAACAACTCTTGAGAAATGGGAGTGCCTTCCTGACCTCAGTCTTTATTGATCTTGGTATCAGCACCTCTAGTGACGTGTCCTGAAGGGTGGGAGAGAATTCACAAGTGCCTCACACATAGGGAAAGAAGAAAGTCCAACTATTGCTGCAGAAAGTCCCCACGGGGAGGTGTGGGTAGAGTGTTTGGGTAGTATTAAACAGTGAGTGCCCCGTGAGAAGCACAGTGCCTGGGTGCCGCACTTTGCATCAGCTCGGATATTGAAATCGGAAACAGAAGACTTTGAAGTCGGCCAGTAAGGGATTGTCAGGCAGTTGACTAATGCTTTTGATTTGAATCGGAGGCTGCTGTGAAAAGGGATGCAGCTTCTGCTAGCCACCGTGAACTTCTGAATCTCACTAGGTTTGGGTCTGCTTTGGGGGACACAGATACCCCCGGTATTTCCAAACCAGCTTTCCCTTTTGCGTCAGGACATATCTTACCCAAGCCTGCACTATGGAGCAGTGGGACGGTAATGAGGGCACCTCGGCTTTCCACATGCCTGAGTGGATGGTGAGTTCTTTGGTCGCTTTGTTTCTCCTTCTGTTTCTTGATAACGAGAGGCAACCATTTTTGACAGGTGACAAGGATCACCTGTAAGAAGCTCCTCTCAAGATCCGTGGTTGGAAAAACAGTTATTACTCTAATTTCTGATTAGTTCCTAGGTACTAGGTTGCCACTGATTCTTATTTATCAGAGAAGCTGGGAAAGGTGTGAGAGTTGCCTGGCCAGGGCTTGTTGCCTGGGTGTCTGTGGTGGGTGGGGGCTTTCCTCCTGCTGCTGGTGTGATGTATGGGGTGTGTTTCCTGTGACTGTTTTGCCCTTCTGTTTTCAACCTGATGCTTCATTTGTTTCTCTCGGGGTACAGAAAAATAACAATGAGGAGAAAAAACAAAAACAGAACTTACAGAAACGGTGCTCTCTCAAGTCTGAAAAGATTTCAAACATTTCTCCCCTCCTGGGCCGTATTTTTCCCTTCAGTCACAACATTTCCCTATTTTCCCCCAGCTATTCTTTATATTTATATTTCTATAAGGCAGGAACTGTAGCTCTCTTGGTATAGTTCTTCAGAATACCGTATTTGTCTGGTCAGTAGTTTTACTATAGTGATAATAAGGACTTATCTGTTGATAAGAACTAGCATATAAACCTGTTATATTGGATCCAGTTTCAACTTTTAATTTAGAAACAGTAACCTTCCTTATGTTTCTAGATGGTTCCTTCTAGATTTAGCCTGATTTCTTACAGCCTATACAGGTTTATGTTTATTGGTTTGTGCTTCCCCACTTTGGAAAACTAGTTAGACTCTTTAAAACATATTTCAAGTTCTTTTTAGTGTTTATAGAATTACGGACTTGAAGAAATAACTATTGATAATGAGATAGAATATACAGTAGGCCTAACAAAGGCCCAGCTGAGGAGCTTAAATTTCAACTCATTGTTACAACTATTGTTTATTATTTTGGGGGATGTTATTGCTGTTCTTCTTAATGTTGTTTCAGAACATTGTGTTCAGTTTGGTTTTTTTTTCCTAATTTTTATTTTGAGATGGAGTCTGGCTCTGTTGCCCAGGCTGGAGTGCAAGTGGCGTGATCTCAGCTCACTGCAACCTCCGCCTCCTGGGTTCAAGTGATTCTCTTGTCTCAGCCTCCTGAGTAGCTAGGATTACAGGTGTGCACCACCACACCGGGTAATTTTTGTATTTTTGGTGGAGACAGGGTTTCACCATGCTGGCCAGGCTGGTCTCGAACTCCAGGCATCAGGTGATCCACCCACCTCGGCCTCCCAAAGTGCTGGGATTGCACATGTAAGCCAGCATGCCCAGCCTTGTGTTCAATTTTAAAACATTTGCTGGAAAGAAATACTATCCATCTGCAAGCTTATTCCAAGTAATGTATTGTTTTAGAATTAATGGAAGGATTTATTTAATAATTCTGATTGGGTTGAGTTTTTTTTAATCTCTTGCTCCTTGCTAATAAAAAGAAGGGGGAAAAAGAAATTTGATTTTCTTAGGGGAAGGGCCACATTAAGGTATCGAACTTTGGTATTCCTATAAAGGAATATTTCAGAAGAATTCTTCTGAACATTAGTGTGCCAACTTAGAATCAATCCAAGTTTTTTAGTAATTCTTATTGCTGCCTTAGTCCTCAGCGTGTTACGTGCTTAGCATATCCCCTCAAAGTTCAGTAGCAGCTCCTACTGAACTTTCACCCATCGACCTTCTTTCTACTTATGTGATCAGGAGAACTGCCCTAAAGGAGTTGGTGTGACCACTGCATAAGGTATATGATCTAGGGCTTCCCAGCCTTTAGAAAACACTCTTTAGTAAAGCACAGCTCTTCAGTGTTTAGAAAACATTCTTTAGTTTTTTGGTTGGTAAAAAACTAAAAAATTAAGAAAAGCACAGCTCTGTCCGGGCACGGTGGCTCACGCCTGTAATCTCAGCACTTTGGGAGGCCGAGGTGGGTGGATCACATGGTCAAGAGATCGAGACCATCCTGGCTAACATGGTGAAACCCTGTCTCTACTAAAAATACAAAAATCAGCCAGACATGGTGGTACGTGCTTGTAGTCCCAGGTACCTGGGAGACTGAGGCAGGAGAATCGCTTGAACCCAGGAGGCGGAGGTTGCAGTGAGCTGAGATCGCACCACTGCGCTGTAGCCTGACGATAAAGCAAGACTCCGTCTAAAAAAAAAGAAAAAGAAAAGCACAGCTTTGCTCTGCATTGCTCTGTTTTTAATGAGATATTGCTCTCATTTAGAAATTTCTTGGCCATTCTCTCTTAAATAGCAGGAAAATCCCTTTGCTCAGTGGTTTTTTGAACAGCAATAAGAAGGAATAGCGAGGGGCTAGTCTTCAATAACACGATTATCTCATTTGCTAGCTTTTCCTTGCCAAAGACTTTTGAGGCTTTCTTTTAGGTACCACGTAAGTCATTGACTTCTGACTTGGTCTGAAAGTACTTCATCAGGCTGCTGCCGATACCCACTTAGCCAAGAAAGCTAACCTCTGAGCACCCTCTAGTGTATTGCCTATAGCTTTCCAGATCTTACTTCAGAGAAGTTAAAGTGCCTTTTAATCCCCAAGAAAAAAAAATCCTTGCTCCAGCTCCCATATTGGGCCAAAATTTCAAGTTAAAGTTTTAACAAGTATCTGACTCATGTTCCCATTTACATATTAGTATAATGAAATTTTCACTGAAACTATCCCTGCCACCAAAGGAAATATGAGAAGTCTCTCAAATATTCTTTCAGGAGAAAAATTTAGCAGAGCAGGTATATTACAACATCTCCCTTTCTGTTAAAAATCACAAACAAAAAGGGACTTGCATATCCCTCAGAGAACAGGACTCAAACCACATATAAAGCTGACAGTACTCACATCTTTGATTCCCAGCAGGGAAATAAGCCAGGATGAAGCCTGAAGAACCCCAATCTCAAGAATTGCCAAGGTAGACATTCAGGGTTACGTTCCATCAGTCACTGGAAAACTTCTCCTGGAGCCTCTGCTCCTCAGCTGTTTTCATGTTCAGGCAGTGTTATTGCTGAAAGGTTGGGGAACACGTCCTTTTAAAGATTGTCTTTATTAATGTGTTCTATTTCCCCTGAGCGCTCTTTAGTCCCTTCTGGAAGTAACCTTGTCTAGTATGCATAGAGATCAGCAATCATTTTTTCTGTGTTTCTACATTTTAATATTTCCCCCTCCTCCTGCTCCTCCTCCCACTCCAGCTCTCTGTAGCGCTTGGTACTTTTCCATAGAAAATCTGGTGGATTGACTTTCTTGAGTACCCAGACAGCTTGATGCCCAGTATTCTTTTGGTTAGAAGTAATCCTTTTCATAGCTAAAGGGTTAGTTCAACCTGCTCATTTGGCTTGGAAGAGAGAGGTGTTTTGAGGAATATCTGAACCATATCTACTTGGAAGTAGAGACAAATCCTTCAAAGTATCTGATAAATGGTGGTAGAGGTAGCTTGACTATAACTCTAGGTCAGGATTGGCACTTAGAAAGCCATTTGGAAAACTGATGAAAACTATGGGCTCTCTCCCCAGAAAAATACAAACACAAAATTTTGCATACTGTTTTAGGGGGTTCTAGACATCCACGGAATCTAGGTTAAGAACATTTAATCTGAAAGAATAGAAATATTAATATTTTAGGCTTGTATATCAATATGTACAAGTTTTCAAAACCCTCTCACATTATCTTATTATCTCAGCATACATTTTAGATAGGCAAAGTAGATATGATTATCCCCATTTTAGAAATGATAACAGACCTTAATCATTTATAGTATTACTTTATGTACTTGAAAAGGAATTAATTGGTTTCTCTTGGCCTGGTCCTCTTTAGGATAAACAGATCTTCTGTCCTCTCCATGAGTCCTGTTTTTCTTAATGTATTACCTATCTCTTCTTAAGAGCCTTAAGTTATGGAAATCAGAATTAGACCCAGTTTTCTTTAGACACTGTGTTGGGGGTAAAGAAAGGATCACCTCGGCCAGGCACAGTGGCTCACACCTGTAGTCCCAGCACTTTGGGAGGCCAGGTTAGGCAGATCACCTGACGTCAGGAATTTGAGACCTGCCTAACCAACATGGTGAAACCCCATCTCTACTAAAAAATGCAAAAAAAATAGCCAGACGTGGTGGTGTGCGCCTGTAATCCCAGCTACTCAGGAGGCTGAGGCAGAATCACTTGAACCCTGGAGGCGGAGGTTGCAGTGAGCCGAGATCGCACCATTACACTCCAGCCTGGGTGACAAGAGTGAAACTCTGTCTCACTAAAAAAGAAAAGAAAAGAAAGGATCACCTCATTGTGTTATCTGACCTTTCAAATAACCTTTACTTTTCTGCCTGTGAAGGTGCATCCATGGTTATAGCCGTGGTTAGGATAGAATGGTTGGTTAAGGACAGTCAAGAGAATCAAGGCTGCTTTACTCACGCTTGGAGAAAGTGTTAGAGCAGTGGTTCTCAAAGTGTGGTCTTCAGACCAGAAGCATCGGCGCCACCCGGCTGACTATCTCAAAACCTGGGACTTAACCAGAGAGTTGGAAGCTGAAAAAAATTTTTTTAATTACAAAATAGGAAAGCTTGGGTCCCCTCCAGACCTAATAAGTCAAAAACTCTGGTGGTTAAAATCCAGCAGTGTGCTTTAATAAGCTCTCCAGGTGATTTTGACGCTGCGAAAATTTGAGAATTACTGTAATCGATAAAAACTTTTTAAGTGGTAAGGCTTTTCCTGTCACTATCTTAAAATGTCTTCTGGTTGTATTTGGTATAGCTATGCCAGTCCTTCTGGCTCAGGTTATCTGACTTAAGTCATTGGACCAAGGAGTTCTTTTTACCTGAGTGAGGGAAATGGGAACCAGTTTAGTACATGTGTACTAGGGTAGACATTCTTGTTAGAAGACGCAGAAGTTTAGAGATTCATCAAGCAAGCAAGTGATCTATCTCATTTAACGAAATGATGAATAAGAGATCAGAATTGCTGTGGGTGATGGTGAGCATCCATGTTTGAGTTCAATTAATTTCTGTTTCCATTTCTGGTAGTGGCATTGGGCAAAGTTGCCACTTAAAGAGCTGAGTTCTAATTCTTATATAATTAGGTGTTTTTGAATTGTGACTTGATCAGGGCCCCAAGATTATCCAGATGATGTCATTTCTAAGATGTAATCTGATATAAAAATGAATTTAAGGAATAATTTTAAGTTAAGCAAATTTAAAGATAAAAGAAATGATTTGGGGCTAGTACGTCTAGGATTAAGGCCAGGGGAGTTCTTTGGTCTGATTAATATCATAAGGTATGGTATAGTAGATAAGAGCTTTGGCTCTGGCATAAACATAGGCTTGAATTCCAGTCCCATTGCTTACTTGCTGTGAGACCTTGGACAAATCATGTGTTCTCTCAGAGTTACTCTTTCCTGCTTTGTCAAGTGAGAATAATACTGCATACTTCTTAAGAGTTTTGTACAAATAATAGAAGTAACATACACAGAACTGTGAATATAGGCACTTACCAAACCTTTCTCGTCCAGAGAAGTCAGTAACAGTAAGCAATATGACCTTTTCTCTCTAAATAAAGATTATCCTTAAAAAAAGAATCTGCCGGCCAGGTGTGGTGGCTCAGGCCTGAAATCCCAGCACTTTGGGAGGCCGAGGTGGGTGGATCACCTGAGATCTGGAGTTCGAGACCAGCCTGACCAACATGGTAAAATCACATCTGTACTAAAAATACAAAAAATTAGCTGGGTGTGGTGGCACATGCCTGTAATCCCACCTACTTGGGAAGCTGAGGTAGGAGAATCACTTGAACCCAGGAGGCAGAGGTTGTAGTAAGCTGAGATCATGCCATTGCACTCCAGCCTGGGCAAAAAGAGCAAAACTTCATCTCAAAAAAAAAAAAAAAAGAGAATCTACCATTTTATGTCCCTTCCTGTGCTCAACAGGAAGTCTTTTAAGTAAGAATTCACATCACTTTCCCCCAATCTCTGTAGCAGACAGTTAAGCATAGCTTTCTTCTTCACTCTCTCTTTCAGAAATCAGCAAATAGATAATGTGATTCTTTGCCCTTTTGCTTCAGTATTTGGTATGTAATAAGGTTGTTGTGATTCTGGGGACTCTGAGGAGATAAGAAACTTCCCTTTGTAGTCATACCGTCCTTGAGCACACATTTTGTGAAGAAAGTAAACTGGGTCACCCTATACCAAATCAGCAACAATCTTGAGCTGGGACTAGAAACCAAATGTCAAAACCTGTGTAAAAGATGCACAATTCAGAAGAAGGCAGTGAACTGAGAAAACTGATTTCCTTGGTGACAGGGCTGAAATCAGTGTCCCCAGTCTGGCTAATCCAAGGACACAGAGTGTAGGGTAGGGACTGCCTGAGTACTTGGCACCATTAATTTTTTTTCCTTACTCTTTTAATAAAGTCTCTCATTGTTTTAGTGGTTCTGTAGTTAATTTTTTTCTAATGAGACTAGGTTAACTAAAATCATCTGATGTGGAAAAGGAGGAGGTAAGGTTAAAAAGGAACCTAATTAGCAAGTTAATTATAGCAAGCGAAAAAAGTGCAGTGGTTATATAAATAAGCTATTGTTATGCGCATGCAAGTTGGGCCTTGTCAAGAGACTTGCTAAGGTTTAGAGGTCAGAGGATCCATGTAATTAGGTGTTTAGGAAATAAATAAATAAATAAAAGCAAAACAGCCACCAGAATTAGGAATGGCTGATGAGCCACTACCAGAAATGCCTTATTAAATTGGGGCTGGACTGCTGAAGGGGTTGTTGTAGCTGCTTCAGGGATTCCAAGGAAGAGTAGTCCCCCACCCCCCAGCCCAAAAAGCTGGCTGGAACCAGAGCCAACAGAATTGCTGATGAGGAAAGTTTAAAGGCCTGATCACAAGGGTCTCTGGACCACAGAGGTGGCAGTGGGGCTGGTTATGTCACTATGCTGGGCAGCAAGAAGAAATACATTGTTAATGGCAACTCTGGGATTAAAGCCCAGGTGAGGCTAAGCTCTTATTTACCAGTCTTGCTGCTGCTATAGCTGTTATTGTAAAGGGCCAGCTGCTTATACTCTTTTTCCCCTCCTTTCCTGCTTTCAGCTCTCCCTCTGGCATAGGTGAGCTACACGTACTCTTAACAGTCTCTTCCTCCCTTGCCTTAATGCCCGTTGGAATTAGGCAGTTCTCTCTCAAATGGAAAAGAAGGATTACCTTAAAAGACTCTGGTTCCAGACAAGGTAGGAAAGTTAGGGGTAGAATCTACCAAGGTACCACGACTGGGGTGGGTAGATTACAAAACCAATCCATTACAAAATGGACTGTTGAGCGAAGGATATAATGGCATTTAAATAGTGAGGGGAGGCAGGCACCCGGGAGCCACTTGACTCATGTTCTAGTTATCGGAGAAAGATACTTGTTTCTTGGGAAAATTGTGTAACTCATATTTAAGTGGTTAGTCTTGCTCTAATATTTTTCTGTCTTAAAGAAACTTGAATTCAGTGTCTAACCTGTAAGCAAGGTTTTAGAACCCTGTGTTCTAAATGGAGAGAGCCTTGCACAGCCTAGTCCTCTTTGATACCAAAAGAAAGCATGAACTTGTCCTGGGAAGGAGGGATTACTGTAAATAGAAAACACTATGGAGAAGACAGCTCAGCTCAGAGAAACTGGTTTGAGGTGATAGTGCAGCTAGATAGCTATATGGTTTATTCGCTGTGATCCTACAAATCTAGAGAATAAGAGTGACTGGCCCCCTCTAGTGGTGTGTGTACATGGTGTGTGTGCATATACACTCAGACGTGCATGTACACAGGTGTGGTTGTGTCGGGGTTGTGTTGAGCATCTGAAACAGAGTTTATTCTTCTTTAAAGGGGACACTGGAAAAGTTAGTGACTCATTGTGGCCTTTGAAAAGTGCCATTATTATTCCTTTTCCTAGATGGGCTTCTTAAAAAGAATTAAGACATGAATGTTTAGAACAAGGTTGGTAAAATGGAAGCCACAGTTTGCAGCCTGACTACTGTCCACCTCCCCAGCTTTCCACACTCCCTCTTCTTCTCTCTAGCTCTTTTTGCCCTTAAAAATTATTTTAACTTTTGACTTGGTTCATGTTTACCATGTTTACTGAATATTCAATCAAATATAGACAGTAAAGATAGAATAGGCTACTTCCGATGTATTGATTTAGCACTTGATTGAGTGCCTAGGATTTGTGCCTGAGGATATAAGGGTCAATAAGAATCACAGCTTCTCCCTTTATGGAGCCTATAGTTTATAGAAAATACAGGTAGGTAGACAGATAGTTACATTCACTGTGATAAGTGCTGTGCCTGGAGAAATGCAATACATGAAAGTTCGTGTATGTCTTATGGGAGTACATAGAAAGGGAACTTTATTTTTTTTGGAATAAATTGCTAGTTGAGCAAAATAATCATCTTTGTCATTTTCTTTAGTAGTGCTTCTAATCTGATGAGTTTTCCTATTGCTGAAAAAAATTTGCAAGCCCTAAAGCACTTTGCATGCTTTATTTGTTGTAGCTTTGACCATGCTGTGAATTCCCGTAAAAGGCAATGTGAGGCTAATTCCATTTGGCAGTGGCTCCCTTGTTGCAGTACTCAGGTGACTCATTAGTTACCTCTAACTGCAGGAAGTGGAGCCATCAGTTCCTGCTTTCATTTGGGTTCACTGTGTGTTCTGCCCATCAAGGAACCATCTCTTTATCATTAAAGGTAGAGTCACTTGTCAGGTCTTTGATCTTTTTCATTAGACCTTCTTCCTCTGTGCCACGTTGGATCCAGAATAGGCAATTATGCAAACAGAGAAAAAGAAAAGTTATTAGTTAAGTAAATTATATGAGCTTTTTTCCCCCCAAACAAGTATAGCTTACAAATGACCTTTGATTTGTAAAGTATTATGAAATATCAGCTGGAACCTCCAACAATAGGAGAAAGATAAAATTGTAAGAAAATCATTATCTAAAATGCAACCTCCAGAGTATGATCTGAGGTTTATACATACTCAATTAATCTGCTGCTTCTACATCTATTATAATGATGAATCTTACTGCTTTTAGGTATTTTATAATATCAAATATCAAAAAACTGATATTTACTTACTAGTAATGGAAAGCTGTCTAATATATTTTAGAAAAGCTTTAACAAATTAGAGTGGCTACCTACAAGAGTTACAAGAGCATTGAACTGTAGGGGTTGGGTAGGGAGTGGATTTGTTGAATTTCCTTCTATGTTTCAGTTTACCTGCATTGTCTCATTGAACCGTCTCTAAAACTTATGAGGTATATAAGTAGTTTTATCTCTGTTGTATTTACGGAAAAATGAGACTCACTAAAGCATCTTGAGCAACATCACACAGCTAATAAGTGGCATAGCCAGAATTTGAATGCAGTTCCAGAATGTTCATTCTTAATGAAGAGCCTTTTAAAAAAGTATTAAGTCATACCATTTCCTGAGATTCTTGAAACCTGAATGCAAGTCATTTTGCCTTTCTGTACCTTGCAATTTTCTCATCTAGATATATAGAGGTTACAAATATGATAGTTTCAAAGATTTTTTCCAGCTTTACTTTTCAGTGAAACTGTAGAAAATATTTCTGAATATGACTCAACTTTCTAAAAATTTATTTTAACCAGAATGTCCCATTCTCTATTTGGGGGGAGAGGGGTGTCACAATTTTACTGCAAAAAGCATATAGCCAAAGAGTGGGCCAGGCACAGTGGCCCATGCCTGTAATCCCAGCACTTTGGGAGGCTGAGGTGTGTGGCTCACTCGAGGTCAAGAGTTCGAGACCAGCCTGGCCAACATAGTGAAACCCTATCTCTACTAAAAATACAATAATTAGCAGGGCATGGTGGTGTGCACCTGTAATCCCAGCAACTCGAGGTGCTGAGGCATGAGAATCGTTTGAACATAGGAGGTGGAGGTTGCAGTGAGCCGAGATCGCTAAGGCAGAACTGATTGAACCCATCAGGTAGAGGTTGTGGTGAGCCAGGATTGTCCCACTGCACTCCAGCCTGGGTGACAGAGTGGCACTCTGTCTCAGAAACAAAACAAAAAAAAGAGTGTATCCAAGATTTAAATTTGATTAGAAACATAGTAGGTAAAGAATAAGATATCTCCAAACACAGTAGCCCCAGCTGTGTGAGAGGCCGAGGTGAGAGGATCACTTGAACCCAGGAGTTCAAGGTCAGCCTGGGCACCATAGAAAGACCCCATCTCTATTTAAAAAAAAAAAAGAATGAAAAAGTATTCTTCTCTTCAAAGAGTCTTAACATTCCAAATACGGATTGATACAATAAGATCAACTCTTGGGAAAGGTGAGAGCCTGTAATACCAAGCCTTGAACTGCTGTGTCAAAATGGAGGTGCTTTTTCTTTATATAACTAGCTTTCTTTATATAACTAGCTTTCTTTATATAACTAATTAGCTTTCTTTTCCTTAGCAGATCCAGTTTGCTGACCAGAAGCAAGAATTCAACAAACGTCCCACCAAAATTGGACGTCGCTCTCTGTCTCGTTCCATTTCTCAGTCATCTACCGACAGCTACAGCTCGGGTGAGTACTGAGCTGCTGTGGACCCAGTTATTGAAGCTAGTAAGTACCACCTCAATGGGACCTCCTGTCTATCCAAGGCTAATTAAGCACGAGCAAGACTGTGCTTTGAATAAATACTTTGAGTCAAAATTTAGACTAAAATTCTGGGTGGAAGCTTTGCATTTCTCTTGGAAATTCAGAGTGGAACATAACAGAGGCCTCCTCTTCCAACAGAAGCAGAAGAGAGTGATTAAGGCATCTACTCAGAAGGGTGGGAATACGTAGTTCACCGATGACCTTTCCTAAACAGTATGTGTACATATTCGTGGGGTTTTTTTTCATCCTTTGAAAATAAAAAAAAAAAGTTCTTCGTCTCTCTATCTGATACTTGCAAATTAACAGGGAAACCTCAATTGCCCCAAGAAATAATGAAGACACTAGCTAGTTCAACCAAGTGAGTCCTTTGCCTTCTCTCCTAAGCTGTGGACTTCTTGTTACTCCTTCCATCTGTTGCATTAGCATTAATTCAAATACATGTGCCTTGGGACTGAATTATCATTGAATGCCAGTTGAGCTGTTACCACGTAGGACCCCTTGAAGGCATCAGCCATTTGTGCTAACCGCTGTCTAATATGAATCTGATTTAATATGGAGTTAGTTTATTTTGTTCTTGTGTTGGGATGTGGTAGGGAGCTGAGTGTTTGCCCTAGTTACCTCTTCACATTATAAATAGTAATATTCAGTAGAAAATTTTTATCATGACCTGAAATTTTATTTGTTCTTTGTACAAATAGGGAAGTAATATTTGTTATATAAAGTTGAAGAACAGTTGTTTGGGAAACTGCAGCTTTTAGGCTGGGTAGATTATATACTTTTTACTTTTCTCTTTTTACTTTCCCCCCACAATAACAGTGAATGATGTAAAGCATATGACATCACTTCCTATGGATTTTTATCTAAAGGTACAGAATCTTGTACTACCTTTTTTGAGGGGTAGTACAAGATTTGAGACAGGGTCTCACTCTGTCACCTAGGCTGCAGTGCAGTGGCATGGTCATAGCTCACTGCAGCCTTGACCTTCTGGACTCAAGCAATCCTCCCACCTCAGTCTCCTAAGAGACCACAGGCACCCACCACCATGCCTGCCTAAATTTACAATTACTTTGGGCTCAAGTGATTCTCTCTCCTCAGCCTACCAAAGTGCTGGGATTACAGGCATGAGCCACTGTGCTTGGCTGGGAAACCTATCTTAATCTTATTCTGCTGAAATGAGCAGTGTTGAAAATTCATGAACTGGTTAATGTGACTCTGGAAACCATAATAATTGTGAAAAATGTGAATTGTAAATTTTAAGCTGTGGGTTTGTGCGTGTTATCTAAAGATTGATACTGAATAATAATAATATCAAATTTTAACTCCAGCTCAATCTCACCCCTACACACTAGATATACATATCCAACTTTGTTCCTGCAGAGGAAACGAATGCCTGCCATCCCACCCAACCCCCATAGGCAGGGAGGGTACTTTAAAAATATCTATTTACCTGGAAGAGAGTAATTGATGCCCTTGGTTTCTAAGTGAGCACATAGTGGCTTGGCATAGCTTTTTGGTGAATGATATGGACTGGTATCATCCTGGTAAATTTGGACCTTTTAGATTAAACTATATGAAATTACCCTTTTTATAAGTCAAAAATTGTCAACCTAATATATCTATTTAACAATATTAAGTTTAGGAGCAGGGAGTCAAAACATCCTGGACATGAAAAAGAACTTAAAAATCTCATTCAGCTTCCCACTGGTTGCTGACCTCTTTGGGGGCATTTTAAACCATGGAGGGAGACTTACTATAATTTATCTCCTGTTAAGTTCTTATATAATCCCTGGAATTTAAAGATTTTATTTAAAATTTGCTGGTTTTGGTTGCCTGATTTAGGGTTGTCCCACTGCCCTGGTTACCCTCAGCTGGACCTGTTTCAGATTAGGTATTATTTAAAAAATATTATGCCTGTCAATACAACATTCTCAACGATCTGAACTAGCACTGGTTCTGCAAACTCGTGATTTTAAAATGAAACCTAAAATGTTTGCTTCTTTAGCAGCTGCATCACATGCACTGTTGCCTTGTTTTGTTTTTTCTTTTTTCTTTTTCTTTTTCCCCTTTGAGTGCATGGTCATCAAGCCCTTTTAAACAGACTCTGAATAGAAATGCCTACTACCTTGATTCTTGGACTAGGGGTTAGGAGAGACCTAGTTTCTGGTCTTTGATCCATGTTTGATTTGTTGTATGATGCTGGAAAACTCTTGCACTTGGCATATTCATAATCCAGACAATGGAAAGTTATATAAAATGATAGAAAAAGAGCTCCATGTGCATCGGATGAAAAGCCAAGAGTAATGGAACTGACTCACCACTCTCTAAATATGAGATGATATGTATGCAAATATATGTCAGTAAGGACTGGAGGCCCATTTTCAGCATGTATTATAATTTAAATGACTAGGCTGGATACAGTGGCTCACACCTGTAATTCCAGCATTTTGAGAGGCCAAGACAGACAGGTTATCTGAGGTCATGAGTTCAAGACCAGCCTGGCCAACATGGTGAAATCCTGTCTCTACAAAAAAATATAAAAATTAGCCAGGTGTGGTGGCACACATGTGTAATTCCGGCAACTCTGGAGGCTGAGGCATGAGAATTGTTTGAGCCTCGGAGGCAGAGGTTGCAGTGAGCCCAGATTGTGCCACTGTACTCCAGCCTGGGCAACAGAGGAGACTCCATCTCAAAAAATAAATTTTTTTTAATTAAAAAAAATTTTTTAATGACTATAGAAATTAACACTGGAAAGCCCCAAAGACTGATCCTTGGACCTCTTCCCTTCTCAGTTTATACTTTCTCCCTAGATGAACTCATTCAGTCTCATAGGTTTAAATACCATGTATTGGTGTCTGATGCTCATATTTTATCCTCAGCTCAAATCTCTCTGCTATATAAACAACTGCCTACTCAGTTCTTTCACTTGAATGTTTTATAGATATCTCTTTTTATTTTATTCTATTTTATTTTAAGAGACAGGGTCTTGCTTTATTGTCCAGGCTGGAATGTAGTGGTAAAATCATGGCTCACTGTAGCCTCGAACTCTTGGGCTCAGGCAGTCCTCCCACCTCAGCCTCCCCAGTAACTAGGACTACAGATATGTACCACTACATCCAGCTAATTTAAAAAAAGTTTTTTTAGAGATGGGGGTCTCACTTTGTTGCCTAGGCTGGTCTCGAACTCCTGGCCTCAAGCAATCCTCCTCCCAAAGTACTGGGATTACAGGCATGAGCCATGGCACCCAGCTCATAGACATCTCAAACCTCTCATGTATTAAAAACTGAGCTCCTCAGTTCCAACCTTACCCATCTTCAGTCTGTTCTCAACACCACAGCCAAATGTATTCTTTTAAAATAAGTCATGTCACATCATTTCACTGCCTAAAACTTTCCAGTGCCTTCCCAGTCTCACTCTTGGTAAAGCCTAAAGTTCTTAAAGTGGCCTACATTACATTTCTGTTCACTTCTCTACTTTCCCAAACCTCCTTCCTCCCTGTGATGTTCATTTCATTCTGGCCATACTAGCCTCCTACTGTTACTTTGAAACATGCCAAGCACTCTCCTGCTTCAAGACCTTTGTACTTTTTCCCTCTGCCTGGAATGCCTTTTATCCAGATACATGCATGGCTGGCTACCTTACCTCCTTCAGTTCTTCATCAAAAATTATCAGCTTCTCATGAATTCTATCCTGGCTACTCTTTTAAATTGTACACAACATGGCGACTATAATTAATAACAATGTGTTGTATTCTAGAAAATTGCTAGGACAACAGATTTTAAGTGTTCTCACCACCAAGAAATGATAGGGTTATGAGATAATGCATATGTTATCTCTGTTGAGCCATTCCACAATGTGTACATATCGCAAAACATCATGTTAATACACAAAAATGTGTACAATTATTGTCAATTAAAAATTAATTCATTAGAAATATATACTGTACAGAACCCCACCCAACATTCCCTATCAAATTTTCTTCCTTAATATTTTTTCATAGCACCTTATCATATAAAATGTATATGTTACTAATATATTTTGGTCTTTTTCTTTCTACTTGAATGCAAGATTCATGAGAGCAGAGATTTTTTTTTTTTTCTGTTTTACATTGCTTTATTCCCAGCCCTTAGAACTGTGTTTGACATGTAAGAGGTACTCAATAAATAAATATTGATGAAAGGTGTTCAGAGACATTATATTTTTATACCCTTGTTGAGGTCTCTCATATACTCAGTGTGGGTGAACAACGAAAGAAGGATATGAGATTTCAAAAGTACACTTTCCTATCCAGAGTGCTTGTTTTGCTGAAGACACATAGAGGTTTACATAGGCTGTAGCCTCCTCTCCCTTCCTAAAGATCCTAGTACTAAGTTTTCCCATGCTTTCATTTAGGAACCTCTACCAGCTTTCCTTAACCAAGGATCTTCATCTGAATCACAGAACACAGAAAATAATTTTATAGACTTTTCTTAATTCTCCAAAAGATGATACATAACTAGTACCTTTCCAGTTGCGTGGGAAAGAAGTTATCATTATGTACAATGGATGCTTCAAGGCATTAGGACTTAATTCTAGCAGAACCCAGGTTGAAAAGTGCTGCATTAATCCATGAAACTATTTTATAAGAAGCAAACTTCTAAAAACTCTTCCCCTAAGGAGAAAACCTCATAAAAACAAATGAACAGAAGAGACTCTTTTTTCAATCAGACCATTCTCAGTGATATATTTCTGAATAAGTTGTCTTTGCAGTGAGTTCATTGGTTAAGGCTGAGGAAAGAAGACAGGAGTCCCTTCTTCACGACTGGTTCTTTTTTTCCCCAAAATCTACAATTCTTATAAAGTTTGAGATATTTTCAGATTTTTCCAAACAACAAAGTTTTATATTATTTGGGTTGCTAACATAGCTTGTTACACATTTCTAGTTATTCACCAGTGAAGTCTACTATAACCTGACACACAGGTCCCTACTGCTATTTCCGTTACCAAATGTATAGGTTAGGCCCAAGAGGAGTTGCCTGACTTAAAATAGTCTGGTAGGACTAATTCAGTCAGGGTTCTGACTGCTTCTTCTCCTAGCAGTAATCCACAGTATCACAGCTGCTGAGAGGTAAAGCTTAATCAGGCCTGAACTATAAAACATGTATACATGTTCTGTGGGATAGATTGTGGATTCTTGATTCATTATGTTGTATTTTCATTTTGGAAAATAATGAAATAAGATGACATCCCATAGTAAAGTTATGTTGTACTTCATACTACTTTTCTACCTAGAAACTGAACCCTTTTGAATATTATCTCATTTATTCATAAGATTTTTCTGGTGGTAGTTAGGGGAAAGAGAGAGCATGAGGAAAGAGGGAATCTGTTACGGTTTGCAGTCACATAAATTAAAAATGGGTCACTTAACCACTTAGGGTTGAAGCTAGATCTGGGATCTCAGGACTACTTTAGTAGGTTATTGGTTGTTCTTGTTTACTTAAATTGTGACTCTGGGCTTTAGAGTATACTGACAATCACAAATGTTTTAGAAACTCTGTTCATGGGAGTTTGTACATATGTGTTGAGTTTCTCTTTATTTTTCTAGGAAGAATCAATGCTATCTCAACTGTCATCATAAGTTTGTTACTTTGTGGCAGAAATAAGTATGATTCAAAGAATAAATGAGTAAATGTCACTAGTTCAGCAATAACTTTTCTACTGTGTTTTTAGAACTAATAATACATTCTCTTAGTCTGGCTCTGTCAGCCATGTTGTATCCACATATTAGTGCAATCTAGACAACTGATAGCAGTTTTGGTGCTTACCTGATAGCAGGTTCATATACAGGGCTCTCTGAGGTCGGGCGTGGTGGCTTAAACCCATAATCCCAGCACTTTGAGAGACCGAGGTGGGCAGATCACCTGAGGTCGGGAGTTTGAGACCAACATGGTGAAATCCCGTCTCTACTAAAAATGCAAAAATTAGCCAGGTGCACTGATGGGCACCTGTAATTCCAGCTACTCAGGAGGCTGAGGCAGAGGTTGCAGTGAGCTGGGATCATGCCACTGCACTCCAGCCTGGGTGATAGAGTAAGACCCTGTCTCAAAAAAAAGAGGGGAGGTTGGGGGGCTCTTTGAAAACAAATATGTTTTGGCTCAAAGAAAAACATTGGTTGAATTAACTGTAACTACTTGACTACTGTTAAGAAAGTAAAATACTTTTTTTCCCCAGCTTTTAGAATAGGTAAGTGGTATAAAGATTTTTTTTCTTTAAGTTTGGGGGGCAAAATGGTGAAGCCAGAAATTGAAATGCTTCCCTTAAGGGAAAATTTCAAATTTTGTTTTGCTTTTTGGTTTTCTTCTGACTCATCCTTAGAAACTAAAGAGGCATAGGAAGGGGGATCTATTCTGGGTAGAGTTAGGACTCCAGTCTCAACCATTCAAATGACTGCCAGCCAGCCACCTGCTGCTTGGGTAGATTAGCAGGAGATGATGGAGGTATAAAAAAAGAGAAACTGCTAAATGGTAATGTATGTATATCATTCTTTTTCCATTCAATATCCTAAAGCTGAGTAAGAACCCTTAAAAATGTTATATGTGGAACTGAATTTTAAATATGTGCAAAAGTGAGCAATACCAGGTATCATTCATTGAGTGTTTGATTACTGTATGCCAAGCATTGCACTAAGCACTTTACATACATTATCTTACCTAATCTACTCGACAACTTGACTTTGACAAATCATGTCCTCCTATTATATAGTCTGACATCCTGATTTCTGCTTTATAGCACACATTGCAACTGTATTTTTTTAAATCCTCTAAATAATTAATTTTGTAACTAGTTATTTCTTTCTTGACTCACTCACTAGACTGCAAGCCCCATGAAGGTAAGGACCATCTATATCTGTCCTGTATTTCCAGCACCAAGGCTATGTCTTGTACATAATAGATGCATAATTAAAATTCGAGTGAGCAGTTGTGTGAATGACTGAACATGTGAATAAATTCACAGCTCTTTCAAATGGATTCTGGTATCAGCTCCACTTCATATACCCAGAAACAGAGACTGAGACTTAACCAAAACACATGATCACTGTATTTAAATGGCCATTTGGGAAGCATGAAAACCCTCATGACTCTGAAAAAGGATTTGAGATGTCAGGATATTATGAATATGAACACTTTCTTCAAAAGTAATTTTCCCTAAATCTGGATCAGGATTAGTGATGGCTGTTATCCTTTTATCTCTCAGGTGGTAGAAGCATGGTTCCCCAAGCCTCTAATTTATTAGGTATTTCTGAATATTGATTCGTAAAACAAATGACTTCCCAGAAAGCTGTTTCTGGGTTCTGTTGCCAAAAGTACTTTGAGCTCTCACTCACCCTAGGAAAGGGAATCATAAACTTTTTGTACAGATTAGCTCCTTTCAAAAACAAAAGTCTCTTTGGAGATTTACTAATTCCCTCACCACCCCTGGTGCCCATGTTCGTTCCTGTTGCCTCGTGTTAGGACTTTGCTCCAGCTCCAAGAGAAATTCTCAAGCCCCTGCTGTCCAAATAGTGCCATGCCTGATTAACTGGGCAAGGTCAGACTTGCCTTTTACAGCCCTCCCAGAGATAGACCGTTTGCTAAGAAATCTCAGAAATGCCTTAATTCTCTGGATATAAGTAGATCAGAGCATCACGGATCCTAGGCACTCTGACCTTTCACAGTTTTCCACCCTTAAAAGTGATGGCAGTACTTACTCCACTGAGAGAAGCATTTTCTAGAGAGTGTTTCTTAACCCCTAAGAAAACTTGGGGGTTAGGGAACTATCTTCAGAAACTCAAACACAAATCAGGGAAGGACACTGCTTCAAATAATCTAGCAAATGGTTAGCAACTACAGAACTCTATGAAGACTAAAGACCTCAGCTAAGCATGTGAATAGCAATAGCAGCAGCTGCCTGTTATAGCCACAATAAAGTTTTAGACCTTTCACGCTCTAGGGTATGTTGCTAAATGGATTCGTTATCAGAGCATTTTTTTGTACCAAAAGAGGATTTATTTACTTCTTTGAGAGCCTAAAATGCACAGCACCCACTGAGGCCAGCAAGAAGGGAGAGCACATTGAATACTTCATTGTCGATGTATAATTGGGTCTGCAGGCACAATTCAGCTTCATCAGAGTCAGTCTTAAAAAAGAAAGCTCTATTATGTCAGACAAATACTTTTTGTGTGGTTCTTAATTACTTTCCCGTGGGTTCCTTGTTTTCTAGGTCTTATCTATTCAGTAATTTCACTAAAACACAAATTATATCAAATACTTAGGCAGCACACAGAGCAGAGTAGCTAGAATCCCCAAAACCCACAGGTTAATGACCATGATTTTCACCTAAAGCTACTGTTGTGTAACCTCTCTCTTTTTTGCGAATTCAAGGACCTCTGCATGTTCTGAAGATAAAGTTAGCCCTAGATTTCAAGTTAAGGCTATCCAGGGAGAATGTCTTTGGCAGTCTCTTTCAGCTTCCCTCTTCTGGCCTGTGTTTAGCATGTAGGTGCTTACCAGAGGTAAAAAATTTATATGGTGCTAGCTGGCTAGAGAAACTTCAGTTCACTCCATGATCCAGAATTTTAGAGGAAGCATTTTTTCCCCCTGAGAGTTTTTTATTCTGTCATTCCAGCGGCTTCATATACAGATAGCTCTGATGATGAGACATCCCCCAGGGACAAGCAGCAAAAGAACTCTAAGGGAAGCAGTGACTTCTGTGTCAAGAACATCAAACAAGCAGAGTTCGGACGAAGAGAAATTGAAATTGCTGAACAAGGTAAAGAAAACAAGCACATTTTCCTTCTCAGCCTGCCTGTGTCTTTTTGTCCATATTAATCCCTTATGTCTGGGGTCTGGTAGCTTGTGAAATTTCTATGTGATAATGAAGAGTACTTAAAACAAAATAAATATGAGCTCAGGAAACACTGAGGAACTCTGACAAGTCTACAAGGAACCCTATATTAAAAAAAAGGGGGTCCAAAGTGGCTCCCGCCGGAGGTCGTGGCGCTTGCGAAGGCGAGGTCATGAGCTCAAGGCTAACCTGAGCAACCTTATAAGCTCAAACTGATTGGCAAAAAAATAAATAAATAAAAATAAAAAATAAAGAGAGGCCAGGCACGGTGGCCCGCACCTTTAATCCCAGCACTTTGGGAGTCTGAGGCAGGCGGATCACCTGAGGTCAGGAGTTCAAGACCAGTCTGGCTAACATGGTGAAACTCCATCTCTACTAAAAATATAAAAATTAGCTGGGCATGGTGGTACACGCTTGTAATCCCAGCTACTCGGGAGACTGAGGTAGGAGAATCGCTTGAACCCAGGAGGCAGAGGTTGTAGTGAGCCCAGATCGTGCCATTGCACTCCCACCTGGGCAACACAAGTGAGACTTCATCTCAACAACAACAACAAAAATCATTAAAAAAAAAAAAAAAAAAAAAAGGACAGAGACTGGATAATGACTAGAATATAGAGACTCAGAACCCTGAAACATTTGTCTCTAAAAGTTTTTTATAAAGGAAAATTCAGGTTTAATGTCTTGATCCCTTGAGGGGAAGGATCTTAAGAAAGTAAGTTTTTCTGTTTGTTCTTTTATCTCTTATTCCCTCCTGTTTAATATTGTTGTTTATATATTGGGCCTTTTCAGAAATGCCTGCACTGATGGCTTTGAGGAAGAGAGCTCAAGGAGAAAAGCCTTTGGCTGGAGCCAAAATCGTGGGTTGCACACACATCACTGCTCAGACTGCTGTGAGTTCTTTTCCTTTCTCCTTTTAATAAGAATAGTTAATAATAGCCACGAGCTACTGAAAGCTTACAACATGCCAAGTACTGAGTTAAGAGCTTAGCAAGTATTAGCGCATTAATCCTTATAATGGCCATATAAAGCAGGTATTGTTTCCATTTTGTAAACAAAGAAGCTGAGGCTCAGAGGACTTAAAATATTTGTTTAAGGTTACATAGCTAGAAATCACGGAGTCAAGATTTTAACTTCAATATACAGTAGTCTCCCTACCTTGTCTGTGGGGGATAAGTTTCAAGACCCCCCAGTGGACACCTGAAATTTTAGACAGTACCTAACCCTATGTATACTATGTTTTTTCCTATACATATATACCTATGATTAAGTTTAATTTATGCAATTGGGCCTCCGGTGCACACCAGTCCTTCCTGAGGATTTGACCAATTGCAGATCAAAATATTCAGAAAATAAAATAATACAACAATAAAAAAAGATAAGAAATATAACAACTATTTATGTAGCATTTATACCATATTAGGTATTATAAATAACCTAGAGATGCTTTAAAATATACAGAAGGGGCTGGGCACAGTGGCTCACACCTGTAATCCCAGCACTTTGGGAGGTTGAGGTGGGCAGATCACCTGAGGTCGGGAGTTTAAGACCAGACTGACCAACATGGAAAAATCCTGTCTCTCCTAAAAATACAAAATTAGCTGGGTGTGGTGGTGCATGCCTATAGTCCCAACTACTCAGGAGGCTGAGGCAAGAGAATCGCTTGAACCCAGGAGGCAGAGTTTTCAGTGAGCTGAGATCATGCCATTGCACTCCAGTCTGGGCAACAAGAGTGAAACCCTGTCTCAAATATATATATATATATATGTGTGTATATATACATGTGTATATATACATATATATACACACACACACATATATACACACGCACATATATATACACACACACATATACACACGCACATATATACACACACACATATACACATGCACACATATATACACACACACATATATACACACGCACATATATATACACACACACATACACATGCACATATATATACACACACACATATACACACACACACATATATATACACACACACATATACACACGCACATATATATACACACACACATATATATATACACACACACACATATATATATACACACACACACACATATATATATATATATACACACACACAGAAGGATGTGCACAGGTTATATGCAAACACTGCATCATTTTATATAAGGGACTTGAGTATCCTCAGATTTTGGTATCATGGGAGTCCTGGAATCAATCCCCTGAGGATACTGAGAGGCAGCTATAAATTAGGCACTATAAGAAATGAATAATAATAACTCAAAATAAAAGAGAGCAATTATAACAATAGACTGTAATAAAAGTTATGCCACATAAAGGAATTTATCACAGTACATAGCAGAAAGTCCAAAGGGAAGGCAGACTTCAGATGCAGGATCTCAGGGCTCCAGCTTCACCTCTCTGATTCTCTTGGAGCTGCCTCCTCAGTGTGCTTACTTCACTCTCACGCTGATAGCAAGATGCTTACAACTATTCTAGTCATCACAAACTGACACGAAAAGGAAGAGGGACCATTTCTTCCTTGCTTAAGGGAAGTCCCTCCAGGATACTCCATTGTGTCTCATTGGGCAGAACCGGATCACATGCCTGTGCTCCACCAGTCCTAGCCAGGGGACAGGATTACTATGATTTGCTTACACCAGTGATTCCTACCTTATGCTCATCAGGTTTAATGTCCCCTTTTTATTAAATAACATTTTTTTGCAGCATCCCTGAATTATCCTGAAATGAAATTCAGATGTAACATGTCTAGGTACATATCTTTTAAAAAATCAATATAAAATCCTAACCAAAATATGAAGGAGGAATAAAAAGAAAGCATAATACTTAAAATAATGTGTATTTTAATATGTAAATACTTGGGGACAACTCTAGTAGAAGAGTCAGATATTTGTACTAGTTCATGGTATTGTTTCAAATAGTATTATTTGAAGATAGAAAGAAATGTATTTCAGAGCATCACAGTAGCATTGCCAAATTCTATGATTTTCTGAAATAGTAAACAACTTTTTGTGAACTTCTGAACAAGAACAACAAAAAAATATGAGTTTTCTCTTGATTTACATAGCTGTTACATTCCTGGAAAAACTATTGTTTTGTATTAAAACTACAAAGCTACTTTTTGTTAATTTGTAAAGTGGAATTAGTTTCTAAACTCAGAGAATTATAAATAGGTTTTTTACCCCTGTGAACTTTCATTGGGATATTTGAAAATTTTATCAGCTGCAGCACAGCTTGTTGTTGAGACTGTCATGCACTTTCAAAATGTTCAGATTCCTGGTCCACTAAATGCCAGTCACACTTCCCTTCCAATTATTGTGACAACCAAAAATACCCCCACAATTTTCTAAATCTCCTCTTTTATAATCAGAGATGTAATATATATAGAGTTGCTAACCATAATGAGACCACTATAGGGAAATTGGTCTATTGAGCAATGGTCTGGAATCTTTTATGGGGTTCATAAGATCTAGGTCATCTGTGTGACTAGATCAGCTTTCCAAAGATTTTCTCACCCAAAGCACAACACTTGTGTGGTCACATTCCTGATTAAGAACTTAGAGATTCCTCAAGGTACAGACAGCTACTGTTAGCATCCTCACTATGAGACTTTTCTGGGTTATAAAGTATATATATACATATATGTGTGTGTATATATACGTGTGTGTATATGTGTGTGCGTGTGTATATATATACACACACGTATATATACATGTATAAAGTATACATGTATAAAGTCTCACTATGAGACTTTTCTGGGTTCTCTAAGGAAAAAAGTACCTTGGCTGCCCAAAATTAATATAATAAATTGAAAATATATCTGTTTGGAGCTACAGACTAATGAGTCGAGACAGAAACACTCTTGAATCTTTTCTGGCCTGCTCAGTCAGCGACATGAGACTTCAGTGTGGTAGCTTAAAATAGTAAGTGCTTCTCTACTGTCTCAGGTTGCTGAATTACATCGTTTGTTTTTCACCCTTAGGCTCACTGAGCATTACCACCCTTCATGATTCCTTTTCTATTTTTTCCTGAATGGATTAATCACAATTAGCTTACCAATTTTAATATGATTTTACTGTTTCCACCCCACATTTTTTTTTCTTTAAAAAAATAACTACAAGAAAATTTTGCTTTGTTTCCCAACCTAATACTCTTTCACCCTTGTCTTAGTTGATTTGGGCTGCTATAACAAAATACTTTAGACTGGGTAATTCAAAACTAATGGTATTTATTGTTCACGGTTCTGGAGGCTGGGAAGCCCAAGATCAAGGCACCAGTAGATTCAGTGTCTGGTGAGGGCCTATTCCTCATAGATGGCGCCTTCTATGTGTCCTCACATGGCCAAAGGGGCAAGCAAGCTTCCTCAGGCCTGTTTTATAAATGCACTAATCCCATTCGTGAGGGCAAAATTCTCATGTCTAATTACCTCCCAATCACTTCCATAATCTCCTTTTAATGCCATCACTTAGGGGGTTTGGTTTTAACATATGACTCTGGGGGAGGAGAACATACATTCAGACCGTAGCAACCCCCAAATACTTAAGTGTATCTTTTCTACAAACAAAGATATTTTCCTGTACAACCAGTATAACCATCAGAAGTAGAAAATTAACACTGATTCGTTACTACCATTCAATGTTTAGAATCCCACTGGAGTTTCACTGGTTGTTCTGATGCTATTTTTCTAACCAAAGAATCCAGTCCATAGTTACATGTCACATTTGATTGTTGTGTCTCTTTAGTCTTCAGTAGTACAGAACAGTTTCTCAGTCTCTTTGATTTTCATGACTTTGACACGTTTGAGGATTACAGATGGATTATTTTGTAGAATGTCCTCAATTTGGATTTCTCTAGTGCTTCCTCATGAGATTTAGGCTATGCATCTGTGGTGGGAATACAAAGAAGTGATATATCCTATCAGGTGACACATGATTTCAGTTTGTCCCAGAACTGATGATGTTCTCTTTGATCCCTTGATTGAGGTGGTGTCTGCCAGGATTTTCCTCTGTAAAAGTTAAAATTAATATGTTTTTTAGGCTGGGCTCAATGACTCATACCTGTAATCCCAGCACTTTGGGAGGCTAAGGCTGGCAGTTTACTTGAGCCCAGGAGTTCAAGACTAGCCTAGGCAACAGAGTGAAACTCCATTTCTACAAAAACTTATAAAAGTTAGCCAGGCATGGTGACATGTGCCCAGAAGGTAGAGATTGCAGTGAGCTGAGATTGCACTGCACTACAGCCTGGTTGACAGAGTGAGACCCTGTCTCAAAAATAAATAAATAAAAATAAAATTAATATGTTTATGTGGGGTAGTACTCTGAAACTATAAATATCTCATTCTTCATCTTTGATTTATTCATTATTTTTATTTGTATGGAATCATTGTTTTCTATTTTATTTAATAGGTTATAATCCATTACTATTATTACTTATTTACATGATCATCTTGTTCCCGATTTGACCAGGGAGAGCCTCCTCAGTTTGGCTTCTGTGACTTGTCTTTTGACATATCCCTTTCATTCTTTGAACACTTCCTTGCTCTTGGTACAAGATCATCTAAGCTTATCTTGAACATTCCATGTCCTACTCTTGGAATCAGCCATTTCTCCCAGAATGCCTGGCTCCTTTTAGTGGATCTGGGCACTGATGTGCTCTTTGCTTTGAAATCTCATTGTTCCCAAATCCTCTTTTTTTCCCTCTCCATACGTGTAATTGGGGTTCCAGAAGGCAAAGAGGGAAAGAATCCATAGTTTACCAAATAGACCCCATAGAGTTTGAGCACTTTGTTCTAATTCTTTTCTCCCAGTCTTTTTCTTTTCGTATTTTAGTTCAGTAACTTCTTTTGTTGTTGTTGCTTTGTTTTGTTGAGTGGGGTCTCACTGTGTCAACCAGGCTAGAGTGCAGTGGTACGATCATAGCTCAGTGCAGCCTCAAACTCCTGGGCTCAAGCGATCCTCCTGCCCCAGCCTCCCAAGTAACTGGGACTAAGGCATGTACCACCACGCCCAACTAATTTTTTTAATTTTTTATAGAGATGAGATTTTGCTGTGATGCCCAGTCTGCTCTCAAACTCCTGGCCTCAAGCGACCTCCTGCCTCAGCCTCCCAAAGTGCAGGGGTTACAGGCATGACCCATTGTGCCTGGCTCAGTTCAGTAATTTTTATTGGTCTATCTTCAGGTTCACTGATTCTGTCCTTGAATGTGCCCAGTCTGATGATAAATCTGTTGAAGGAACATTTAATCTGACTTTTTTTTTCTTCTGGCATTTGTACTTGACTTTTTTTTTTTTTTTTTTTTTTTGAGACAGGGTTTGCTCTCGTTGCCCAGGCTGGAGTGCAATGGCACGATCTTGGCTCACTGCAACTTCCGCCTCCCGGGTTCAAACGATCTCTTGGCTCTGTCTCCCAGGTAGCTGGGATTACAGGCATGCGCCACCACGCCCAGCTAAATTTTGTATTTTTAGTAGAGACAGGGTTTCTCCACATTGATCAGGCTGGTCTCAAACTTCTGACCTCAGGTGATCCGCCCACCTTGGCCTTCCAAAGTGCCAAGATTACAGGTGTGAGCTTCTATGCCTGGTCTGTATTTGACTTTTTATAGTTTCCATCTCTGCTGAAATTTTCTATCTATTCATGGATGTTGTCTGTCTTTCTCAACTAGATCCTTTAACATAAACATGTTAGTCCAGCCTGGGCAATGTAGCAAGAGCCTGTGTCTAAAAAAATAAAAATAAATAACATAAACATATTAATCATAGTTATTCTAAAGCTCCTGTCTGATCAAACATCTGGCTCATCTCAGAGCCTGCCTCTATTGTTTACTTATTTTCTGACAGTGGGGTTTTTTTTTTTTTTCACTTTTTATATGTACTGACATTTTTGATTGAGTGGAGGTATATTAGTTTTCATTATAGTCATGAGTTGAGCTGGATTTAATTTGTTGTATACCAACAAAGGCTTCAAATTCCTGCAGCAGTGGACTGCTATAACCTAGTGATTTGAGGTTACTAGAGGACATTCCTCAGTGCTTCTGCTTTACCCTCAGCTTTCAGCTGCTTCTGCACATGCATGCCACAGAAGTGTCCTCTTTTCAAGTACCTGCTCCATCTGCTGCACCAGACTGCCACTCCTTGTTTCCTGGGGCGAAGCACACGGTGAGGGCAAGTCTCACCAAGTCTCTTGGATCTCTGGTGCAGTCTTAGTCTTAGGCAGACCTCTGTGAGGGCAGGGCTTTCTCAATATTCCTGCCTCTCCTATCTGTAGCAGCCAAACTTTGGCTTGCATCTGTGGTGAGTCTTGAGCAAGACATATTTTTCTGCCCTTCCTGGAGAGCTGGAGAGGTGGCAGATTCTTACTTTGTATCAGTGAACTGTCCTGGGCCCAGGAGGTTTTCCTGTGCCTCTCTCAGAGGCAGAGAGTTTTTGCTTTTGCCTTCCTCCAGAAACAGTGGATCTTTGCCTGGTCCCTGATGGCAGGCCCAATTCCTGCTCTTCCTGCAGCTTGACCCTTTTGCTTCTTATTAGAGAAGAGTGTAGGGAAGTGCCCAGGTTTCATGTCTGTTTCTGAGCACAGCTAGTCAGCTCCCTGCCCCAGTCTTTCTTCTGAGCTCTGGGTGGAAGCCTCTGGAAAACAGCCTGCATGTGAATGGGAAATCTACATGTGCTTGGAGCTTCAAAAAATTCTGCATTGACACACTTTCCCACACTCAGCCTTTCCTAATTATTCAAAAATTTAGCTGATTTTTTCTTATCCTTATCTGTGGCAGCCACTTCTTCTTCCCATATGCTGCCAAAGGTAAAACAGTCTTCCCTCTCTCTTTAAAAGGATTTGTCACTCTTTGGAGGGCAGTTCACTTGAGTACTTTATGACCTCAGCTCCTGGATAGTCTCAAAAAGCATTTGGCTTTGTATATTACACAGTTTTGGGTTTTTTTGTGTGTCTGTGTGTTTGTTTGTTTGTTTGTTTTTGATGAGCTTCACTTTTGTTGTCCATGCTGGAGTGCAATGGCATAATCTCAGCTCATTGCAACCTCCCAGCTTCAAGCCATTCTCCTGCGTCAGCCTCCCAAATAGCTGGGATTACAGGTGTGCACCACCACACCTGGCTAAGTTTTTTGTATTTTTAGTAGAGATGGGGTTTCACCATGTTGGCCAGGCTGATCTTGAACTCCTGACCTCAGCCTCCCAAAGTGGGGGCATTACTGGCATGAGCCACTGCGCCTGACCATGTGCTTGGTTCTTTGGAGACAGGGTCTCCCTCTCTGTTGTCCAGGCTGGAGTGCAGTGGCACACTCATGACTCACTATAGCCTCTATCTCCAGGCTCAAGCCGTCCTCCCACCTCAGCCTTCCTAGTAGCCACCCAGCTTTTTCGTGTTGCTAAGGTGGGAGCTTCTCTTGTAGCTTTCTGTATTCTAGGCAGAAGCAGAACTGTAAATCTGTGTTTTTTAAGAAAAGTTTATGGCCAAGCACGGTGGATCACATCTGTAATCCCAGCATTTTGGGAGGCTGAGGCAGGCGGATCGTAAGGTCAGAGTTCGACCAGCCCGACCAACATGGTGAAACCCTGTCTCTACTAAAAATGCAAAAATTAGTTGGGCATGGTGGCGGGCACCTGTAATCCCAGCTACTTGGGAGGCTGAGGCAGGAGAATCACTTGAACCTGGGAGGCACAGGGTACAATGAGCCAGGATCACGCCATTGCACTGTAGCCAGGTCGACAGAGCAAGACTCTGTCTCAAAAAAAAAAAAGAAAAATTTTGGCTCTGAAGTCCTTTCCTTGGTTTGTTCAATCTTATGGGGAGGCCCAGTTTAAATTGGTAAAAACATAGAGGCAGCGGGAACTTCCCTCTTTCTATGGCTTCCCCCAATACTTGCCTTCTTAGAATACTGAAGAGGTTCTATAAAGCACAATTTGAAAATCACTGGCCTAAGTTATTCCTGTTGTATTTTCTCATTGTGAAATATATGAACTTTATTTGCTTGACTAGGTGTTTGGCCCAGGCTTGCTCATCGCCTGCTTTGTCGTTAATACAGGTGCTTATGGAAACTCTGGGTGCTCTGGGGGCCCAGTGCCGATGGGCTGCCTGCAACATCTATTCCACTCTCAATGAAGTGGCTGCTGCTCTAGCAGAAAGTGGTAAGATCTTGTTCTCTGTGACTTTGGCTAAAGTAAGTCTCCAAAAAGTCCTGTTGTTTCACTATAAATTTTTAAGGAAGGTTGATAGTAAAAGAACTATCTCAGAAGAAATGGATCTCGATCCTTGATGAATTTGCTTTTTCTGGCCTTCACTTGTAAAATATGATCTAGTTAACTTTGCTGTTTTACAACTGACAAATATCTACCTGTGTCTAATATTCCATAGTTAATGCTTTGTTTTGACTCACTAATTCACCAATAGCAGAGCACTAGTGAACACTACTCACTGAAGTAACATGGATTACAGGAGAAAATGCTTCAGCCAGAGTTTTGTGACTCTGTTGGTTTTCCAGCAAGTAATTTGCCCTGACTTAATGTTTGGTGTTTCTGCTTCAGGCATAAAGAGGACTTGACCTGGAAGGTTAATATTTGATCACAACGTCCACTGGTACTTGATGGACAAAAGAAATAGAGAAATTTGGACTTTGCTAGCCTCTTGCCTTTACTCCTTGGCAGTACAGCTAGCACTCTCAGCATTTCATTTGTTCTTTCATTTTTATTTATTTATTTACAAAATTTTATTGCTGTATATATGATAGAAAAATATTTAATACTTTATTAATACAAATACTAAATCTGTAGCCCAACGAATTGTACATTTGCATTCATTTCTTTTCCTTTTTTTTTTTTTTGAGACGGAGTCTCTCTCTGTCATCCAGGCTGGAGTGCAGTGGCATATTCTTGGCTCACTGCAACCTCCGACTCCCTAGTTCAAGTGATTCTCCTGCCTCAGCCTCCTGAGTAGCTGGGATTACAGGCACATGCCATCACACCCAGCTAGTTTTTGTATTTTTAGTAGAGACGGGGTTTCACCATGTTGGCCAGGATGGTCTCAATTTCCTGACCTTGTGATCCGCCTGCCTCAGCCTCCCAGAATGCTGGGATTACAGGCATGAGCCACCGTGCCCAGCGTCCTTTTTTTTTTTTTTTTTTTTTTTTTTTAAGTAGAGACAGGGTCTTGCTCTGTCACCCAGGTTGGAGTGCAGTAGTGCAATCATGTTTCACTGCATCCTTCAATTCCTGGGCACAGGTGATCCTCCCACCATCTGCTGAGTAGCTGGGACTTCAGCCACTTGCTACCATGCCCAGCAAATTTAAAAAACTTTTTAAGACATAGGGTCTTGCTGTGTTGCTCAGGCTAGTCTCCAACAGCCAGCCTCAAGTGATCTTCCCACCTCATCCTCCCAAAGTGCTGGGATTACAGGTGTGAGCCACCATGCCCAGCCCATTTCTTTTTTTAAACAAATGCTTACTGACCTACTCTAAGAACTGTAAGGGCAAATAAGACAATGTCTTTACCCTCAGAATCTTATACTGTGGTTGAGGAGATAATACACATATATAAACAATGATGCTACGAGGATGTATATGTTAAATGCCATGACAGAGTATAAATCCATATTCATTACACAAACAAGAGGCTTAGAAAAGTTCAGATTCCCACTTTGGGAGGCCAAGGCGGGTAGATCACCTGAGGTCAAGGCCAGCCTGGCCAACGTGGTGAAACCATGTCTCTACTAAAAATACAAAAACCCCAGGAGGCAGAGGTTGTAATAAGCCAAGATCGTGCCACTACACTCCAGCCTGGGCAACAAAGGGAGACTCTGTCTCAAAAAAACAAAAAAGAAAAGTTCAGATTCCTTGAGAGCTCATTTCCAGCTGCGTTAATTAGGAACATGACACTTAACTAGGCTATGAAGTATAGTAACGTTTTAGCAAATGGAGAAACATGTAAAGGTTTTTTCTTAATAAGAGGGTGGGATGACTACAGTATAGAAGCAAGAAAAATTCAAGTGTAATTGGGAAATGGTGGGAATGCCAGTTTGAGTGGGTCAACAAGTTCCTGTTTCTGGTTTTTCTTTTCCCTCTAGTCACTTTTTTTCTTTTTCCTTTTTTTTGAAACAAAGTCTCACTCTGTCACCGAGGCTGGAGTACAGTAGCGCGATCTTGGCTCACTGCAACCTCTGCCTCCTGGGTTCAAGCTATTTTCCTGCCTCAGCCTCCCAGGTAGCTGAGATTACAGATACACACCACCACGCCCAGCTAATTTTTGTATTTTTGGTAGAGACAGGGTTTCACCATGTTGGCCAGGGTGGCCTCAAACTCCTGACCTCGGGTGATCCGCCGGCTTCAGCCTCCCAAAGTGCTGGGATTACAAGTGTGAGCCATCGCGCCTAGCCCCTTCTCGTCATATTTTAAACACCTGTCATACTTTTGTCCATTCTGCTTGTCCTCATTGGGCTATGAGGGCTAACAAGAGCAGAATGACCCTCAAAGACAAGAACGGATAAAGGGGCTGAAGGCAATACCAATCAGTGAAGAAAGTCAATCCAAAGAATATAGCAGAATAAGAGAGGTGGAAATTAGGAAAAAGTAGAATCTTCTTACCAAAGTTTGGGGGTCGGCCTTTTTCTGGTCTTTAATGGTTTCTCTTTGTTCCTTTTCTTCTCAGGATTTCCTGTCTTTGCCTGGAAGGGAGAGTCAGAAGATGACTTTTGGTGGTGCATTGATAGATGTGTGAATGTGGAGGGCTGGCAGCCAAACATGGTGGGTCAGATTTCTGCTAACATAATTCTGTAGGGGTCAAGACTGGGGATGGGAGGAGGCTATGGCCTGGGAGAGGGTTTTTCAACAAGAAGGAAGGAAAATGGCTTCATTTCTATCTGATGTGCCTGAGTTTCCAGCAGAACTAGATTCTTATGCTTCTGATACTCTTAAGACTGTTGAAGCTCTTATAACCTCAAAGTGCCTTATTTGTTGGTTCTAATGTTGGAAGCATTTATATTCATTAGAAACAATAAAGCACTGCCCAGGATTTACAACTGGCTGGTTAAAAAGCAAGAGGAATGAGTTTCCATCCCCTGCTACTGCCTACTCCCCACCCCTTACAACAACCAAATAACCCCAACAAACGAAAAACCCCAGAGCTCTCAAGATATTTAGTCTTCTCTCTAGAATCCATATACTCATCATATTAGTCAAGACTAGAAAAATTAAAATAAAAATAATAGAGTTCATATAATGAATTTATAGTAAACCTGAAGAGCTTCCAAGTTCAAATTTCTTCTCTTTATATTCATTCCCCACATTAAATAAGATAACCAGGTGAAGTTTTGGGGTTTTAATTTTTGCTTCATTTCTATTTTTGTTTCATTTTTTAGAAGATCAGGTCTTGAAGCCTGATAGCACATTAGATTTGCAAGGAGGCAAAAAGCTACACACAAAGGGCTGGGTGTGGTGGCCTGTAATCCCAGCACTTTGAGAGGCCAAGGCAGGTGGATTCCTTCAGCCTAGGAGTTCGAGACCAGCCTGGGGAACAAAGGGAGACCCTGTCTCTACAAAAAATAGAAAAATTAGCCAGGCATGTTGGCATGTACCTATAGTTGTAGTCCCAGCTACTCGGGAGACTAAGGTGGGAGGATCACTTGAACCCAGGAGGTGGAGGTTGCAGTGAGCTGAGATCATACCACTGCAATCCAGCCTGGGTGGGAAAGTGAAACCATGTCCCCCCTGCCCCCCGAAAAAGCTACATACAGAGTATGAGGTATTTCTGTTTTGCAAATAATTCTGCGTATTAGTCAGGGGAGGGGGCAGAGATTAGGGAATATACTGAGAAAAGAATCCCTGAAGCTCTAGTCCAACCATTGCTTGCTGCTGAAGACTGCGGAACAGGCCTCACTTGGTGCGTGGCAGAGAAGTAGCTTCTTTCTGAATTCTGTGATCCAGGTCACATTGCACCAGGCTTGTTTGAGGAAGCTGGGTTAGAGCCTTCAATTCCTGAAGGGGTGGGGGAGCAGAGCTGACAGTGGCTGTAAGATGAGTCAGCTCATTCCAACAGTTTTAATAGTGACAAGAGGGAGTATGACTGGCAGATGCTAAAGAAGATATGCCAGGGGGTTTCTCCTGGGAATAAAACACTGATTTTTAAAGTCAGGAACCATGGGAGGACATTGGGATTATACCTGGAGAACTTTTACAAACTTTAGAATGAGCACAAACGGCTAGGAAGGTTAATAAACAAAGTAAGACAAGGACAAAAACAGTTGTCACCCAGAAAACAGGACCCGTATATACGTCTTTGGATTCTGTCAAGGTTTAGTATTTTTCCCTGCTTCCCAACCTCAGGAAGATTTCCTGATGACAAGCATTTTCTGCAGTAGATTCACACGGTGAGAATTATGGGCAGCGTTCATTAAATAAATCTTACAGACTGTAACCACTTGCCTGTGTCATATGTGCATTAAAAGGGAAAAGTGGATGAGAATAGGGAGACTTGCAACACAGTTTCCAGTTATTCGATCTCTTTTGTCTCTTTTCTGTGGCAAGCGAAAACTTCATGAGGGATTCCATACATGGAGAAAGGGAGAGAGAAACTCAGAAGAGTCTTTTGCTTTCTTGGGGCATCTGTTCTTGGGGTTTCTACTTGTAGTATGGAGCAAGTATAAGAGCTCTGATGAGAGTCCTACCTTAGATCCCAGTTGTCAAGCAAGGTTTGATTGAGTGAGAGAAAATAGATCAATAGGCCAGGTGCAGTGGCTCACGCCTGTAATCCCAGCACTTTGGGAGGCCAAGGCAGGTGGATCATGAGGTCAGGAGTTCCAGGCCAGTCTGGCCAATATAGTGAAACCCTGTCTCTACTGAAAATACAAAAATTAGCTGGACATGCTGGTGGGCACCTGTAGTCCCAGCTAGTGGGTAGGCTGAAGCAGTAGAATCACTTGAACCTGGAGGCAGAGGTTGTAGTGAGCCAAGACTGCGCCATTGCACTCCAGCCTGAGCCATAGAGTGAGACTCCATCTCAAACCAAAAAAAAAAAAAGAAGAAGAAGAAGAAAAAAAAAATAGATCAACAGCAAGAGCAAAAGCAAAAAAGAGATCAGGTGGTAGACATGAAGTTGGGGATTTTGTGTCCTCTGAGGTCTAGGATGGCAGTTTTGGCACTTATAGTAGAGTTCATAATTGATGAGACTGCACGATGAGTGCGTGTCAGCAGAGGGCAATTCAGTTCTGTGGGACTTTCCAGGAGGATGGGTATAACAATTTGCAAAGTCCTGCTAAACACTTCTGACAGCCCAGTGAAGGGCTGAAGTGTCACAGCCTCGTGTCTGATAGTGTTATAAGCTGATTTTTCTTTAGCTTTATAATTCAAAAACTTTTCTCCGCTGATGAAAGCTCCAGTGGGCACAGCATTGTGTTTATCTTTAATCCCAACCTGAAATAGTGATAGATGAGCTGTTCAGAGGCATGCTTGCACACCTACATGCTGCACGGTTCCCTGGTTATTTTTAATTTGGTTTGTACAGAGTGTGAGGTTGTGCTAGGCAAAACCCTACAGTGCTGCCTGATATTTTGGGTGGGAGAGTGCCTATACTTTGGAAGAAGAAGAGGATTAAGGAATATAGTTTTATGAGCCATTGTTCTGAGAGGGAGACTTAATTATCTGACCATTTATTTATTTATTTTTCTCTCTTCTTAAGAGACCATGTAATCTGAAACCTATTGTTTAAACTAAGCCTTGACGGGCCCGGTAGCTCACCCCTGTAATCCCAGTATTTTGGGAGACTGAGGAGGGTGGATCATGAGGTCAGGAGTTTGAGACCAGCCTGACCAACATGGTGAAACCCTGTCTCTACTAAAAATGCAAAAATTATACAGATGTGGTGGTGCACGCCTGTAATTCAGGAGGCTGAGACAGGAGAATCACTTGAACCTGGGAGGTGGAGGTTGCAGTGAACCAAGATCATGCCACTGCACTCCAGCCTGGGTGACAGAGTGAGACTCCATCTCAAAAAAGCAAAAACAAAAACAAAAAAACACTAAGCCTGACTGAATATATTTAAAGTCCATTTAGCCTTTCTGAATCTCTATAGTAGATTCAAGATCTAGTGGCCTAGCTAACCACAAGTTATCAATCCATAAGAAAATCCTCAGTTAGTTGCTGTGTATTTTGATACAGTAGATATGTCATGGGGAGGGTCATTTGGCTATGCAGATTATCATTGGCCTTTCTCCTCTTGTTGTCTTTTACTTCAATATAATGACTATTTGGCAGATTATTGCATTTACTCTGACTTTAAGTTACTTTGCATAACCATATGGAAAATTTTAAACATCTGTAAATTGCTGATTAGATTGGGATGCAAGACCCAGAGAAGGAGTGAAGCCTTGAGGTTTCAGCAAAGTGAATGATGTTATTGATGCTTCCTATTGCAGATCTTGGATGATGGAGGGGATCTTACCCACTGGATTTATAAAAAGTATCCCAACATGTTTAAGAAAATCAAGGGCATAGTAGAGGAGAGTGTTACTGGAGTTCATAGGTAAGATTTGGCATGGGCATACCTGGTTTCATTGTCTAGACATATAATCTTATAAACACATACCTATAAAACACATGTTAAAAATCAGAGCCTGCTTTGAGGTAACCAGATCTCAGCTTGCTATGAGGGGACCAGATCCCTCTTGTTTTTTTTTTAACTAACACACAAATAATGAACCTAAAATAGTGAGGACGGGGCAGGTGGGAGAACAAGTGAAGTCCTCATGTTTTCTAGTGATTGTGAACAATTACTTCTTATCCTTTTTGGGCACATTTATTCATTCATTCATTCAACAAATATTTATTGGACTTCTATAATGAACCAGGAACTGCTCTAGGTGCCAGGAATCTAGCAGTAGACAAAACAAACAAACCATCTTAGAGCTTATATTCTTAACATGGAGAGCAAGGACTTAGTGAGCCTTCTGCTTCTCAAATGAGCAGTAATTCTCTGAGTAAAATTGAAATTATTTCAGTTCAATTTCTGTGATTTATTTCACCCATAAAGAGCTGAAAGTATGAAAAAAAAAGTTTTAGGGAAGTAAATTCTGAATCAGCCACCATCACTGCTTCAATACATTATGATCTTTTTGATTGTACAAAACTGTGAGTTATAACGTATCTTTGCACTCTTAGAAAGGGATGAATTTTGAATAAAACACAATAATCGACTCAGTTTAAAATAAAACTCCTATATATACATACACATATTGAGATTATAAATTTGAGCCTATTTGGGCCAGGCACAGTGGCTCACACTTGTAATCCCAGCAGTTTGGGAGGCCAAGAAGGGTGGATTACCTGAGGTGAGGAGTTTAAGACCAGCCTGGCCAACATGGTGAAACCCTGACTCTACTAAAAATAGAAAAATTAGCTGGGTGTGATGGCATACAACTGTAGTTCGAGCTACTCAGGAGGCTGAGGCACAAAAATCACTTAACCCAGGAGGCAGAGGTTGCAGTAAGCCAAGATCATACCACAGCACTCCAGCCTGGGTGACAAAGTGAGACTCTGTCTCAAAAAAAAGGAAAGAAAACAAACAAATGTGAGCATATTTGAATATTAAATTGTTGCAGTAAATGATCGGATATATTTAAAGTCCATTTAGACCGTCTGAACATCTATAGTAGATTCAAGATGTCAGCATGGTTTTTAAAATAGTATTTAAAATTACTCCTTTATAATTAAAAAGATGAGTGAAATTAATACACAGTTTAAGCTGGACACAATGGCTCACGCCTGTAATCCCAGCACTTTGGGAAGCTAAGATGGGAGGATCACTTGAGTCCAGGAGTTTGAGACCAGCCAGGGCAACATAGTGAGACCCTGTCTCTATTAAAAAAAAAAAAAGTCCAGGCACGATGGCTCATGCTTGTAGTCCCAGCACTTTGGGAGGCTAAGGCAGGCAGATCGCCTGAGGTCAGGAGTTTGAGACCAGCCTGACCAACATGGATAAACCCCATCTCTACTAAAAATACAAAATCAGCCGGGCATGATGGCATATGCCTGCAATCCAAGCTACCTGGGAGGCTGAGGCAGGAGAATCACTTGAACCCAGGAGGCAGAAGTTGCAGTGAGTCAAAATTGCGCCATTGCACTCCAGCCTGGGCAACGGAATAAAAGTCCATCTCAAAAAAACAAACAAACAGCCAGGCGTAGTCTCATGCACCTGTGGTTCCAGCAGGCAGGATGACAAGTGCAGATTTAGTGAACACTGTATCCAGTAAGTAATTTTTCAACCTTCAATCTGCTGCCACTCTCCCACTTTTTATAGTCTCCAGTGAAAGCCTTAAAATTTAGAGGTGGGTCAAGGATTTTCCCCACATGACTTTTGAATAAGACCTTTATTGTGAAGCTATATATGTAGGCTCTAGAAAGATATTCTTTGTTTCTCAGTAGTCACCTAATAGGACAAAATTAGTCATGTCTCATGCTCTCATGCCCACCCAATCAACATATTTCTGGGGCCCAGAATGGTAGATTGTAATGAAAGCAGTGGTAGATTGTAATGTCCCAATGTTTTATGTTCTTCTTGGCTTCCCTCATCCTCAGGCTGTACCAGCTGTCCAAAGCTGGGAAGCTGTGTGTTCCAGCCATGAATGTCAATGACTCAGTCACCAAACAGAAATTTGACAACCTCTACTGTTGCCGTGAATCAATTCTTGATGGGTAATGCTTATTATCTTTGAGACGAACTTGTGTTGTCAAGTTGAGGTTCTAACTTTTTTGGCTTTGGTTATTTCTGGAAAGGACTCATGTAGCACCTCTAGATAGCTCCATTAAGCCAGAGCCTTTTCACCTTCTAAATTAAAATTGCATTATTTTTATTTTCTCCTTTGTATATTTTCTTCTATTTCTAAATATCATATATTCAAAATATTGTTGAATAAATATATGTTGCTTTTATGTTTAAAAGTTGCTGTTTTACCTACATCTTCCTTTCTGCACCACTTGTAAGAAAGGGAAAAAAAAAACCCTTACATATAGGATTGGTTGGACGGCAGGGAGTGAGAAAATAAGTATTTTATTCAACCTTTCTTTCTGGTCATTAGTTTCTCTAGGATAGAAACCAGACTTTCAGTGTTATATCTCTTTTAGAATTTGTCTAGCAGGTTTTCTGATCGTTAACCAGAAAACTCCTTAAAAAAAAAAAAAAAAGAAACCAGACTTTCTTTCAAAATGAACAACAAACCAACAAAAACCCCATGAAAACAAAGAGATTCAATCTAACTTCAAGGGAGAAACAAAAGCAGATTTTCTGATTTAATGTGTTTTTTTTCCCCCTAGACTTAAAAGGACAACAGACATGATGTTTGGTGGAAAGCAAGTGGTAGTCTGTGGCTATGGAGAGGTAAAGTTTAACCTTTATTTACTGGGTGTTTTAAATGGGTTTTGTTGTAATATTCTGGAATTTTTTCTTTGTCTGGACTTAAGAGTATGCTCACGACTTTAGATGAGAAAAAGAACTTCAGAGACCCTCTGGTTAAAGTACAGTCTTTCTTTTTCCCTTTGCGTTGCTGCCATTTTTCCTTAAGTTGATCTTCTGACTTGCTCCAGTACCACCGTTAGTGATGTTCTTTTAGCTTGTGTTTTGATTATGAATCGTGAGCGTGGGTGTTCTTGTGCACATGAATGCGGTAAGAAGGAGCCAGGGGTTTGTTTATGAGCTGCATTCAATTATTTGTTCTTCTTGTTTTCCCCAAGCATGAATCTATTCAGTGAAATTCCTCTCGGGGGTGGAAAGAGGGGGTGCACTTTACGAGAAGCTTTGAGAAATGGTTTTGTCAGTGACTTTCCTTAATGTGCATGTTCTTTCTCATCTTCAGGTGGGGAAAGGGTGCTGTGCTGCCCTGAAAGCCATGGGCTCCATTGTGTATGTAACTGAAATTGACCCCATCTGCGCCCTGCAAGCCTGGTAAGCCTCTACGCCACCATCTCACTTGCAATCATGGAGCTGCCTCCAAAGAATGGCCTAATTGATGCCACATTTTATTTTAGAGGGGCCCAGATCCTCAGAGAGGCTGCCACTAGCTCTAAGCATCTGTTTTTCAAAGGTCAAGGAGCTCTGCTTGGAGAGAGCAGAGACTATCAGAAAAGCGAAAATTTAGAAATCCTATGGAGATAGTAACAGGGATTCTGTCAGCTAGAGAACAAGTAGCCCCTTACCATTTCCATGTGTAATACTTCCCCTTCAAACAATGATCAGAAAAGAAATTGGCAGGCATCAGATGCCTTATGATGTATTACACTGAAAATAGCCCTTCTATGGTATTTCTCCCAAAAATGTATAACCTGAATCTAATTGTGAGGAAACATTAGACAAATCCCAATTAAGGGTAAAATCAACTAACTCTGAGTGGAGGGTATATGAGAATTATTTACACTACTATTATAATTCTTAAGTTTGACATTATTCTAAAATTAAAAGTTAAAAAAATAGTTTCTTTCTTATTTCTAAAATGCGGGTAATCATACCTACCTCATAGGATTGTGAGAGTTCAATAAAATAATAGTTAACGTAGGCTGGGCTTGGGGGATTCGTGGCTGTAATCCCAGCACTTTGGGAGCCTGAGGCAGGAGGATTGCTTCAGCCAGGAGTTGAAGACCAGCCTTGGCAACATAGGGAGACCCCATCTCTACAAATAATTTTTTTAAATTAGCTGGGTGTGGTGATGCATGCCTGTGGTCCCAGCTACTTGGGAGGCTGAGGTAGGAGGATCACCTAAGCCTGGGAAGTTGAGGCTGCAGTGAGTTGTGGTTATGCCACTACACTCCAGCCTGGGTGACCCAGCAAGACCCAGTCTCAAAATAATAATAATAATAATCATTATTATTATGTATTATACATTATATAACAAATACATAATTATATAAGGTACAGAGCTGTTGCCACATAATAGATGCTCACTAGATTGTAGCTATTATTAAAATTGTCTCTTGCCATCCCCAGGAGGGTGGGAAATACCACTGTCCTTAAAAACTATTGCAGAGTCTGAGTGTCTATAGCCTAGGGGAACCATCATCCTTCTAGTACACTAAGGGTTTATTATAGGAACCTGAACATGTTTTAATAACACATTCTTAGATTCCTTCTCAGCACATAGTACAGTATCTAATGCATAGTAAGTGATTAATTCATGTCTATAGGATAATCTAAACAGTATTACAATTATCACAATTTATTAAAACAGTTTCACAGTTTATTAAAACCAAATTTTGTAGACTCTTGACTCTTTCTTAAGAGATGGGATCTCACTATGTTGTCCAGGCTGGAGTGTAGTAGTAGTCACAGGCATAATTGTAGTGCACTACAACCTCTAACTCTTGGCCTCAACAATCCTCCTGCGTAGGCCAGGACTACTGGTGCATACTACCAAGCCCAACTTCTATGAATTCATGAATCCTATAGACATGAATTGCTCACTTACCGTGCATTGCATACTGTGCTATGTGCTGAGAATGAATAAGATGAATAGATAAATGAGATAAGGTCCTGCTTTTAGAAGCACACAGACAAATAACCACTGTGCATCATAGTAAATGCTGTCATGTACTTAAACAGCACATGCTTCTGTAGGAGCATAAAGGAGAAATTACTAACTGAAGAGCAAAGGAGCAGGGTAGAAACAGACGTCAGCAGAGCTGAGTTTTGACATTTGTATAGATGTTTTCCTAGTTTGGAAGTATATTCCAGATATAGGGAACATGTGTGTTGTTTCCAAGGAAGGAGATAGCATGGCATATTTAAGAAGCTGGAAATATTTTAATATAGTTGGCAGATGGGATACATTTGGGGGAGTGGTACTATCAAAGTAGGAGTCATATGTCAATATAGTCACATATCACTTAAGTATGTGGGTCATATTCTAATCCTGCCTTATCCTTAAGAACAGGCAGTCTCACTGAGGTATTTTAAGCAAGGAAGTAACATGATCCAAATTGCATTTAGGAAAATCACTCTGCAAAATGATTTAGAAAGATGTAAACCTATCGCTTCTTGGCCTTTTGGCTGAGCTCAAGTGTAGAAAGATGTAAACCTAGCGGCAATGAGATTGGGCCAGGGGTTACTATAGTACTAGGCAAGATTTAATAGACCTAAACTTAAGCAAAGCCAGTATGTATTGGAGAGGAGAAGACAGATGAAAGCAACTTTTAAGGAATTAAAGGAAAAGAGCCAGATTTGGTGACAACTTTAGTTAGGAAGAGGCAGCAAGGACATTCTTGTCTATATGGCTCATACAGTTGGATGAACAGTGATGCTATTGATCAAAATAGAAAATATAGAAGAAGAAATAAATAAGGTTCTAGGTTCAGAGTAGATAATAAGTTTATGTTCAAACACAGTAAGTTTGAGATCCTTCTGGGACATTCATGAGGTGCTATCCAGTGGCTAATTTGATCCTTGGCTATGAAGCGTCAGGGAGATCTAACCTAAAGATAAAAATGTAAAAATCAGCCACCTATAAGTAGTCATTTGCAGCCAAGGGAAGAGTATGGTTCTCTATACTGAAAGAACAGAGAAAAGAATAAAGGCATAACCATACAGAGTACCAATATCCAAAGAGGAGAAACAATTAGAGAAGTAAGAGGAAAACCAGGAGTGATGTATTGTGGAGTCCAAAGGATTTAGAGTTTTAAGAAGGCAAATCATGTTTAATATAGTAGAAGAAATCAAGTAATAAGAGTCTAAGAAGTTGGGCATGGTGGTATATGCCAGTAGTCCTGACTATCCAAGAGGCTGAGGCAGGAGGATTGCTTGAGGCCAAAAGTTAGAGGCTGTAGTGCACTATGATTATGCTTGTGACTAGCTACCACACTCCAGCCTGGGCAACATAGTGAGATCTCATCTCTTAAAAAAAAAAAAAAAAGACTGAAGAGTCTAAGAAATTTTGGGTTTGGCCCTCAGGAGATCACTGATGATCTTGAAGAGAACACTTTCAATGAGGTAGTTGGTTAAGTGGCTAAGTGGTACTTTCTACAGTTTCTAGAAATGCGGTCAGGAAATCTCATGGTAACCCCTGGTTCCCTATTGTCAGGAAGAAATAAGTTCTGTGATATAAAGGGACCTTTTATTTCTGCCTTGTATGAACTAAGGAAATTTTTGGATTTTTCACTTCTAAGAATAGTCTAGCTATCTCAAGAAATGACAGCAACTTGGTAATAGCTTTTGAAGTTCTGTGTTAAAAGGCTCCCCAGCTGCCTGTTTAGGTTAATTGGTCATGCTTTATTTCAACAGTATGGATGGATTTCGACTGGTGAAATTAAATGAGGTCATCCGACAAGTGGACATTGTTATTACCTGTACAGGTATGATAATGACATTTTAAATGGGGTAGCACTTTGAAATGCTTTTATGGAGCAAGTTCAAGATGATTGGAAATATTCTGAAAAACCAAACTCTAAAAGCTAGAGAGAGATAGTAGCCCACAAAGCCGGTCAGTCTTGTCTTTCACATTTTTCCGAATTCCTGAGAGCTCTGACCAAAGATCATTACTGTGTAAAAAAGTTTCTCTTCACCCTTTTAAGGCAACTGTTATATCTCCATTCATCCTAGGAGATAGCTAGAGATGAGATTCAGTTATAAAGTTTTATTTGGGAAGCCAGCTCTTAAATGTACACTTGATTTTTTATTTTACTTCCAGAAGTGAATTATGTTTCTCTCTAGTACGTAATTAAGGCAAGGCTAGAGAGAAATTCTCATAGTCAGAGTGGAAGAAGTTATCGTGTTAATTCCTGAAGAGGTAGATATTGAGTTTTAAAGAAGATGCAGGAATCACTAGTTTCCTCTAGGGTAGGATATTTATTTTATTTTTATGGTAGAACCGTAAACCACAGGAACACTGGTTTTCTTTTATAATTCTATTTTTGAGGGGAAGTCAGAAAAGAATAAAAAGACGTTTGTAGTTGTAGCCTCAAGGAGAGAGGGGCAGAGAAGAGGTACCATAAGAAGTTGTTCTTGGTTCATATCAATCCCCTGTATCTCTTTTGCTTGTTTGTTTTAAATAGAGATGAGGTATTACTCTCTAGGCTGGTTTTTTGTTTGTTTGTTTGTTTGTTTGTTTGCTTTGAAATTTAGAAACAAATTTTATTTCAGATCTGAAATACAATTCCTAAAATATCAACTTTTCCAGAAAACCGTGCTATACAATAATGCATCGCCTCTATCATATTAGAACGTGCATTAGACTCAAATACAAAAACCATGAAACAAATCACCATCCTTCAACAATTTGAGCAAAGATAAAATGTCTAAGAACAACATAGATGGACTTGTAGAGGATGGGCTGTTTTACTTCAAGCACCATTAAAAAAAAAAAAGAGCACAAATGCATGGGTTTTCAGGTATATACATTAAGTTGAACCTTTGGCACTAGGAATCAGGGCGTTTTTTTCACGTAGCATTAACACATATTAGAAAATTGCGTAGTGTCAAAGGGATAGGAACCACCAGCATTCAAGCAATGTTGTCAACTAGGCAATAAAATGTTCTGCTGAATGTTTCTTCTTTGTTCTAATTACTGCATACACTGGTAGCAACTTTGAAATGAGAAAAGGAGCTTCACTCTTTATTTTCTGTTTAAAATAGAACAGAAAACAAACTGAAACATAAGCCCTGTTATACATTAATGATTTTAAAGAACATCAATTTTACAAGAAAAAGACTAAGAACAAAAAGTGTTTATAGATACAGCACAAAAATGGTGAGCTGTCTATAGATGCTCACAGGGCTTTTTAGTGGTACTCATCAGAAGCCACTTTGTAATCACTGGCAGTAAAGACAGATGCAAAATCCTTTGCCAGATGTTTTAGGAAATTGTGCACATAGCCCAGCAACAATGCAAGGCTTTTCTCATCAAGGGGAGTATAGGCCAACATTGCTCCAGTTCTTACAAATAATCTCAGTAGGTGTGGTGCTCCATAAAACCTGGGACATTGGAGCATCAGGGTGAACCAAGAGGATTTCAGCATACTGGGGCCTCTCAAATCTGTAGAGCAGCTAGCATCAGGTGATCCTCCCACCTCTGCCTCCCAAAGTGATGGGATTATAGGCGTGAGCCACCTTGCCCAGCCTGGACCTTTTAAAAAGAAAATTTGCTTTTTTCGAGTTGTAATTCATTTACTACACATTTCCCACATTTAAAATGCTTACTGTTTTGTTTTGTTTTTTTTAGTAATTCACAGGGTTTGTACAACCATCACCACAATCTAATGCTTTTACTGAGTTGTAATTCACATCATAATGTTCGTCCTTTCAAAGTATACAGTTCAATGGGTTTTAGTAAAGTTGTGGAACATCCCAGTTATCTAATTTTTATCGCCCCAAAAAGAAACCTCTTATCATTAGCAGTTATTCCTTATTCCATCCTCCATAATCCTTCAGCCCTATTCTGAACATTTCATGTAAGTGGAATCTAGCAACACTGTGAAAAGAAGGGGAAAAATAATAATTTTTTTAAAAGGAATCATTCATGGCCGGGCACTGTGGCTCATGCCTGTAATCCCAGCATTCTGGGAGGCCAAGGTGGGTGGATCACCTGAGGTCAGGAATTTGAGACCAGCCTGGACAACATGGTGAAACCCTGTCTCTACTAAAAATACAAAAAATTAGCCAGGAGTTGTGGCAGGTGCCTGTAGTTCCAGCTGCTCGGGAGGCTGAAGCAGGAGAATTGCTTGAACCCAGAAGGCCAAGGTTGCAGTGAGTCGAGATCATGCCACTGCACTCCAGCCTGGGCAACAAGAGTGAAACTCAGTCTCAAAAGAAAAGGAATCATTCAATATATTATGGTCTTTTGTGACTGGCCTCATAGCAGGATGTTTTTGGGACCTGCCCATGTGATGGCATATATCAGTACCTTATTCCTTTCTATTGCTGAGTAATGGTCATTGTATGGTATACCATATTTTATTTACCCATTAATCAACTGGTAGACAGCTGGGTGGTTTTCACTTTTTGGAATGAGGAATAATGCTGCTCTAAAAATTGAATATAGGTTTTTATGTGGACTTATATTTTCAGTTCCCTTGCATATATTCTAAGAGTAGAATTGTTAGATCATACAGTAACTCTATTTTTAACATTTTCAGGTGGGTGTGGTGGCTCACACCTGTAATCCTAGCACTTTGGAATGCTGAAGTAGGCAGATCACTTGAGCCCAGGAGTTCCAGACCAGCCTGGGCAACATGGCAAAACTCTGTCTTCTACAAAAACAAAACAAAACAAAAAAATTAGCTAGGTGTGGTCCCAGATACTCAAGAAGCTGAGGCAGGAGAATCACTTGAGCAGTTCAAAACAAAAAAGCAACACTTTAAGGAATTTCCAAACTTTTTTTTTTTTTTTTTTTTGGAGATGGAGTCTCGCTCTGTAGCCCAGGCTGGAATGCAGTGAGGCAGTATCGGCTCACTGCAACTTAAAGCCTCCCAGGTTCAAGTGATTCTCCTGCCTCAGGCTCCTGAGTAGCTGGGACTACAGGTGCACACCACTATGCCCGGCTAATTTTTTGTATTTTAGTAGAGACGGGGTTTTACTGTGTTGCCCAGGCTGTTCTCAAACTCCTGAGGTCAGGCAATCCACCCGCCTTGGCCTCCCAAAGTGCTAGGATTACAGGTGTGAGCCACCATGCCCACCCAGAATTGCCAAACTTTTTAAAAGTGACTGCACCATTTTACAATCCCACTAACAATACATGTGCCTTCTAATTTCTCCACATCTTCACCAGCACTTGTTATTGTGAGTCTTCTTGATATTGCCATCCTAGTGAGTGTAAAGTAGTATCTTGTTGTGGTTTTGATTTCCATTTCCCTAATGACTAATGATGTTGAGCATCTTTTCATGTGTTTATTGTTCATCTTCTTTGAAGAAATGTTGATTCAGATCCTTTTCTTTTTTTTGGAGACAGGGTCTCACTCTGTCTCCTGGGCTGGAGTGCAGTGGTGCAATCACAGCTCACTGCAGCCTCGACCTGTAGGGCTCAGTCGATCCTCCCACCTTAGTCTCCCTAGTTGCTGGGACTACAGGCACATGCCATGATACCCAGCTTATGTTTTTATTTTTATTTTTTGTAGAAAATAAAAATTTTGCCATGTTACCCAGGCTGGTCTCAAACTCCAGGGATCAAGTGATTACTTCTTCTGTCTCAGCCTCCCAAAATGCTGGGATTACAGGCGTGAGCCAGCATGCCTGGCATGCTTATTTTTAAATTGTCTTCTTACTGGGTTCTAAGAATTTCTTATAACAAGTGCCTTATCAGTTACATGATTTGCACGTTTTTTTTTTTTTTCTCATTCTGTGGATTATCTTTCTTACTGGTATCATCTGCAGCACAAAAGTTTTTAATTTTGACATAGTTCAGTTTATCTATTTTTTCTTTGGTTGCTTGTGCCTTAGGTGTTGTATCACTTAAAAAACTGTTGCCTAATCCATCACAAAGAGTTATTTCTGTGTTCGTCTTCTAAGAGTGTTATAGTTTTAGCTCTGCAATTAGGTTATGATCCATTCTGAGTTAATTTTCATATGTTGTATGAGGTAGTGTCTGACTTTATTCCTTTTCATGTGGATATCTTGTCTGGGGTCTTTTTGTGGTTTTGTTGTTATTGTTGTTGTTTTACGTTCAGCGCCTTCACTTAGGTTCTCTGGTCAGAATGGTAGGCAGGGAGTGGGGAAGGTGGTGCTTGAGCCCCACTCAGCAACTGGTCAGTCCTCATCCTCCAGCAGCTGGATCTTGCTGGGGTCAAAGCAGTTGGATTCCACTGCTTTGGGGAGGCCACTGGCCTCTTGGTATTTCACAAGCCTCTCAGTTCTGCGGCGAGCCCATTCTTGCATTCTGTAGTCAGGCAGATAGGCCGCAAAGGTGCTGCCAAGGACCAGGATGATGGAGAAGCCAAACAAGAAGACTAGTTGCATTTTCCAGACGTCCAAAACGGGGTCCTTGTTATAATCATGCGAGTCTGGGTTCTTCTCATAGATATTTTTGTCCTTGAGATCTGGGTCCTCTTGCCAGTGCATGAGGATTCTGGGGCTGCTTTCCTGCCACAGCCGACAGGACAGGGCGACCACAGTCCTGGAAAAGCTGGATTCCCAGTGGATGCGGGTGGCTGGGAGCTCTCACGTCGCTGTGGCCACCAAAAGATGGTGAACACTCAAACCTTTCTTCTGTTTTTAAGGAAACAAGAATGTGGTTACCAGAGAGCACTTGGACCGTATGAAGAATAGCTGCATCGTTTGTAACATGGGACATTCCAACACGGAGATTGATGTGGTAAGATCAAGTGGCTCATTACTGGGGGCTTTTTTCTCTCCTTCACAAGAAACAAACTGGAAAATGAAAAAGCGGGATCACAAGCCGTTCTAAACATGACTATCCTGGCAGAGTTGTCCGTGTGTTTTCACTTACTAGCCCTATAGCCTGTGTTTGTGGAGACTATGAAGTTTCTTCATCTCATTTTAATCATTTTAAATGATTGTCATCTTCTACTCAAGCTTATGCCTGTTTACACTGTAAGCCTTATCCCTATGTTTAGGTCTGAGAGCAAGATAAACTCAAAACTAAAAAAAGGATGCAATGGATGTGAATCAGTATGGTAGTCAGTATTTTGGGGGTGTTTGGTTTTACTATAAAGATGAGATAAGTACATTAGTACAAGGAAATAAGGAAATCTATGGGTTGGGGTGGTTATGTTGCTTAAGATTGACTGTGTGTACCAAATACTGTGTTTTCTTCTTTGATCCCCCTCTTTTATTGGAATAGGTTCTCCTGTCACATGTTTTCCAAACTGTAGTAATTGGGTCTGCAGGTGTCATAATCCAGCGCCGTTGTGTAGTACCATGTCTTCTTCAAACCCGGAAAATATATCACTTTGATTCTCTAATTTGGTTACGTTCACCCTAAAACTTTGCAATCCAAAATAGCAGTTGGTACTAATAAGCGGCCCAAGTAATAGTTAGTAGAAATGTTGTTTCTTTCTTTTTTTTCTTTTTTATTTTTTTGAGACAGAGTCTCACACTGTTGCCCAGGCTAGAGTGCAGTGACACGATCTCGGCTCACTGCAACCTCCACCTCCTGGGTTCAAGCAATTCTCCTGCCTCAGTCTTCCAAGTAGCTGGGACTACAGGTGCCCGCCACCATGCCCAGCTAATTTTTGTATTTTTAGTAGAAACAGGGCCTCACCATACTGACCAGGCTGGTCTCAAACTCCTGATTGTGACCTGCCCACCTTGGCCTCCCAAAGTGCTGGGATTACAGGCGTGAGCCACCACGCCCAGCCAAGTGTTGTTTATTTTTTTTCAGACTTACCAAAGTATCTCTCAGTGTGACTTTTACTCTGGTTTTAAATTTTTATGGTATACCTGTATTTCTCTCTGGGTAACTGGCTCAGGCAAAGCATGCTTTCATCTCCACTGAGAGCTGCTCTGATTGAGCTTTAGCATTGCCAGGTAAGGACCAGCTGATGTATTGAGAGCCTACTGGATATTATTTATTAAATATGGTTTCCTTTTTAAATTCTGTGCCCTATTCTTCCGTTATGAAAAATAGTTGGCAGAACAATCTACTAAAGCCTCTTTCTACCCTGGGGTATCTAAGAGGCATGGCCTCATTACTCTCTCCTACCATGATATTTTGCTTACAATGAACAATTTAGTTGGTAGTTGTTTTTTTACTTTTCTTTTGCTTAAGTTTCATTTATGTGCCATACTGCCTCTTTGCTGAATGATCAAAGATATTAGTATTTCTAAAACTATCTAGCACATGATTATCATTTCCTAGATGACTTTGCTTCTAGAGCCCCCAAAGGGGAAAGGCCTGAAGGGAAGTATTTGTGTTATGCCCTGGGCCCTAATGGAAAACTGTCAGAGTAAGGGAAGGGGAAGGCATTTTCCTTTCTAAACCCTCAAGAACCTCTGAAATAAAAATAACTCCAAATGCAGTCATGTACCTTTTGTATTTTTACTTTATCTCATTTCATCTTTTTGACCACTCCATGAGGTATTATTCTTAGTCTTATTTTTCAGTTGGGAAACTAAGAAGTTAACTACCTCGTCAATCATATAACTGATTCAAAATGAAACCAGTGCACTGGCTCCCACCTGTAATCCCAGCACTTTGGGAGGCCAAGGCAGGTGGATCACCTGAGGTCAGGAGTTTGAGACCGCCCTGGCCAAGATGGCAAAACCTCATCTCTACTAAAAATACAAAAATTAGCTGGGTGTGGTGGCAAACGCCTGTAATCTCAGCTACTTGGGAGGCTGAGGCAGGAGAATCTCTGAAACCCCTGAGGCAGAGGTTGCAGTGAGCTGAGATTGTACCATTGCACTCCAGCCTGGGCGACAAGAGCAAGTGACACTCCATCTCAAAAAAAAAAGGAAAAGAGAAAAGAAACTGGTGTACAAAATCCAGAGTTTTTTTTACTCCCAGTCTAGTTTTCTTCGTTTTGTTTTTCTGTGTGTTGTATTATTTTCTCCTCATGACTTGTGGATTAACTTCAAATCATGATGGTAATCTCTCCTTCAGAGGCAGCCCAGACATAAGTAACCTCCCAGGATAAAGACCAGAAGACTGTTCACCTTCAATTACAAATATTTGTTTGTGTGAATGCTATATGCCAGGTGTTGTTCTAAATGCTTGGAGTCAGTGAACAAAACAAAATATTTTTGTGTGATTGCTATGTGCCAGGTGTCATTCTAAATGCTTGGAGTCAGTGAACAAAACAAGAAAAAACATTTCTGCCCTCATGGAGCTTAGTGAGAAGAAAAACAATAAACATAATAAATATGTAAAATCTATACTATGTTAGAAGGCAAAAGCACCACAGAAAAAGAAAAAGTAGAGCAGGGTGGGAGAATTGAGCACCGGATTTTAATTTGAAATAGATTAAGCTGTGAGCCTTATTAAGAATATTATGGGCCAGGTGCAGTGGCTCATGCCTATAATCCCAGCACTTTGAGAGGCCAAGATGGACAGATCACCTGAGGTTAGGAGTTCAAGACCAGCCTGGCCAACATGATGAAACCATGTTTCTAGTAAAAATACAAAAAAAAAAAATAGCCAGGTGTGGTGGCAGGAGAATCGCTTGAACCCAGGAGGCGGAGGCTGCAGTGAGCTGAGATTGTGTCATTGCACTCCAGCCTGGGCAACAAGGGCAAAACTCTGTCTCAGGAAAAAAAAAAAAAAAAAGAATATGATGTTTGAGACCATGCATGGTGGCTCACACCTGTAGTCCCAGCATTTTGGGAGGCCAAGGTGGGATGATTGCTTGAGCCCAGTAGTTTGAGACCAGCCTAGGCAACATAGTGAGACCTCATCTTTACAAAAAATAAAAAAAACAAAATTAGCTGGGTGTGGTGGCTTGGCACCTGTAGTACCAGCTATTTGGGAGGCTGAAGCAGGAGAGTCACTTGAGCCTCAGAGGCAGAGGCTGCAGTGAGCCAAAATAGTACCACTGCACACCAGCCTGGGTGACAGAGTGAGACCCTGACTCCAGAAAAAAAATTTTTTTTTTAAAAAAGATGATGTTTGAGGCAGACTTGAAGGAATTTGCCATGTGGATTTTTAGTGAATAGCATGTCAGCAAGAGAGAAAGGCCTGTACACATGCCCTCAGGCAGGAGTGTGCCTAGTCTGTTTGAGGAATAACAAGGAGGCCAGTGTGCTTGGAGTAGAATGAGCATAGGGACAAGGAAGAGTGGAAGATGAGGTCAGAGGGGTAAAAGGACAGATCTTAGAGGGCCTCATAGCTCATTGTAAGAACTGATTATATGCTGAGAGAACTAAGGAGTCATTGAGGGCTTATAATCTGACTTACGTTTTTAAAGGATGGCTTTTATTTTAAAAGGATTGCCCTGGTTGCTGTGTTGAGACTAGACCAAGTTTTGCAGATATTGCCAGGTGGCCCCCGTATCTGCCAGTCACATGAGCCAAGGGCCATCTCTCACTTACTTCTCTTTGTGTTTCTCTTGGCAGAAGGTATATGGCTAAGCTAAATGGTCCAGAAAAAGAGATGCTCAGAGGAACTTTTGAAAAGTTAAATTATTCAACCTTTGGTGGTAGTGTCACAGGGCATGTAAAATGAAATTCAAGGAAATATCAAACTCATCTAGTAATGAAACCAGAATTTTTATTCAGTGTTTAGCAAATTTATCTTGAATCCTGCTCTGCTGTATGCCACATACTAGTTTACTGAAGAAATGACAGTGAACAATATCCTGTCTCTCAGGGAGCATATATTCTAGTGTGGGCCACAAATAATAAAGAAATAGGTAGTTATTGTTAGTTAGGGCTTAGTATTGAAGAAAAACAGTAAGGTAAGGACACTGGGGATTCCATTTTAGTTAGGGTAGTCAAGGAAGTCTCTTTGAGGAGATAATACTTTTTTTTTTTTTTTGAGATGGAGTTTCACTCTTGTTGCCCAGGCTGGAGTGCAATGGCGCAATCTCAGCTCACCGCGACCTCTGCCTCCTGGGTTTAGGCAATTCTCCTTCCTCAGCTTCCTGAGTAGCTGGGATTACAGGCACGCGCCACCATGCCCAGCTAAGTTTTTGTATTTTTAGTAGAGATGGGGTTTCACCATCTTGACCAGGATGGTCTCGATCTCTTGACCTAGTGATCCACCCGCCTTGGCCTCCCAAAGTGCTGGGATTACAGGCGTGAGCCACCGCGCCCGGCCTAGGAGATAATACTTTTAAAAACCTGAATGAAATAAAGGAGCAAGCCCTCTGAGCATTCTGTTCAGAGAGAATGGCAGGTAAAACACCCTGAGGTAGACACCCGTTTGATGTGTTTGAGGAACAGAAAAGAAGCCACTGTGGCAGGAACACTGGCCGAGGGGGTCAGAAGAAGAGTTAACTCAAGAAGGTATAGGCAATGTCAAGCTTTACAGGTCATGTTAAGGACTTTAGATTTTATTCTGAAAGAAGCCATCGGAAGGTTTTGAGTAGATGAATGACAAAATCTGACTTAGGTTTTTAAAAATTACTCTGGAAGCCAGCTGTGGTGGCTCATGCTTGTAGTCCCCAGCTGTTCAGGAAGCTGAGGTGGGAGGATTGCTTGAGCCCAGAATTTCAAAGTCAGCCTGGGCAACATAGCAAGATCCTGTCTCTAAAAAGAAAATTACTCTGGCTTTTGTATAAAGAAAACACTCTGGAGCTTGACTGATGATAGGGATAACAGCAGGTTCTTTCAGTATTTCTGACTCTAGGAGGTGGTGGCTTGGATTAGATGGACAAGTGTTAGCAGTGATAAGTGATAGGTTGTGACCAATGGAATTTACTAAATGGATTGGATGCATAGTGTGAGAAAAAGGCGGAAATCATTACCAGTCAACTCAGTGAAACTGTAGGAGGATGATTTGGTAAGTATCCAGATATTTTTAGTAATCAAAATTTTTAGAGGTTTTTTTTTTTCCTTTTTTAGTAGGAATTCGTAGTTTTACCTAACCTTGAGATGTTGCCTGCTGCATATTTAGGAAGGAATAGCTCATCAGAAGAGTTGGCCATTTAGAAAGCTCCATTTTTTTCTGAGAAATGTGAATGCAGTGAATACTGAAGGAACCTGGAAAAGGGATTGTGCACTCTGCTGCCTTTTTGCCACGTTTTTCTTTTACATGTTTGCTTTCTCATAAAAGCAGACCTGCTTACCCATGTGCATGACATAGAAGGCCTGTGTAATTGTAAGCGTCGTAATTCAGGTGGTCAAACCATTAAGTACATAGGCTTTAAACGCTTTTTCCAGCCAAAGAATGATTTAACCTGAGACTTTGTGCTTTACAGGACTAGAACTACAGTTGTCCTCCCTGAAAAAAATAAAACAACAAAAAAAATGGACGTTCACTGTCCAAAATTTTCTAAGACCAATTTGTGCAAGGATAATGAGTGGCTGATTTATTGTGGCATGTACACCTGGTTTGGGAAGGTAGTCTGCACAGGAATCCCTTTTCCTGGTAGATTGCTTAGTGATTATAGAGCCATAGCAAAGACAACTGGATGTTTTTAAGAGAGATTCTTGTCAAGCTGTGCCAGCTGTAAAGTAGGAAACCCTTCTGGTCTTGAGCAATGTGACTGCTGACTAGACCTTAATAGTCAGGTTATTGGAGCTTCCTGGACAGTGGTGGAGATAAGTTAACCAAGTTTCTCTTCAACCCTTTTTTAAATTTACTGTCAGGCTTTCACCTACAGCATAGCCATTCCAGTGCTCTAGTAAACTGCTTCTACTAAGCATTGGTTATTTTCTTACATTCATAAGAAGTGTTCTTTCCTGGATTCTGCTGTATCTTTCTTCCCAAGGAATATTTCCTAAGATGGGTTTTAGCTCTTTGCTCCCAGTCACCAAGATTGTGATTGGCCTCTGGAAGATTAGGGGTATAAAACACTAACAACCTGAAATACTGAGATGAAGTCCCATCATCTCAATAAAAACTGCCATTGTCACCAAGAGTATCTCTTAATTCTTTGTGGTTATTACCCTCCATAGTGCTAAGCTCTAAAAGCTAATGGATTCTACTTTGTATATCCTTAATTTCTCAAAATGGTCTGTTTGCTTAAATTCATTTTTTTTTTTTTTTGAGACATGGTTTCACTCTGGCATTGCCCAGACTAGAGTGCAGTGGCGCAATCTCAGCTCACTGCAGACTCAATTTCCCAGGCTCGGGCAATCCTCCCACCTCAGCTTCCTGAGTAGCTGAGACTACAGGTGTACACCAACATGCCCGGCTAATTCTGTTCTTTTTTTTTTTTTTTTTTTTTTTTTTTTTTTTTTTTTTTGTAGAGACAAGGTCTCTCACTATGTTGCCCAAGATGGTCTTGAACTACTGGGCTCAAGGGATCTTCCTGCCTTGGCCTTCCAAAGTGTTGGGATTACAGGCGTGAACCACTGTACCCTGCCCTTAAATTCTTTTTAGCCCTGTATTTACAGTATTTATTTATAACATTTTTTTAAATTCCAATTTTAAAATAATACTTGCTTAGTTTAAAAATTCAAACACTGTAAATATGTTTAAAATAAGCAAAAAATTTCCATAATTGAAGTTAGACTAGATTTTTCTGCAACTTAATTTTTTTCACTTAAGAATAGTGACTGGGTTGGGTGCAGTGGCTCACACTTGTAATCCTAGCACTTTGGGAAGCTGAGGCAGGGAGATCACCTGAAGTCGGGTTCAAGACCAGCCTGGCCAACATGGCAAAACCCTGTCTCTACCAAAAAAATGCAAAAATTAGCCAGGTATGATGACAAGTGCCTATAATCCCAGCTATTCGGGAGGCTGAGGCAGGAGAATCGCCTGAGCCCAGAAGGCGGAAGTTGCAGTGAGCTGAGATCACGCCATTGCACTCCAGGCTGGGTGACAAAGTGAGACTCTGTCTCAAAAAAAAAAAAAGAAAAGTGAATGGTTTTTTGTTAACACATATATGTCTACTTCTTTTTTGGAGCTTCTCATTGTAGTACTTTTTTTTTTTTAACTAGAATAACCAGCTTAACTTTTTTTTTTTAAAGATTTGTATAATATTTCACTGTTTGGAACTATCCTGATTTACTTAACCATTCCCTAGTTTATTTGCATTTAGGTTTTTTTACATTTTATTTTATTTACAAATAAGGCTGTATTGAACATTCTTGGGCACTTATATTTCTGAACTTGAGCAAGTGTTTTTATAGGATAGTGCCCTAAAAAAGTGAAACTGATTGGTCAAAGATTAGGTACATGTAAAATTTTGCTAGCTGCTGCCAAATTGCCCTCTAGAGAGATTGAACCAATTTATGAAACTTGACATTTTGAGAAATTGTATGTGTTTCTCATCTACCTAATAAAGAAATTGTCCACACCATTAATATAGTTCTGAGTACACTGAAATATAATGGTGTATGTCTTTCCTACTAGATCGGAACTTCTTTGGGGACAGGAACCATGAATTTCTAAACTTTAGTTGAGCATCCCATTGTTTGCTTAAATAGACCCTGGGGATACAAAAATGAAGGTACTGTCTTTGTCCATAAATGGCTCACAGCCTAGCAAAGGAATCCACAGTCTTATCTATATTCATGCTCTTTACTACAGTGCCTAGAATATGGTATGCACCCTGTAAATCATTATTGTATAACCAAAAGTGTTTCACTTTATTTGTCTGAAAGCTATTTGGCAGAACTTCTTAATTTTATCAAATGAGCCAATGGGTGGTTTTGGAATATGAACTCATTTTCTATTTTAGGCATTGCCTATTGGAAGAAGGAAGGTGTTGTCTTAAGTCTACTCCCCGTGGCTGTTATTTGATTGCTGCTGTTAATAAACATAACATTTTCTCATTTTCTCTGAATATACAATATACAGAAATGGAAGGAGGGTGAGCCATTGGGAGCTTTACTCTACCATTAAGCATTTCTTTAAAGGCTACCTCACATTTGCACTTAGGTCACAAAGCTTCTGTAACTAGGGTGAACCACCATCCTTGAGAAGGTGGAACCTGGGACCTTGGGATATGAGGGCAGAACCTTGGACCCCAGCATGCTATGTTTAGGACATTTGGCCTCTTACTAATCCCACTCAGCTGTGTTCCTCCTTTTCTTCTGTGTTTCTTCAGCACTTATATATTCAGTTTGCACTGTATTAATTTGCACTTGTTTGCATGTTGCTTTGTAAGTATTTTAAGGGCGGTTTTTTTTCCCTCTCTCATATGTATTGTTTTGTGTCCCCAGCTAAAGTACAAACTTTTTGAAGGCAGAAACCATGTCTTTGGTTTCTTTTGTATTTTCCATAGCACCTTTTACTGTGAGAGTGGGCACACAGTATATGTTGTGGAATGACATCCTGAGTGATCCCTCCCTGGCTGGGCCTCAGATTAAATTCCCTGAAATGGAACAGTCCTGACCAACCCAGGACAGGTATTCTCCATCTGGCATGTTGGTTGCTCCTTTCAGCCTGCTATTTGAAATGGCTCCCTTCAGCATCTTACTGTCCCCACAGTGGGGCTTGCCATGGCTGAGGATGTACTTGCTGTATGTGTTCCAGGCGAGTCTGCGGACACCAGAACTGACCTGGGAGCGAGTGAGATCTCAAGTTGACCATGTGATATGGCCTGATGGCAAGAGGATAGTACTGCTGGCAGAGGTAAGGCTGAGACTGGCAAACAATGCTCCCCCACAACAGGAGGAACTGCAGTACCCAGGTCCCCTCCTCCTCATGTTCTCTCATACTTTCAGCTCCTCTGTTAAGCACACGTTTGACTACTTTCCCAATGGATTTTACTTCTAATTGTGAAAGATCTTTTCATTCAGCAATTAAGAAACTATTTTGGTTCTCCACTTTTTACCAATTATCTCGTCTCTCCATGTCAATCCACAGATTGAGTCAGATAATGATTATTACTGTAGAAGGAATTCACAGATCGAACCAGTGCCACTTTGAGTGATGCTTATGAAGAGATAATGTCATTTGTGAGATGGTTTAATCAGTAAGCACAAAGCAGATATTCCCAACTATAACCAGGACTATCTTAGGCAAGCTCTGGGAAAGTATATTTTTACTGATAGATTCCCTGTTTTTGAATGCCCATTCCCTTGAATTGAGCCAGATGTGTAGTAGGCTCAATTGACATTTCCCCATCCTGGCTCCTAGCTCACATTGACACTATTGACTTTCATTTCACTTGGCTTTCGTGTCAATGTTTGACCACTTTTCCTTTCTTAAAAGCTCCTCTTCTCTAGTCCTGGATTCCTGACAGCTATGATGATGCCTTCTATTCTTACCTTGAAGCTTTCTCTTCAGAGAAAGATACCAAAATAACAAGGAGGATAATAATACTTTTCTCAATTTTGATTTTCAGTCAGTTTTTTTGCTTTTTTTTATATTAAAGAACCTTAATATGAAAATGTAAAAGATAAACTGTCTTTATCTAGGGGCCCAGAAGTTAGGGGTTTTTAGTATCCTTACTGTTCTCTTCACCTTTTCCTTACTTTATCTCATCTTCTCCGATACTTTAGGGCATTTGTAAAGGGACTGAACTCTTTCTTCATGAGGAAGGAGTATACATGAGGAGAAGATGGGCAGATTGCCAAATACGCATTAGTAGCTTTAATGTCAATCTGCTGCCTGGTGACTTACTTCTAGCTGCCCTAGGAGGTCCCACCTGGTAGTTTTGGTGACAAAAGCAAGTACCATGGGTGTTTTGGCTATATGGTTGAGCAAAAAGGTGGTTAGGTTTCTTAAGAAACAAAATAGGAAAGGCTGGCATTGGGGGCAGTTTCTAGTTCTTCTGCTGTCTGAATCACCAGCTCAAAATACAAGGCTGACAAGGCTGTCTTTGAATTCAGAAGAAACAAACTGAAGGAGAAGCACAAAAATCATCACAGCTACGGTGAAACACCATCTCTACTAAAAAAAAGAAAATCCAAAAGTTAGCCAGGCATGGTGACACATGCCTGTGGTCCCAGCTACTTGGGAGACTGAAGCAGGAGAATTGCCTGAACCCAAGAGGCAGAGGTTATAGTGAGTCAAGATCATGCCACTGAATTCCATCCTGGGCACGGAAGGAGACTCCATCTCAAAAAAAAAAATTATCACAGCTTTCTAAATCCAAAGATATCTCCCCTCACAACCTGGGGAGATTGTCCCTGGATTTGACTGATCATTGTTTATTTCAGGATAGTCTTCCAAAGGAATGCTGATCCTCAGAAGGGGAGGATATTTTGCTATAGAGAGTGGAAAGTTCAAGAGAAATATACTGATATTTGGCATAAGCCTCAGTGTCGTATGACCATCTGTATTCCTTTTAAATAATTCCAGAAATCTTTTAGCTATTAGTTTCATCAAATTTTCCAGAATTTTAGTAGTTTCATTTAAATGTCAGTTGGTTAGTTCTTGTATATCGAACAGCTGCTTTTATTCCAGCAAGTTAGTAGGGAAGTGTTTGGAAAATGGCAGTCATGCTTCTCTTCCCTCACTTCTCAAAGGCCATCGACTTTGTCCTAATCCATTTGTGTCTTCGCCTTTGATCACTAGGGCCGCCTGCTGAACCTAAGCTGCTCCACAGTGCCTACATTTGTGCTCTCAATCACTGCTACTACTCAGGTAAGGCTTCCAGAGTGGGACAGCAGTAGTCTGGAGAGGGTCCTCAGACTAACCAGGTTTCACTTTCTTGGGTGAATTGCTATGAATGGCACATCAGCATCCATCTCTCTGCTTTTCTAGGCGCTTGCCTTGATAGAGCTTTACAATGCTCCTGAGGGTCGCTATAAGCAGGATGTCTACCTGTTGCCCAAGAAAATGGGTAAGTATTTGCTCTTCCATCTCCATCCTTACCAAAGTAGTTCAGAGTCTGAGGCTAAAGGAAGTTTGGGGGCATTAACTTTCTTAAGAATAGGGGGATAAAAAGGTATCTTCATCTTCTAAAGTAGGAGTTAGGATTCCTAGGTTCCAGTCCTAGTTGATTTATCCCATTTTCTTTTTATTTGTTTTATTTTTATTTATTTTTTTATTTGTTTGAGACAGAGTCTCACTGTGTCACCAGGCTGAAGTGCAGTGGCCATGATCTCAGTTCACTGCAACCTCCGCCTCCCAGGTTCAAGCGATTGCCTCAGCCTCCTGAGTATCTGGAACTACAAGCATGTGCCACCATACCTGGCTGATTTTTTTTGTATTTTAGTAGGACAGGGTTTCACTCTGCTGGCCAGGGTGGTCTCGATCTCCTGCCCTGGTGATCCACCTGCCTCAGCCTCCCAGAGTGCTGGGATTATAGGCCTGAGCCACCACGCCCAACCTTTGTCTCATTTTCTACATGCGTTGCCCTAGCAAAGTTGTGACATTTTGCTGTGATTTAGTTTACCTGCCTGTGAATTTTAAGGATTTATTTCTCTTAAAGTATCTTTATTTGGGAATCTCAAAGGAGGAAAAAAAAATACTCCCTTAAAAAAGAAGAATTATCTCCTACCTTGTGACATCTGACTTATTCCAATGCTAGGCTGCCATATAGCCCCTACCAAACTTTTCTCAGACCACACAAGACTTGCCTACCACACCTTCCAACACCAGTCCCAATGCTTCAGCCAAAGGAGAGATGTGGAATAGGAGCTATTTAGTTACATGGGTGTTTTGTATGAGAGAAACATTAACCTGTCTTAAATTTTTAAAGAGCCTACCTCAAGCACCTGAACTGATACAGTGTGTTTATAAACTCCTCAGGCAAATATCAAGTAATAAATCAGCTTCTGGTTTTGTTCTGCTTTAGCACTAGGTATATAACAACTGTTAAAAGTTGATAGATTTTCCCTTTAGTAGACATTTTGGAAGGATATAAAAGCAACAGCACAGTCCATATTCTGACAGAATGTATAATGAAGTTGGGAGACCAAACAAATACATAGGAAATGACATAAGATTATGAATAAGTACTATGTAGTCAGATAATAGAATGTGAACAGAAACCCAAAAGAATTAAGACTACTCAAAGCAAAGCAAACAGTTCATTTATCCCATTTATCTTGTTGGAGTATCCTTCTTAGTTTTTCCATTCAAGTTTCCCCAGGCATTAGTTGTTCTAAATGACCCAAAGTATAGAGTCTAAAGCAAAACTAAAGTTGGAGCTTCCCATTATTTAGTTCCCACATTATCCTATTCCTTCTTTTAGATCCTGATGCCTGTTGTTTCTTTCATTTTTCCTGTACTTTTCTGGATGGCAAGGTTCAAAGCTGAAAGAGTTAGTAAGGATGGATTGTTAAGGCTTTGGAAAGTACTGGGCTTGAAGCTGAAGGCAGCTATTCCTTAGAATTGAGGACCAGTGAGTAAAGGTTGAACATTTTTTATTCAGCTCCAGGAATTAGAAGGTGTCTTTGAACTTTTTAAGGCCTAGCTTGAGGAGAACAGTCATCAGGTAAAAGGCATGAATGCTTATACCAGGGCTTCTGTGGTCTGTTCCAGATGAATATGTGGCCAGTCTACACCTGCCTACCTTTGATGCCCACTTGACAGAGCTGACAGACGAACAGGCCAAGTATCTGGGACTCAACAAGAATGGGCCCTTCAAGCCTAATTACTACAGGTGCCTTGGGCTCCCCAGAAATCAGGGACACCTGGGCAGTGACGAGCTTCCTGAACTGGAATTGGTCTTTGCATCCCCAACCTCATATGCTTACATGAACTCAGAAAAATGAACCCACTTCCCCTCACTGCCACCCCTAAAAGACTCTTCAAGGCCTTAAATAGTATTCCCCTTCCTGAATTTGCCTTTTGGAGATAGAGAGGTAGAGCTTGGGTAAGTGGCTCTTTGCCCCATTAAATAAAGTTCCCCTTCCTTAATTCCTTTCCCCATTTCATCTTCTTACTATGATTTTTATCTCTTTATGGAGAGTATTGGCCTTTTTCAATGATGTGAAAAGGAGACACAGTTGTCTCCTGTCACCATACACTCCAGAAAAGTCTCTGCCTCCCTGTTATACCTTTAGGCAAGCTCTTCATGTCCCAGCATCCCCATTAGCTGATAACATCACAATCTCATCTTTCTTTTTCCCTCCAGGTATTAAGTTCCTGTAACTCAAACCAGAAGTTTTAAGAAATAGGACTTCAAGCCTTTTCTCCACTACTATACAAGAAATAATTCAGCAAGCTGCTTCTCCAATCAGAGCTGCCTGCCGTGCTCACCCTGTGTGTTAGGTTATTTATTTATTAAAATCAAGAATCCTGTGCCTGTAGCATTGGCCCAGAGTGTGGTTACTGCCCTGAGGGCCATGAGAGAGCCACAGAGGATGGACAGAGGAAGGAAAGAAATGGGGTAACTGCTCCCAGTGCATTATTCACATCATTCCCCATTGACTGAATCCTCAGCAGTGGCCATTTTTCCTCTTGTCCAGGCTCACGAGTTAGTCCAGGGATTCCATATTTCCCATTCCCTGGAGTTTTCTGGAATAAATTTTCAGCACCTGCCTTTCTCAGCTTTGGCCCGTCCCCAGGTGAGGCCGTTTGGAATTAACATGGCCAGTGTTTCACACAAGATTGGGTTCGCAATCTTGACCATCACTATCACCGCCTTCTTTATATAAAGGCTAATAAGGAAAGAATGTTATTTGTGGCTTTGCTAAGCTATGTCAGGAACTCAGCTGTGCTGTGCCTACCAGGGGTCTCCTTTCTTACCTTGGACTCCTTTCTTCTCCTTGAATATTTATGTCCATTTTAACACTTTCTCGTTGCAAGAGGGATGTGCCTCCATTATTTCCTCCACAGTTTTGGTATTTGTCAGACATTTTTTCTGCTGTCTTTCTAATCCAACCAACCTCTGCTCAGGAAGTGGGGCCAGCTCCACTGGGACCCATAGTTTTACTTCCTTGTCATTTGGATAGTTTCCAAGGAAGCTCCTCCAGATTGCCACGATGTCAGAAAAGGAGAGCTTGTTGTGAAACACTGCTTCCTGAAACTTCCTGCTATTGCCTAACCCTACGTCTGAAACTGAGTAGGGAAAGGTATACTTTTCCAGGGATTTGGGGGGTATAAGGCTTTGGAAATGGGACAGGTCTTTCAGACTCACAGCTTGATACCCCAACAAAGCAGAGTATATTTATTTGTTTCCCAGGAAGGCCATCGCAGCTTGACTGTCTGAGGGATACGGAGATGAAATCGTAAACAGTATCCAAATTATCAAAGCTAATTTGAGGAGTTTGAACCTCATCAGATATTCATTCCTTTGGCCATTGGTATGGATGAAACAGAGATCTGCAATCTGATCTGTGGTCTTCTCTGCTGGCATGTATTTTATGATTTAACTTCTTCCATTGAGGATTCTCTACTTCAGAGGCAGTTTCTCGAGTAACTCCAGTGCTACAAAAAGAATTAGTAATGTGTTATGGGCAGCATGATATTTTGTGTCCCACCCAAAAATTGAATTCCTTTTGGAGACTGATCTGCTGGTCTCAAGGGTTTCACTGGGACCCGATTGGTTCTAAGAGTTAAAGTCTGGAGTGGCCCTAGAAACTTGAATTAAATAAGCCTCTTCCCCTTGCCGATTCTATTCAACACTCTCAGGTTGGTTTGTTCCCCACTTTTTTCCTACGCTGGTCTGCCTCAAAGTCTCAAGACCAAGGTGACTCAAGGAAACACCAGACCACCCATTATCACTATAACCTTCCCATCCTGATTCTCTCTTCTACCTCCACCCTCTCTTGGTCTTCACATATACTCTCAGCTAGTCTGAAAGTTTCTCTTGGTCTTCACATATACTCTTAGAGCTTCACATACACTCTCAGAGCTAGTCTGAAAGTTTCTCTTGGTCTTCACATATACTCTCAAAGCTTCTCTTGGTCTTCACATATATTCTCAGAGCTAGTCTGAAAGTGACCTTACTTTTGGAAGTAGGGAAGTGGAACTTTGGTAAATGACTCTGTCTCATTAAATAGTATACAGGCTCAGCCCATAGACTACAGTTATTCAGAGGCCATATGTCTTAGCAAGCACTGGTTTTATTCTTTTTTATAAGGAAGATCATATATGCTAAATATTTCCACTAAGCCATTCAGGTCTTCCTTTTGCCTACCTAGGCATGATTTTTGTATTAATTGGGTCCCTTTAGCAAGAGATTCAGATTGTTGTACCCTATCTTATATCCAGAGTAGATTCCATTTGGCAGATATATGGTCTCTAGCCTATTGTATTCTTAGCCCAAAAATCATAACCTGCTGTTTCTCAGCAAAGCCTTGCTCTCTGGAGCTTACTATGTGCTGGTACTTAAAGAATACACTCTGCCTTGCTGTAGTGAAGAGACCCACTCCAAATAAAAAAGGAGCCACACTGGACTTCTGAGTTAGGTTGCCAGTGTTGCTGCCCATGATGAGATATTTGCCTCTGAGTTTCAGATGACCTCTCTTCTTTGTAGGGACCTATGCCATCAACCATTAAGAAGAAAGGGCCACAGGCCTCCCAAGTATTTGGGCTCTATCTTAGTGTTGGAATCTGGTCATTATAATCTCTTCCCTTGGAATCAGGGCAATGTGTCATCTTTCCTCATGCCTCTTACCTTAGATGCATCCCAGTTATCTGGAAGTATGGGAAAGAAGACTGACTATCTTTGTATGTGGCTCCAGTCTGTGAGGTTACATACTATTTTCTCTACAATTAATTTGTGCTAGTTTTTCCTTCTTTCTTTTCTTTTCCCCATTAGAGACATGGTTTCACTGTCTTTCCAGGCTGGTCTCAAACTCCTGGGCTCAAGCAATCCTCCTGCTTCAGCTTCCTGAGTAGCTAGAACCACAGGTGTGTGCTACCATGCCTGGCCCTTTTTTGCCTTTTTCGTGGAGATATTCCGTTTTCTTTCTTTCTTTTTTTTTTTTTTTTTGTTTCATTTAAACAACAACAAAAAATGTATCTAATCTACCTTCTCCCTGCTGTCTTCCCTCCCGATCCTACTTGCCCATATGAGCGCAGCTCCCTGTGGCCACATACTCCTGCAAAGCTTTTTTGCTGCTTGGCTTTTCTCTGAACAGATCTGATATTGCTGCTCCTGTGGTTTTCTCAAAACTTTGTGATGGTTTTCAAAAAAGGAATCAAATGCATCATTGCATTAAGCGTTTTCAATAAAGGAAAATTATAGAAGGAAAATAGGCAACACCAGCAAATTATATGTGGACAAGTTCTAAACTATATATATATATATATATATATATATATACATATATATACACGTAATCATCTAGTTCTGTCATCTTACTGAAAAGAATAAAACTTCTAAGGATCACCATTTCTGAGAAGTTCTTGGAAATCTTTATGTCTAAGTGATTGTATTAGATCAGCAATAATGACTGTGTAATCTCGAAAAACAAATAAAATATTCTTAACATGGAATTTAAGGGTATTTCTTGTTTCTGTAAACTTAAGAATTCAGAGATGAGAGCGATCTCTGGGTAACAAACTAGTATCCTGCTGTAGGGCAAGGATGTAAAAATGTTACCAAAAGGCATGTTTGAATGACCTTAGGCTTGTTAATAAATATCCTGTTCCCCTCCTCCCTGGCAGCACACACCGGCATCTGCCTTCTCAGAACCACTACCCTGGGGAGCTGAGGACTGTAGGCTTCAGACAGAGAAACTAAACCATAGTTCTAGGTCCCTGACTCCCTTCGTTTGCTGCCCTTAGTTGAAAAGTGCAGGAAATCAGCATCCCCCAGTTTCGGACCAAAGGACTCTGACAACTAGGACCTGATTATATCCAGACTGCCTATTCTTTCTCAACTGCCAGTAGGGTAACCATCTTTGGCTAACTTTCTGCTAGCCAACTTCTTTAGTTGACAACCTAAACTAGTTCTGCATCCTATATGCAAGATGTTTTCTTACCATAGCAGAATCTTCTGCCACTTTGGCTTCTGATTACTTAGATTAAGGGCCACAGGGTTAGAATAGTCTGGGCAGTTGGTAATCCTCAAAATAAGTGCCATTCCAGTTAAGAGGAGGACACAGCAGCTAGCAATGAAGCTGGTGAGTCAGCTGAAAGGATTTTGCTCCCCTGTAGCAGAGCTTGACTCCTCATGTGTGATGGAATTTTGGGTGCCTGGGTCTTCATTTCAGAATCATAGGGTAAGCCCAAGCTGTCCACTGTAGCACAAGTTTCTCCGCCTCACAGTATTGTGGAAAAGAGCTTGAACTTTGAAGCAGGCTAACTTGGGTTTGAATCCCAGCTCTGCCATTTACAAGTTATGCAACAGCCAAATTACGTAACCACCCACAGCCTCGATTTTCTTGCCTGTGAAATGGATACTGCTTATCTCCTAGGGTAAGGATTTAATGAACTGATGTATAAAAAGTGCTGCTTATTTACAGAGCCTGGCATGCACCACTGACTGCATACACATCATTTCTTGTCTCAACCTGGAGCCCTACAACCTCCGTTGCATCCTTACACCCACATGTGACTTCATGGAGAGAGGAGGATGTTCTTTCCTTTTTTTTTTTTTTCACTAAATTATCCTAACTGCCTGATAGCCTCAAAAAGCAGGTACTTCAAGACTTCCTACATCTTATGAAGCTTTCTCAGTGCCAGGTGCTATCCATTTAGTCAAGTATCTGACCTCTGTGGATTAAAGTGGAGTGCTAATATGGGGAAAAGGGTGTATGTGATCCTTGTAACTAAACCTATTTATTACCGCCAACCCTCTGCTGGCAGCCTGAGTTTTGGGACAAGAGAAATTGGTAATGTAGGTTTTTTGATAACTTCAAATATAAAAATAACAGCATTGGAGCCATCTCTGCAAGATGGAGAGATTTGACCAGCCTTGACTAATTAGCTCTCAGGTATGGATGCCTCTGTGGTCAATGGTATTGATGGCTAGCCCGCCTTTGTTGACAAATAAGCTAAAGGAAATCGAGTGTGTGCCAATTCCATGGCCTATAGTTTCAAAGTTTTCAGTTACTCAATGGTTTTTTGTTACGTCCTCCCATTGTTTCCAGATATCTTCCTCTTTATAAGAAGTTCTGAACGTCTGGCCCTATAATGAGCACATAGGTGTCTGATCTTAGAAAAGGTCTATTCCACTGAAATGTGGAAAAGGTCATGGATTGAGGTCTCTTCTCGTGTTGACTCCACATCTTCATAGCCCAGTTTTGCACATTCATTCTCTGAAATTAAAGCCAGTTGGAGCTCTAGGCTTAGCAAGTGGTTTTAGGTAGACACCAGAGGGGACTTATGAGCTGTCCTCTATCCTACTCTCAAGATCAGTCTGCCCTTCCCCCTAGGAATAGGCAGGAAAAGGAATAAAGTGTCAAAACTGGCCACTCCTGTCTGCCACCACTGTTGGGATCCTGCTGATTGAGGCTCACAAAAGAATATGAAGTTCTGGGCCCATTAACCGTAGGGCTCTGACTACTTAGGAGGAGAAGAAGTACTGGGAAGAAGAGGTAAAATAATGAATTCTTTTTATTAAGAAACCCCAATGGGCTGTGCTTTGGCAGGTTTACCACACTGAAGCAGTGATGAGCAAGGCGTGGGTTGTGAATTTTAAAGCAGAGTGTAAATTTTTAAGAGTTTAACAAATTATACCCTGAAAAAAATCCAAAGTCAAGTAGTTTAGGCCTTGAGCCAGGGACTTTCTTGGAAATTCAATTCTGTAAACTGCCTCCCCCCCCCCCCAGGACATTTTGCAGTATCTGGAGACATTTTTGGTTATCACACTAGGGAGAGGCTACCACTGGCATCTAGTGAAGAGAGGCTAGATATTCTCCCAAGCATCCTACAATGCACAGGACAGCCCCCTACAATAAGTATTCAGCCCCAGTTGTCAATAGTACAGAGACTGTGAAACCCTGCGTTAAACGTACATAAATTAGGCATACAAAAATGAGCTAGATTTGGTCTTACTCTTAAGGAGCCTATATGTGGGTGGGAAGTGGGACTGGAAGAGGAAAGGGAAGATGGGTGGGTACAGTGAGGAGGTATTGGGTATCAGGGAGAGAAAACCCAAAAAGCTCCAAAGAGTGCTCTTAAACTTGTTCTTTCACCTACAAACTGACAAAGGGAAAAAAGTGAGAGAGATGGTAAGAAAGGGACAGAGTTGTCTCTAAGATTTGGGAAGGTGGAGTAATTCCTTTAGGCCCCTTGCTTTGGGTATATCGTGGAAAATGTTATGATTTTGGTTCCAGGCAGAACTGGCTTGACACCAATACAGCCTGAGTGAGTTGAGGGCCAAAGGAAAGCTTTGTGAAGGAGGTGATAACTAACTAGAATCTTTATGGGAGAAAAGGAATCAACCAGGGGAGCAGAAGACAGTCTCCTCCAGAGAACAGCACGGGAAAGACCCTGAGACGACAGAATATACCTTGGGAACTGCAGGGAGGAATCTGCAAGGGCCAGTTTCCTCATCAGTAACACCGGATTCGTAAAAATACCCTGTCGGGGAGTACGATGTGATATCTGGAAAGCGCCTACTGCAGTTCCTGGCACCAAGCACAACGCCCCAGACCCTTCCTAAAGCAACCAGGCCGGGGAGAGCGATTTGGTTCCACCCGTTCCCCGGAGCCTAGGTCTTCGGGGCTTCTATTACCAAGTCAGACTGTCTATATACTTCCTACAAGCTGCTTTTTAAATTCAGGGAGGGCAGATCAAACAGCCTCCTTTGCCTCCAGTAACACTGAGCCCTTAGGAAGCATCTTAGAAAAGAGAGAGGAAGGAAGGAAAGGACTGGCGAGCCGGTGAGGGTGGGGACTTGCTCTGCACTCAACATCTGCTGCCCAGCTCACACCATGAGGAAGAGGCCCCTACTGCAGAAAAGACAGATGACAGGAGCAGCCCCGAAGCCACCAGCAATTTCAGTAATGGAAAAACGTCCCCATCCCAATCCTTGACCCCCAGTCTCCCAGCCAAGCCCTCGCTCCGGGAGAGATGCGTTCTCTTCAGAGAAACACTGAGAATTCTCAGCTTCCGGAGACAGCGAGTCCCTCGTTTCGGGGGGGGTGTCCCTGGCCACTTGGTGGTGCCATCCCTCCCCCGCGACTAAGCGGGATGTGGGACGCGTGCAGGAGCCGGGATTTGGGGGTCCGGGTCGATGATACTAGGGAAACAGAGACTGCGGTGGAGCAGGAGGCGGAGATTGGAGCTACGGAAAAGGTCGCTACAGGGGGCGGGGTGAATGCTGAAAGACACCGAGTGAGGAGCACTGAGATTACCCGCCGGAGCTCAAGGCCCCGCATTCCGGGGGTGTGGAGCCTGGAGCTAACCTAGGAGTCTCCGGCTGCCAGCAGTGCCGCAGGACTGAGAAGATCCCCCCAAATCTCTTCAATGAGCCCCCACCTCCTCGAGTCCCGCTCAGGCCGGTGGAGCAGCCAATTGCCTCGCGGGGCGGGGCCGCGGAGAGCATCTGTAGCCAATAGTGGCGGAGGAGGCGGGCCTGGCTCCCGGCGCGCGGCTGTGTGGTCTCCCCGGGCAGAGCAAGCTGAACCCTGAGGGGAGCCGCTGACCAGCTTCATGGAGGACCTCGCCGCGCCTGGGAACGGAGTCCCGCCCGCCAATGGCAATGGCAACGGCGGCGGCAAAGGGAAGCAGGCGGCGCCCAAGGGCCGCGAAGCGTTCCGAAGCCAGCGGCGGGAGTCAGAGGTGAGGAGCCCCCGAGCTTCGGTTGGGGCCCGGAGACGCCCGCGGGCGGGAAGCAGCGGCTGAGGCGATTCGGCCTTGGCCCCGGAGCCCTCGGCGCGCTTCGTCAGCCCCACGCAGTGTGCGCCTGCGGGGTCCCCGCTGCTGGACACTGGGCTCTGCAGCCCCGACCCTCGTCCGCACGTCTCCTGCCGCGGATTGGGGTCTTTCTAGCCCTGTGGCCTCCCCTCGATGCACGAAGATGAGGGCTACGTTGAACGGACCAAATACTTTACAAATATTTATCTCACTTAATCGCTGCAGCTCCTTGAAGCAGAAATTCCGATCCCGGTTTATAGATGGGGGAGCGGGAGCGGAGAGGTCAAGTGACCGGCTTGAGGGGTGGGAGGCCGGAGCTCAGCTGCGGGAAGGCCGGGTTGGCGAGTGGGGCAGCCGCCCTCCCCCTCCCGCGCTGCCTGCGGCGGGCCCCGGGGCCGGTCCGCATTGGCCGGGGGACTTCTGCCCGCCGCCTGCTTGCCCGCTTCTCCCTGCAAGTCTTAGGCGGCTTCGGGAGCGCCTTTCGCGGACATCAGGCCCCCTGCCTGTGAGGGCTGAGCGAGGCGGGATTCCGCAGCCCAGGGGTCGCTATCTGGCGGGAGCAGTCCCAGCATACAGATAGGAGTAGGAGGATTTCCATCTCTTCCTCCTCTCCTAAAGAACAAATCCTGTCTCGGAAGATGAAAGCATCGAATTATGCACACTCCCCTACCCCCTCATCTAGGAGCGGGGATCAGAATAGACGACAGAATGTCACATGTGGCGGGGTCTGCAGAGATCATCTGCTATGGCCCTTTCATTTTACAGACCTAAAAGGAACGGGAGTGACTTGCCAAAGATCAGACATCTGGCACAGTTTGTGGTCAGGAACACCAGGCTTTGGAGTCAGTCAGACCAGGTTTTGAATCCCAGCCCTATCATTTACTACCTGTGCGATTACCCAACCCCTCTGAGCTCTGGTTTCTGCATCTGTAAAATGAAATTAACACTGCCTGCCTCAGAAGGTTGTGATAAAGTGAAAATGAGATAATTGACTATAAACTTTTTGGCACAGTGCAGCCACAATGCATGTAATTGGTCAGCACATAGTAACTCTTAGTATATTATTGTCATCATCATCATCATCAAGTGGTAGAGCTGGTTCTAGAAGCCAGGTCTTTGGCAGCCCAGATCTTGCCTTACCATTTGAATAGCATTTCAGTTTCCAAAGTGATTTCATGTATGCTTCCCATTTTGATGTAGGCAGAGTAGGAGGAATCCATTCTTTTTTTTTTTTTTTTTAAGGTAGAAGTGGAGGTAAAAAGACCAGCTCAAAGTCATCATCTTGCAGAGGCAGAGCGCAGCCCTCCTGTCTTGCTAGATTATATCCACCACATCATCTCCCTCCCTACCTCAAGATGAGTCTGGTCTTTTAGGGCACCCTGGACCTCCTTCCCCTACAGAGACATTGTTCTCACTCAAATGTTTTTTGGGGAGATGAGCCATTCATTAATTCAACAATTATTTATCGAGGACTTTCTATCTGCCAGCCACTGTTTTAGATGTTAGGGATGCATCAGGGAACAACATAGGGTCTTTGGCTGTGGAGAGACAAATTGTGAGCAAATAAAATAATTTCAGAATGATATGTTCTATGGGGGAATAAAAGTCTCTCCCTGGATGTCCCTTCTAAAGTTGCAATCTGTTCCCCGCCTGTCAAGTCTTCTTCAGGCAAAGGCTCTGATAGTGTGGTCTTTTGCCAGTACTTTGCAGTGTCCAGAGACTTAAAAGCTTTCCACCTGCACTGCAGTTTACCTGCTGATCGGCTGCAGCTGCACTCTTCATGCCTGGAAATGAACAACTGCAGCGATCATCTCTGGCTGGGCTCATTGCCTGCCAAAAGCCTGGCTGGAAAGATTAACTTTCCTCTACCTTCTGCTGCAGCAGAACTCTTTTTACCTGCCAGTGCCTCCTCTATCACCACAGTACCCAGATGCGAGATCTGCTTTTCTTCTCTCCCTCTTTTTTGCTTTCCTGTGAAAGGCAGTCCTTAGAGGAGATAGGTGTTTTTTTTTTCCCCTCTCTAGGGCTTTTAGAAAATCACTAGAAGAGAATTACTGAGGCACAAGTCAAGAGAGTCTCATCATGTATCACTGTTTATGGGAACACCGTTGACCTACCTTCTCCCAGTGGCTTAGCCTGTGAACATCCCAACCTAAAAAGAAAGCTAAAGAGTAATTGTTTGCTTAATAAGAAGAGTCCTAACCTAACAAAAGGATTCACCTCAGGCCTCTTTTAGCCAGATCTAGTTTATTGATCTCAAACTCCTTGACAGAGTTTTAACTGGTCTGTGGTAAAATGTGGAAAATTCGGGTCATCAAAGTGAGTTTTTGTAAAAATTTAGTTCAATATATTAATTTAAGGATGTACACAATTTAAAACAATGTTTTTGAAACTGCTATGGGGGCAACCTGTTGAGGCTAAAATTTTTATTTTAAGAGATAACCCAGCATGATGACTCATGCTTATTATCACAACACTTTGGGAGGCTAAGGCAGGAGGATAGCTTTAGCTCAGGAATTCGAGACCAGCCTGGGAAATGTAGGCAGACCCCGTCTCTACAAAAAATAAAAAACAAGAAAAATTTAGCCAGTCATGATGGTGCACATCTGTTGTCCCAGCTGCTCGGGAGGCTGAAGTGGGAGAATCACCTGAGCCTAGGAGGTTGAAGCTGCAGTGAGCTGTGATCAAGCCACTGCACTCCAGCTTGGGTGAGAGGAAGACCCTGTCTTTAAAAAAAAGAAAGAAAGAAAAGAAATAAAATAATAGAAAAATCAGTGCATCATATGCAGTAAAGATAAGTATTTTGTTAAAAATGTGTTCCAGATTTTGTGTGCCTGTGTGGGACATAATATAAAATGTATCATTTTTCCAAAAAGTTTGAAAAGCAGTTTGTAATGATTGTTCTTTATTCTGACATTCTGTCCTTCATTTTGGGGGTTTAAATAGTTCTTTTTTGAATTACAAAAATTTTTTTTAAGTCTTTACCCATCAGAATAAAACAGCAACAACCCTATGTATGTCATATCCCACTCTCCACCTTTTTCTTTTTCCCATACTGTTCTCTATAATCCACAAGTTTGGAAGTCTTTGCCCTCGTGTATTTAAACATGGTTTGTCTTGTTGACAGTATAAATTGGCATGTTTTGGGGAAGCAACTCGTCATATACAAAGAGGCTTAAAAATGTTCATAATATTTGATTCATTAGTTTTCTTTATTTAAAAAAATCTATGCTTAGGAGATATCCTAAATATAGAAAAAAGTATAAGTCTATAACAGTTTCATGCATATAATAAAGGAAAATTAAAAACAATTTATTCAACAATAAGGAACTGGTTAAGTAAACCAATAAATGTACATCCATTTATACAACCATTTAAACTAATATAGTAATATGAGAAGAAGGCCTTTATAATATAATATTAAAATTATGAACAGAGTGACCACCCACACAGTGGTACCAAGTGCTAGGTGGTATGCTAAGTGCCTTTCCTGTATTAGCTCATTTAGTCCTTACAATAACCCTATGAAGTAAGTCCTGTTATTATCCTCATTTTACAGATGGGAAAACCGAGCAGGTCATTTTCCAACAATTTCCTGACACCAACTGGATGTCCTACAATTGATTTCAATTCTGATATTAACTACCTAGAATTAGCACAGACCCCACAAGTTAAGGGCTCAGTCCTTCAAGGCCCCGCTTTGGATGCCAGCCATAGATGGAGTCCCCAAGCTATCCACACTTCAGCCTGGCCAACTACAAATTAAGTGGTTATGATGATCCTCCCTTCAGGTTCCGTAATGTGCTAGAATAACTTGCAGAATCCAGGAAAGCATGTATTTATGACTATAATTTTACTATAAAGGATACAATTCAAGACCAGCCAGATGGAACAAATGCACAGGACGAGGTGTGGGGCTGGGTTAGTGCTGAGTTTCCATAGTCTCCCTGGACACCACTCTCCTAGCACATCTGTTTGTTCCCCAACCCAAAAGCTGCCTGAACCTAGTTGTTTCTGGGTTTTCATATAATGTTTTATTACCTAAGCATGATTAAACTATTGACTACATGACTGGACTTAATCTGTAGTACCCCTCCCCTCCCTGGACATGGGGCTGGTGATGAAAATGAAAATCTTTAATCATGTGCTTGGTCTTTCCTAACATAAGTCACCTCATGAGCATAAATTGTGGTAAAGCTGACAGTGACCCATTACGAATAACTGACATTCCTACCACTCAGGAACTTCTAAGAGTTTCAGGAGCTCTGTACCATATTTTTTATGTCATGCTGAGACACAGAAAGGTTAACTTATCCAAGATCAAAAAGTATGTGACAGAGCTGAGACTGAGATTTTAAAAGTCATATATATTAACATATACTGGAAGGAAATATCCCAAAATGCTTAAATAAGTTAGAAGATGGAATAATTAAAATATATTTAATAGGATTATAAATTTATACATACAACATCATAGGAAATCTAATCTTTACTACAACTTGGAGTGGAGATGTTGTGTTATTTGACAATCCTAAAGTTGTGGAATATTAGAGCTAAAGAATCTCATTTTAAAAATGAGGAGCTATGATCCACAACATGAGACTTGACCTATATCATACAGTGGGTTGATGACAGAACTGAAGCAAGAATCCAGTTATCTTTGTTTCTGTCTGTCTCAATTTTATATAAATTAGCTAGATGCTTCTCTAGTCTGTGTTCATGTAGATTAGATGTGGATACAGACTGTAGCTTTCATATGTGTTTGAGATCCTGGCCCTTTATTCAGACTTTCTGATTTGGATAAGAATCCTCAGTCCCTTCACTGACCCTCAAGTTTTGGCTTAGTGAAGGGTACCTCTGAGATGAAAGACCCAAATACTACTCTCCTAACTGATTCCCTGATCTAACCTTGGCCTCCATGAGGGGAAAAAGATAAATAAGGGTACAATCTTCCCTTGGTAACCCCTTTTCCCAGGTTATCTCAGTTACTAACAAAATTTCTCTGTTACAGGGCTCCGTAGACTGTCCCACTCTGGAGTTCGAGTATGGAGATGCAGATGGGCATGCAGCAGAGTTGTCAGGTATGAGGTAGTTGGGTCAGTAGCTAGTAAAAGAATGTCCAGGAGGAGAGGGAAGGGGACTGTGATCTCCCTGGAAGCTTGTCTGTTCTCACCAAGTGGCTATTGAACAAAGGTTGTTCTCCACATTCCTTTTTCTCTCTACCCCAGAGTGGTAAAATCTCTTTGTCTTCATATTTACTTCTGTGACTCTCCTTGGCTATGGTATTCTTCATTCTGTCGTGCTATCACTCTTTCCTGCTCACTCTTCTTTATTCTCTTTGAAAATAACTGATTTGATACACTCTCAAATCAGTTTTCTCTCCATCTTCTCCCTATTCCTCCTCTCTTTTCTTTCTGTCACCCATATCTTTGCCTGCCTCCTCCTTTCTGCTGCCCTCTTTCTCTCCCATGCCATCTCTTTTTCCTTTGTCTCCTCTACCTCCATCTTTTCCTTCTTCCCTCGCCTCTGCCCCTTATTAAAAATCTCAGCAGAGTCTGAGGAAAAACTCTATAGTCAACTGGCCAGCTGAGCAAGGCTGGACATGTCACCTGCATTCATTATAGTGGAGTTCTGCTTGGATGTTTATGAACTGAGGTTAAGTGATTCCATTCTTTTAGTGCTGGACTGCTTCTCTCTGTCTGGATTTTTAGCTTAGGGTAAACATGATCTCATCACATTAAGTGCCTCCATGTAACATGTCCTGTGAATGCCAGTTATTAATAAATTAGCTTTGGGTGGAGATGGTGTGAAAGTTAAATATTCTGTCACATGGAAGTGACACTGAGACATGCTTTTTCAGAGAAAAGAGACACTTTTAAAGAAGTTCTTGTGCATAAGCACAGGGAATAAATTTTGTGATGAGTGACAGGGAAATAGAGAGCTAAGTTTTATAACTAGCAAAGGATTAGAATTCATAATGGGAATATGATATATATATGAGAGGAGAGAGATGAGCAACCCAATAGAGAAGTGGGCAAAGAATATAATAAATGGGAATTTATAGAAGAAAAAGCCAAATGGTCAATAACTACATGAAAAGATGTTGAACTTTATTAGTAAATGGGGAAAAGGAGGTTAAAAGAATAAAATATTATTTCACAATCATCAGGTTGCAAAACTGAAAAGCCTGGGGTCGGTGAGGGTGCAGAGATATTAGTACTTTTATGCACTGCTAGACATGGGGGAGCAGAGTATAAAATTGAAAAGCAGTTTGCTTATATCTTGTAAAGTTGAAAATTTCGACCCAACAAATCTACTCCTAGATATCCACTCTAAAGAAAATCACACTTGGGCACAAGAAAATGTAGAAAGATATTTATTGCAGCCTTGTTTATCAGTGTAAAAAGTTGGAAAACAACCTACAATGCCCATCAGTAGGGAAATGGATAAACTATAGCTATTAGTGCAGTAGGCTATTGAATAGCCATTAAAATAATTGATCTAAATTAAGACATTTCTTCTTTTTTTAGAGATATGGTCTGATCAGTATGGTGAAATCCCGTCTTTACTAAAAATACAAAAATTAGCCAGGCATCATGGCATGTTCCTGTAGTCGTAGCTACTCAGGAAGCTGAGACAAGAGAATTGCCTGAACCCGGGAGGCAGAGGTTGCAGTAAGCCAAGATCACACCACTGCACACCAGCCTAGGTGACACAGCCAGACTCCATCTCAAAAAATAATAATAAATGCTAAAGACAAAATTGGGAGAAAAGAGCAGTAACAAGAATTTATACAATATGATACTGCTTGTATTAAAAAAAAATTTAAACAGAACAATATCATATGTTTGCAGGCACCTATGCATATAGTAAAAGTAGAAAAATAGGCATGTGAAGGATACACACCAATTTCGTTATAGCAGTGGCCTCTGGAGAAGGGAATAAGATCGACTGAGGAGCAGTCTGAAGCATACATAACAAATGCTAACATTTTTACCTGCGTAGAAGATAGTACACAGATGTCTTAAATGTACTATTCTGTACTTACCTGTATATGAAAATTCATGATCTAAAATTTAAAATGAAAAGAATAAAACTAAAGTTCAGTACCTAATAGCCTTGCTCACTTTTCTGATTGGTCTTGTAGTGCTTTACTCTTAAAGATACATATATCCACCTCCTCCATTAATGACTGAAGAATTTAAAATTCAGAGATGAGATTTGCTTTTGGTCATGCCTGGATTCTGGAGCTGAGGACTCAAAAGCCCTGACTACCAGACAAGGTGTTTCTCAACCATTAGACAGGTGGCTGGAACATAAGTGAATTTCTCTTGCTTTGTGAATTACCTGTGACCTAGTTAAATTTCCAGGAAGGGTCTCAGGTAGGGAGCAGGTAGAGATTTAAAGGAAATCTGTTCTGTCATCTGTTGATTTCTCTATTACAGTTCATCTTCTGTAAGATGAGGGTGTATATATATATATGTATATAGTTAAAGAGAGAGAGAGAGAAAGAGAGAGAGAGAGAGAGAGTATGTGTGTATGTAGAAAAGGATATTATTTTTATTTCTCTCCTTTTTAACAGACAGAGTCTCATTCTGTTACCCCAGGCTGGAGTGCAGTGACATGATCATAGCTTACTAAAGCCTCAAACTTCTAAGCTCAAATGATCCTTCCACCTCAGCCTCCCAAGTAACTAGGACTTGGAGGTTGATCCCAGCCTGATCTAGTAAAAGGCATGTGCCACTACACCTGGCTAATGTTTAAACTTTTTGTAGAGAAGGGGTCATGCTATGTCGCCCAGACTAGTCTCAAACTCCTGGCCTCAAGCAATCCTCCTGCCTCAGCGTCCCAAAGTGCTGAGATTATAATTCTATCAGTGTGAGCCACCACACATGGCCAGCATTTTTATTTCTCATAAGCTTTCTGCATTTTGTATTGAGAGGCTGCTCTTAGCAAAGTTAGATTTTCCTGGGTACAACAGCCCTTTGGCAATCATAGCTGTTCTCTAGATGTTTTTTGTTTTTGTTTTTGTTTTTGTTTTTTTTGTAGCGTCTACCTAGTGGCTGTAGGCAGGAATCTAAACTTCTATACCCTTTGAGGAAACAGCAGGGAGAGAATGAACTGGTTCCAATCCTGAAGAGCCATCCAGCAGCCCTTGCCCTGGTTTCCTGAACAGCACAACAATCTTTCCTCTGAGTTTCAGGAGTTGTGTTGCCCTCCTCTTCCCTTAGAGATAGAATAGTTCCTGGTCGGGTTGACAAAGCAGGAGTCACAACCCTGAGAAACAGGAGTGGTGAGATTAAGCTGTCTGTGCTCCAGTCCTCCTCCTGGCCACACCAAATGTTGAAGGCTGCCTTCTCTGCTGCAGCAGTCAGCTGGCAGGAGGAGGACAGGTTTGATGGTTTAATCACCCAGGGACACAAGTGGCTATTTTTAACTGCTCTGAAAAGGAGGAAGCTGGCTTTAGATTGAATTGGACACAGGAATGTGTTAGAAGCTTCAGCTCTTTCATGCCACCCTCTCTACCTTGGGCCCCTTCTTTAAGGATCTCCCGAATGTGACTGTTAATGTTCTTTCCTGCCACAGAATTGTATAGTTACACTGAGAGCCTGGAATTCACCAATAACAGGAGGTGCTTTGAAGAAGATTTCAAGACTCAAGGTAATTCCAGATCTTTACTCACAGAAACCTGCTTTTTCCTTCTATGATATCCCAGCCTGATCTAGTAAAAGGCTAAAACAAAATATGATCCTTCATCCCCTCTGTATTAGTTAGGGTTCTCTTAGAGTGACAGAACTAATAGGATAGATAAAAATATATGTATAAAGGGGAGTTTATTAAGTATTAAGTTACACAATCACAAGTTCCCACAATATGCTGTCTGCAAGTTGAGGAGCAAGGAGAGCTAGTCTGAGTCCCAAAACTGAAGAACTTGGAGTCCGATGTTCAAGGATGGGAAGCATCCAGCATAAGAGAAAGATGTGGGCTGGGAGGCTGGGCCCATCTCTCCTTTTCATGTTTTTCTGCCTGTTTTATGTTTGCTGTCAGCTGATTAGAGTGTGCCCACCAGATTAAGGATGGATCTGCCTTCCCCAGCCCACTGACTCAAATGTTTATCTCTTTTGGCAACACCCTCACAGACACACCCAGGACCAATACTTTGTATCCTTCAATCCAATCAAGTTGACACTCAGTATTAACCATCACAAGTCCACCCTTGTCAACTTAAACTCACACACATCTCCTGAGATTATACATAATCTTCAAATATAGAAAATAATAAGGTCATAATTACGCCCAGCATAATACACCTGGAAATGCACCAATCCCCAACCCAAATGCTATTAAGTAAAATTAACAATACTTAAATGCTGATATGAAGTCAATAAATCTTATGTCACATGATAAAGGAGAAAGGAAATCAAATGAAGATATTTTTTTAGTACAAGTGTATACATGCACATTTTTTTTTACAAAAGAAGGAAGAAATACTCATGACAACCTCATTTTTGCAGCTGGTCATGTGGTCATAGCTGGTATTGATGACTACCTTCTTCTACTACCCATTCTGTATTCCCTTTGCCTTCAGCAAGCATCTCAGCAGATCGTGGTTTTTTCCTAGTGGAGTGACCCAAACCTTCATTCCTGAAGGGTCTGGGTCATTTGTAGTCCTGCCTGGATTGGGCTGTTGTAGTGTCCCATTGACCTTAATCACAGGGCATGGTAATACTAAGAGATTTCCTAATGGATCTCCTGTATTCCACACATACTCTTCCTTACCTCCATTGTGGAGTAGTAGACTGATTTCATCTTAATAGTCTGGGTCAGTCACCCCAGACAACACTGTAACTCCCTTCTTAGCCTGTTGACTTAAAGGTAGGAGGAGCCCAAAGTGTCCAGGTGGCAATCTTAACTTCCAGTTTAATAATGTTGTTGTGTCTCCTGGTGGCAGTGTTCTTCCCTTTGGAGCTAAAACTTCTAGGCCAGCAGAACATAGTGTCATAGGAAGAGGAAGCAAAAATTTTGCTAGTAGATCACTAGGGGTGATGGTTAGTGGTGCCACTTCTATTTCCACCCCTTGATTCCTGGACTGGTAAATCCTGATTATGGGAGAAATAGTACCATATATTGGATGTTGATTCAGAGCATACATACACAGCATTCTAGAGGACTTTGCCCCAGCCCTGCAAAGTCTTGTTACCTAGTTGGTGTTGTAATTGTGATCTCAAAAGGGCATTCCACTGTTCAGTCAATCCAGCTGTTTCAGAATAATGGGGAACATGGTAAGACCAGTGAATTCCATGAGCATGAGCCCACTGCCATACTTCTTTAGCTGTAAAGTGAGTGCGTTGGTCAGAGGCAATGCTGTGTGGAATACCATGATGGTGGATGAGGCATTCCATGAGTCCATGGATGGTAGTCTTGGCAGAAGCATTGCTTGCAGAATAGGCAAACCCATATCTGGAGTAAGTGTCTATTCCAGTGAGGACAAATCTCTGCTCTTTCCATGATGGAAGATGTCCAGTATAATAACCTGCCACCAGGTGCCTGGCTGATCACACCAAAGAATGGTGCCTTATCAAGGGCTCAGTGTTGGTCTTTGCTGCTGGTAAGTTAGGCACTCAGCAGGGGCCGTAGCCAGGTCAGCCTTGGTAAGTGGAAGTCCATGTTGCTGAGCCCATGCATAACCTCCATCCCTGCCACCATGGCTACTTTGTTTATGGGCCCACTGGGTGATGCCAGGGGTGGCTGGGGAAAGAGGCTGAGTGTCCACAGAACAGGTCATTCTATCCACTTGATTATTAAACTCCTCCTCTGCTGAAGTCATCCACTGGTGAGCATTCACATGGGATACAAATATTTTCAGTTTTTGACCACTCAGAGAGGTCCATCACATACTTCTTTCGCAAATTTCTTTGTCACCAATTTTTCAATCACGCTTCTTTCAAGTGCCTGACTATCCAGCCAAACCATTGGCTACAGCCTATGAATTAGTATTTAATCGCACATCTGGCCATTTATCCTTCCATGCAAAGTGCACAACCAGGTACACTGCTCAAAGTTCTGCCCACTGGGAAGATTTCCCTTCACCACTGTCCTTTAGGGATATCCTAGAAAGGGGCTATAGTACTGCAGCTTTCCACTGTCAGGTGGTGCCTGCATATGGTGCAGAACCATCTGTGAACCAGGCCCTAGTCTTCTCTTCCTCTGTCAACTGATCATAAGGAACTCCCCATGAGCCCATTGAAGCAGGCTGGGGGAAAGAAGACAGAGTGGCAGGACTGGAGACCATGGGTATTTGAGCCATTTTCTCATGTAATTTACTTGTGCCTTCAGGACCTGCTTGAGCCCGATCGTATATATACCACTTCCATTTGATGATGGAATGCTACTGTGCATGACTTATTTTATGGCTTGGTGGGTCAGAAAGCACCCAGTTCATGATAGGCAATTCAGGTCACATGGTGACTTGATAAATGTTCAGTTTCTGCCAAAGACCAGTAGCAGGTCAAGAGCTGTCTCTCAAAAAGAAAGTAGTTATCTGCAGAAGACGGCAGGGCCTTGGTCTAAAATCCTAGAGGCCTCTGCTGTGATTCACCTATAGAGGCCTGCCAAATGCTCTAAACAGCATCCCCATCTGCCACTGACACCTCAAACACCATTGAATCTGCTGGGTCATACGGCCCAACTTCCAGAGCAACTTGCACAGCAGCCTGGACCTGTTGCAGAGCCTTCTCCTATTCTGGAAGCCCTTTGGGTCACTCGATAAATGGGCTGGAGTAACACACCCAAATGAGGAATGTGTTACCTCCAAAATCCAAATAGGCCCACTAGGCATTGTGTGTCTTTCTTGGTTGTAGGAGGGGCCAAATGAAGCAACTTATCCTTTACCTTAGAAGGAATATCTCGACAGGCCCCACAGCACTGGACCCCTAGGAATTTTACTGAGGTAGAAGGTCCCTGAATTTTAATCAGATTTATTTCCCATCTTCTGGCACACAAATGTCTCACCAATACGTCCAATGTGTTTGCTACTTCTTGCTCACTCGATCTAATCAGCATAATGTGATCAATGTAATGGACCAGTGTGATATCTTGTGGAAACAAAAAGCGATCAAGGTCTCTCTGAATAAGATTATGACTCAAAGCCAGAGAGTTGATATACCCCTGAGGTAGGACAGTAAAGGTATATTGCTGGCCTTGCCAGCTGGAGGCAAATTGGTTCTGGTGGGCCTTGTGGACAGGAATGGAGAAAAAGGTATTTGCCAAGTAGGTGGTCACATACCAGGTACCAGGAGATGTGTTAATTTGCTCAAGCAGTGAAACCACATCTGGTACAGCAACTGCAATTGGAGTCACCCCTTGGTTAAGCTTATGATAATCCATTGTCATTCTCCAAGATTCAGCTATCTTCTGCAGAGGCCAAATGCGACAGTTGAACAGGGACTCACCACCCCTGTGTCTTTCAAGTCCTTGATGATGGTACTAATGTCCGCAATCCCTCCAGGGATGTGCTGTGTTTTTCATTTACTATTTTTCTAGGTAGAGGTAGCTCTAATGGCTTCCATTTGTCCTTTCCCACCATAGTAACTCTCACTCTATCAGTCAGGGACCCAATGTGGGGGTTCTGCCAGCGACTAAGAACATCTATGCCAATTATGCATTCTGGCACTGGGGAAATGACCACAGGATGAGTCCATGGACACACTGTAAGTTGGACCTGAGCTAAAGCTCCATGAATTACCTGACCTCCTTAATAAGCCCCTACTTTAACTGGAGGACCACAGCGATGTTTTGGGTCCCCTGTAATCAATATCAGCTCAGAGCTAGTATCCAGTAATCCCTGAAATAGCTAATCATTTCCTTTTCCCAGGGCACAGTTACCCTGTAAAAGGCCAGCAGTATCCTTGAGGAAGGATGGGAGAAAGATTCTCTGCATAAATTATTGGTAATATAGAGCAATTATGGGGATCTTCATAGATGCAGGTGCTGCCTTCACAAATCTGTTTTGCAAGGCATTGGTCAAGGGTGTATCTTCTGGACCCTCCCAGCTGAGATGAGTAGCTCTAAAGTGACTAATCTACTCCACCATCCCAGTCTCCCTAAGCCTTTGGATCCCTTCCTCTACATTAAACCAAGGGAGACCAGGCATTGCCAGCTTGCTTACAGTGGGCCATCTTTTAATCCATATTTCAGCTAAGCAAATAAACTATTAGAACCTTTTATAACTCCCTAAGCTGCAACATTAAATGCAGAGTCCCTGTTTACTGGGCCTAAATTAATAAATTCAGCCTGATCCAACTCTGTCTTCCTTCCTCCATTGTCTCATACCCTTTATATCCATTCCTATGCCTGTTCTCCAGATTTCTGTTTATATAAATTAGAGGACTCAAATAGTTCTTTTCGAGTGTAGCAAACCTCTTCATGGGTCACACTCTCAACCTCACCTCTAGGGGCCTACCAGGACTTTCATCTAGTTATAGGTCTAGAAGCAAACAAAGATGTTGAGGGTGGCTTCTGAGGAGGATCAACATTATCTTGCCTGGCAACTGTTTCAGGGCAACTGCCGTCACTGTTGCTTCAGGCAGCACAGGGTTTGTCTCCTCAGACAAAGGTGTTTCCACCTGACAGCAGCATGGGTCTGGGAGGAGATATTGCCACTGGTAGGGATGGGGAAGCTGTTCATTCTGGCAAAAAAGGTTAATCAGAGTTTACAAACTCAGTGTCCCCAGCTTCACCAGGGTCCTCCCACATGTCCCCATTCCAAGTTTCAGGGTCCCATTCTTTTCCAATAAATGCCCTCACTTTAACAGTAGACATCTGACAAGTATGTAAATGCATCTTTCATTGCAGGTCAGCCATTTACATAATAAGAACTTGTGTCTGTTCCACAATTTCAGCTCTTTCTCTACAGGAGATAAGACTCTCACTCAGGGCAACCTTAGCAGATTTGAGGTTCAGTATCTGCTTCTGAAGCTGGGAGATAGAATCCCTGAGTTCATCATTTCCTTTCATCACTTTGTCCACTGAACTTAGGAGCAACCAAACAGCTTCCTTATGTTCCTTGGTTCTCCACATATGGTCAAAGGTATTATGTGTAGTTACTAAACTCCTTGCCTCTCACAAGTGGTGAATCGAGAGTGTCAAATGCATTTATTTTGCGTAACTCTCTAAACAGTTTCCTCCAAGGACTACCGGTGTTCTTATACTATTAGAAGTAAAGTCCTTAGCATTTTTGGATCTAATCATATTAAGCAGCCAACTCCAGAAACCCCAAAACCTCTAGAACCACTCCTGGTACCCAAATCTGTATTAGTCAGGGTTCTCTTAGAGGGACAGAACTAATATATATATATGTATATACATAAAGGGGAGTTTATTAAGTATTAATTTACACTATCACAAGGTCTAGATCTGGATCTCCTTGCTCCTCAGCTTGCAGACAGCCTAGCTGAGGAGCAAGGAGATCCAGTCCAAGTCCCAAAACCGAAGAACTTGGAGTCCGATGTTCTAGGGCAGGAAGCATCCAGCATGGGAGAAAGATGTAGGCTGGAAGGCTAGGCCCATCTCTCCTTTTCATGTTTTTCTGCCTGCTTTATATTTGCTGGCAGCTGATTAGATTGTGCCCACCAGATTAAGGGTAGATCTGCCATTCCCAGCCCATTGACTCAAATGTTAATCTCTTGGCAACACCCTTAGAGACACACCCAGGATCAATATTTTGTATCCTTCAATCCAATCAAGTTGTTACTCAGTATTAAGCATCCCACCCTCCATAACCATATAGTCTTTCCTTTTTGCTTATGGGATATAGGATTCTCTGTATCTCAAGTGGAGAGCAAAGCATGAGAAACTGGTGCTGTGCTGCCTGATAGAACCCTTGACCTTAGTGTTCCACCTCTATCTTCAACTCTGCCCTACTCAGTAGTAATTTCATGGGCCCACGCTGTGACATTCTCAGACATTCTCGTCCATTTTCTTATTTGGTCAGTGGCAATTCAATTTTCAGTTCAGTAATGTATGGTGAATATCTGTTCTGTGTCAGATACTGGAGGCAGGGTGAGAGGCAGCTTTTACAAAGAAGTTATAGTTTGAGAGCAGAGGAGAGATGTACACATCACAGAACTAGCTGAGGCTCAAGCAATCCTCCTACTCCAGCCTCCCAAGTAGCTACAATTACAGGCATGTGCCACTATGCCCATCTTCTGCCCAAGGGCCTTCTCTGTAGCCTGTACGGGGCTGCCAGGAAGGGTAGGAAATCAGTGTGCTCTTCTAGTTTAGCCCCCCACCCCCCGCCATCCAGGAGGAAAATGCTGTGTCAGAAAAGTTTTAAAAGTGTCTTGGAAGCAGAGTATTTGACTGGAGGATTTATTGAAAAAGGTCATTTTATATTGGGCATGTAAGAGTAGGAAAGAGGTCATTTTGTGTTGGGTCTGTAAGGATGACTAGGAATTGAATGTGTAGGGGAACAGAGGGAATTCTTTGAGGAAAGGCAGAGAGACAGGCAAAGATAGGCAGTGTGTGGAGGACAGAGGGGATATTGAAGATGAGGCTATAGACAGGGTTCAGTCCAGAACGTTTTGGGTCCTTTTCCCATCCCTTATTCTTTCTCAGCGAAATAAGGAAAGCTTTTGGAGAAAATAATTTTGGGGGGCACTGAGATCAGAGGTGGGTATGCTATGAGGAGCCTTTCCAGGGATAGTGGCAGTAGCTGACACTGGTTGTATTTGGCCTTTTATTCCCAGTGCAGGGCAAGGAATGGCTGGAGTTAGAAGAAGATGCCCAAAAGGCCTATATAATGGGACTCTTGGACCGGCTGGAGGTGGTCAGTAGGGAACAGCGACTGAAGGTGGCCCGGGCTGTTCTCTACCTGGCCCAAGGTGAGTGACCAACCTTGATAGTTTCAGAGGGGTGGAGGATAGAGAGGGAAGTGGAAGTGGCATTATCAGGACTGAGATGAGGCAGGCTGTGCTGGGAAAGCAAGGTTTCTTGCCTCTCAAGGACAGATCTTGTCATGTGCTAGGAGTAATCTGTGCTTATAAGGAAGATTAGATAGTGTTGAGTGCTGTTCTCGATCCCTTGGGATCTACCTTTATCTTACCAGGCATGTCAGAATTTTTTTATAGGATTCTTCTTTTCCCTACCCTGTACTATAATCATATGTGAATACTAGCAAAGAGGATCAGTGTGGCCAGAGCTGCTGCTGTACCACCAGCTGATCATGGAGACAATACATCAACTGTGGCCTGGCCCCAAAACTGAGGAGAAATAGGAAAGTGTCATAAATACACATGGACCCCTTGCATTGTTTCTCATTGGCATTTTGAAAGTTCAAGCCAACATAGCTGCAGGAGTGGATGCTGTGAGTAATTTGGAGATGATCAGAACTAAATAGAGTAATTGGGGAAAGCATCCCAGAAGAAACCCTAGCCAGGTGTTGGAGAGGGAAATGAGATAGCCCAGCTGGAGCAGTGAAAATAAGCACTTCAATCATACATAATGAGGCTTGTTAATAGAACCAACCAGTTGGGAACTAAACAAAAAAATTGTAAAAGAAAAAAATAATAAATGAAGAGGGGAAATGGTGGACATTGGGTGAAGAGAAGACTAGCAAATAGGACTGTGTCCTCTTGTATCTCTTGGGTCTGGTGCTCTGGCCAACTTCCAACTGTAATTACCTTCATATGTTTGCCCAAGAACTTTATATATATATTTAAGGTTTTTAAAACAAAGTCTCACTATGTTGCCCTGGCTGGTTGAACTCATAGGCTTGAGCTGTTCTTCTGCCCCAGCCTCCCAAGTAGCTAGGATTATAGGCATGTGCCACCATGCCCAGCTTCTGCCCAAGGGCCTTCTCTGCAGCCCATACAGTGCAGCCAGGAAGTATAGGGAATCAGTGTGCTTCTCTACTTTAGCACCCCTTATCCAGTGACTGACAGGAGTTAATAGATGGATAGCCTGACTATCTCACCCCTCTTGGATAGAATAACTGTGAGTTGTGTGTTTTATACTGTTTCCAAAGTTATCCCTGAGTGAACTTTTTTGGCTTCCTTTTCTTCCCTGTCTCTACTGATGATTCCTGGGAACAGTTCCCAAATAAGCTACTTACACTGGAATCCTTACTTACCTCAGAATCTGCTTCTGGGAGAGCCCCCCTTAAGATGACAAGCCATTGATGAGCACATTGGACCTAACCATGGAGACTACCTCTCCTCTCCCCTGACTCATTCCAGGAAGTTCTTGGGGTCCCTGTCATATCTATGTCAGCCTAATTATTGGGCAGAGTATTATAGGAAAATCTGAAGATCATGGTGCAGGGTAGAAAGAACTGGGATACTGCTACCCCTCAACCCCTGTAACAACTGTCTGGTCCTTTAGGTACTTTTGGGGAATGTGATTCAGAGGTGGATGTGCTACACTGGTCCAGGTACAACTGCTTCCTGCTGTATCAGATGGGGACCTTCTCCACCTTCCTGGAGCTACTCCACATGGAAATTGAGTGAGAAGCCTTAGGGGAAGGGCTGACCTAGACAACCCCCATTCCTTAAAGGGGCCTCAGGTTCTATGCTGGTTCCCTCACTATAGAGACCCCCTGTGAGGAACTGGGTCTACTCTCACCTCAGCCCAGAGCTCATTGACAGTTAGCATCCAGCCATGTTCTCTGATACTCTGTTCTCCCTCCCGGAGGTTAGATACATCTGTGTAGCTTCTGCCTCACTTACAGCTTTAATCCTGGGCTTCAGGGGCCTATCCTGAGTGGGTTCTCTTTATTCAAGGACTTTCTTAGCTTAGCCTAATTCTGGAATTCAAGAGGGAAACTGTTTTGAGTGCATGACCCAAGAAAGACAGGAAATCAATTTTTTCCTGTCGCTGTGCCCATTTCTTTCCCTCATGGGCTATAGTTCTAGAGGTGGCCTTATTTGCTGCTACCACTACAGTGACCTCTTGTTTTGTCTCATGTCCATCACCCAGGAGTTTGAGATAGGGTACAGTCTGCTTATTATTCATCAGGTGTTTCTTAGCATCTGTTTTATGTCCAGCACAGTACTAAGCATAGTGGGGAATGCAAGAGGCATGGATACCACAGATCCTGCCCTTGCCTGTCTTCATTATAGGTAAGAGTTTGCTAAGGTGGCAGGGGAATTTTGTCGGCTCCTTTACCCTAGACTAGTTTCATTAGTGGCTGCCTAGCTAGGGAATGGCAGGCACTCATGTTTGTGTGTGTGATAAGTAAGAGCACAGAGAGAAAAGAGGCCTTATCATTCCGTTCTTTTTTTCCTCCCGATGGCAGCAACAGCCAGGCCTGTAGCAGTGCCCTTCGGAAACCAGCTGTCTCCATAGCTGACAGCACAGAGCTCCGGTGAGTGGGGCTGACTATGGGCTTAGAACGGGGCGGATGATTAACACCTGGGTTACCTTTTCCCCAAATTGCAGATAACTCAGACAATTAGGAAGTTGCCCTCTATCTAATCTCACTGGGTTGGGCTCCCACAGAGACCATCCCTGAGGGCTCTGACTGTGGGCTGGGAATTGCCTTGGGAACCTCTTGTGACTCTTCTGTAACCCCAGGGTGCTGCTGAGTGTTATGTACCTAATGGTGGAAAATATTCGCCTGGAGCGAGAGACAGACCCCTGTGGGTGGAGGACAGCCCGGGAGACCTTCCGCACTGAATTAAGTAAGAAATGGCACTTGTGGAAGGTGTGGATGGGGTGCTAAAAGGGAGAAGGGAAGCAGAGCATCTGCCTAGGAGAGGCAGACAGTCCTTTTTCCTTTTGTTTTCTTTTTTAAAATTAATATCCTTTCTTTTAGGACAGAGATACTGCATGGCAGGCATGAGGGCTGGGCTTGATTGCTCCTCTGTATCTATGAGCTAGGTCCAGTCATGTAACTTCTTTATGCCTTGGTTTCCTTGGTTATAAGTGGGGATAGCCATTTCTCTCCCACTCCATCATGAATCCTACATGAAAAAAATGAATCACCTTGAAAACAGAGTTCTATTCAAATGTAAGTTGGTGTTGTCATCTGAGAGGGATAGGATATGAAGACCTATGGGATTTTAAAAATATATTTATTGATGTGGTAAAGTGAATTACACTGAGTTTTTTATCCAGAAAGCAATGTCTTCATTATTGTTACTTCTAGTTTGGCATTTACCCCCAAAGCATCACCCTAAGCTCTGGGACCTAACACATTTTAATTCCATGTCCTCCCTTCCTGCCCTTGAAGGGCTTCCTTCTGGGGGCTAAGCCTCCTTCTCAGGACCAAGTACTCTGGAATTCTTCAGGGGAGGTGAGTGCCTTCCTCTGTGTGTCCAGAATCAGGTTTACAGGAACAAGGTTTTAGCTGCCTCATTCTTACTTTCTGACTCCACTCTCTCCTCACTCCTAGGCTTCTTCATGCATAATGAGGAGCCTTTTGCCCTTCTACTCTTCTCCATGGTTACCAAGTTCTGCAGTGGCCTGGCTCCTCACTTCCCCATAAAGAAGGTCCTGCTCCTGCTCTGGAAGGTGGTCATGGTGAGTGATTCTCCCCACTCCCACATTATAAGATCAGCAATGCCCTATGCCGCCTCAGTGTCTTCTATTCTTATTCCAGGAGGCTTGAGCCAGGGAGCAGAATAGAGCAGCCTTTAGCCAACTGCTAATACGGAGGGGCAACAAGGCTGTCCTAGAGACATCAGATATTCTGTTAGAAAAGGTTTCGTGTTCCTTATTTATTTATTTTACTTCTTTTTTTGTTTTTTTGTTTTTTGTTTGTTTGTTTTTTATTTAGGTTTCGTGTTTCTATTGGATGAATAGGAGATGCTACTCCATAAACTGGGGGTGTCAGTGCTAACTTCTCTTGATAAAGCCAATGTTTGATGGAAAGAACACTGGTTGAAAGTTGGTAGATCTGGTCTTTGCTGATGCTGAGAAACTTTGGGCAACTCTCTGAGCCTCAATTTCTCTAGCTATAAAAGGTTGGGGTGAGTGCCTGCCATCCCTCCAGATAAACAGAGGATTTGTATTATATTTTTTAATAAAAATTACTTTTTTTTTGTACAGTCAGGTCTCCTTGTGTTGCTCAGGCTGGTCTTGAACTCCTGGTCTCAAGCAATCCTTTTACCTTGGCTTCCTAAAATGTTGGGATTATAGGCATGAGCCACTGGGCCAGACCAGGATTTGCTTTTTTTTTTTTTAAATAGTGAAATTCTTATAAATATGTGCCTGTAGTTTTGTTACTACTTACTCAGCCTCCTTCATCTCTGGCTCCCATCTCCCAAGGCAGGCCTAATAGGAGGAACCACATATTGACTGCAGAGGAAATTGAGTGACTCTGGGGGTTTATAGTATCTGGATGTGTTCCTCAAAAAAGGAGATAGTTTCCTATTTTTTTTTTTTTTTTTTTTTGAGGAGGCACCCAGGAATCTCTTTCCTAACTTCTGGTTATGTTTCCCATACTGGGGTAGTAAATAATGCTTTGTCCTGGCCCCTGAGCTCCTCAGTTGCTGTGGGGATTGTAACCACATTTGCCTCTTCCTGCTTTACTGCTTCCTTATTAAGGAGAAGGTCTGAAGGGACTGGGGGTTGTGGCTCTTTCTTTTCATCCATGTTTCCCTGACCTTGGCTCTCTGTTACTTCCCTCCCTTCCTCTCTCTTTGCCCCTTTTCTGTTTCTGCCTTAGTTTACCCTAGGTGGATTCGAGCATCTGCAGACTCTCAAAGTACAGAAGCGGGCAGAATTGGGCCTACCTCCACTGGCTGAAGACAGTATCCAGGTGGTGAAGAGCATGCGTGCTGCCTCCCCACCTTCTTACACTCTTGACCTGGGGGAATCTCAGCTGGCACCTCCACCCTCCAAGCTGCGAGGCCGCCGTGGCTCTCGAAGGGTATGGACTGAAGCAAACAGTGGTACTGTGACACTGACTGGCCAAAAATCAAGATTCTAAGCTACTCTGGGTATGGTAGGAAAAGGCAGTAAATGGGCTCATCCTGCCCAGGTTTGCCCGATGACCAACCTGAAACCTTAGAGTCTCTACTTTGGCCTCTATCCCCCAGCCCTGACAGCCCCTGGGCTGTTGTGATGTAACACTGTGATATCACATTGTATAGCCATGTCTTGTTACAGAATCATTGGCCTGGACCTCAGTGGCTAGAGTTTCTTACATTCTGAACAACAATTAAGGGTATAATCCTGGGGATAGGGACCTAGGGCACCTGAAGAGGGCTCCAAGAAAATCCATTTTTCTGGGATGTAAGGCATTTTACTATTTTGAGATAGCAAGAGGGTTTACTGTCAGCTAGCCACATTCTTAACCAGCCCTGAAACCAAAGGCTTACATTTAAGAGATGACTGGGTAGGGTTCTATGTATATAGCTATGTGACACTTAGTGACAGGGATACAATCTAAAATATGTGTCATGGAGTTTTGTCACTGAGCAAACATCATAGAGTGTACTTACACAAACCTGAATGGCATAGCCTACTGCATACCTAGGCATATAGCCTATTGCTCCTAGACTACCAACCTGCACAGAAGGTTACTATTCTGAAAACCATATGCAATTGTAACCTAATGGTGTTTGTGTATCTCAACCTAGAAAAGGGCACCGTAAAAATACAGTATTGTAATCTTATGGATCCACAATTATATATGCAGTCCATTGTTGACTGAAGCATCATTGTGCAGCACATAACTATAGTCTGCTGTCCTGAAAAGGTCAGAATGACAAGTTATAGTGAGACCTGACTTTGTTCTTACAAACTGCCCTGCTGCCAGTTTATCAACAGGGCTAGACAGTAGTGCTCAGTAATCCAGTCTCTATTATCTGCAATGCAATTTTTTAACCTTTATTTTTGTTTTATAAAGTAATGCTTACTCATTGTAGAAAATTTGGAACAAATATAAAAATGTGACGAAGGGAGAAAAGAAAAATCACCCACAATCTTAACAACCAGAGACAGTCACTGTTAACTTTTTGGCTTATTTCTGTCCAATCTTCTTTTATTTGTGACAAGATTTAAAATTCCAAACTTGCTTCCCTCTGCCTAGCAGTAAGCTTCTGTCCTCCTCTTCCTCAGTCCGCCAGCTGGTGTATTTTCACAGAAGGCAAACTAATTGAATGTTCACCTAAGCAGAGCATAATTAGGAAGGAAAGTGCTGGCAAAAAAAAAAAAAAAGGCATCAGTGCTTTCTGAAAACTAAGTAACTGTGACTTTGGGATTATCTATGCTTTGTTCTCTGGCTAATGGCATGGTTGCCTGAGAACTTCTTGTCCTGTTATTGGGCCCAGTGGGGACAGTAGGGTTGAGATACAGAATGGGATATTTTCACAAGGGCTGTTTTTAGATTCCATGTTCCCTGAAATCTGGAGGCCTGTGGATATGAGGTGGCCTCAGACAAGGATGCCCAGAGTGAGATCTCTGCATGCCTACTCTCCCTTCTTTCCCCTCCAGCAACTCCTTACTAAGCAGGACAGCCTGGACATCTACAATGAAAGGGATCTCTTCAAGACTGAGGAGCCAGCCGCAGAGGAGGAAGAGGAGTCTGCTGGTGATGGAGAAAGAACCTTGGATGGAGAGTTAGACCTGCTAGAGCAGGACCCTCTGGTGCCACCTCCACCCTCACAGGCACCCCTCTCTGCTGAGCGGGTGGCTTTTCCCAAGGGCCTGCCCTGGGCCCCAAAGGTCAGGTAGGTTTAATAGCATCAGGGTCCCCTATGCTTTGAGGTTTCAGTCACCAAAAGCCCAAGATGGAGTAGTCTATGTATTCAAGACTCGTTAAGTTAGCCTGAGTTTGAAATTCTGTCTGTTGATTGCTACCTTTCTCCAGTGCTCCTGTCCTCTGATTTGGAGGGGCAGGAGCCCAGAAAGATTCTCTCTCTCAAAGTTTGCTTTTCTTCCCTTTTCTGGGATTGGTCTTTCCATCATCCTCTCAGACAGAAGGACATTGAGCACTTCTTGGAGATGAGCAGGAACAAGTTCATCGGATTCACCCTGGGCCAGTAAGTGACTGAATGGTTGGAACTGGCTATAGAGTGGTTCCTAGGGGGCCAGGTAGCTTGTAATGAGGAATGGTGGGTGCCTTGTAGTCATAATGCAACCTAGAGCACCCAGGCCGTGGACAACTCCTAGTAATGACTTTGGGTTCTTTCTATGGACTTTTTTTCCTTGAGTTTCTTCCACTTTTACTCGAAGAACTTTTGTGTTTTCAGCCAACTGTAGGACTTGGAGCAACAAATAATTTCTCTTTTGGGCCTTAATTGTTTCATGATGTTGTTGGATTAGGTGTTTCTATGGCCTCTTCCTGCTCTAATGGGCTAAAATTCTGTGAAGAAGAGACATGGTCAGAATAGATCCCATCTTCCCTCATTTCCCTATCCACATGAATCCTTTCCATTGGCCTCCTGAAAATTGAGGCTTTCTTAGTGGGGTTTCAGAGTCAAGGTGTCATTGGGGTATATATTCTTTGAAGTAGGAACCTACCACTCCCACACCAAGTGAGTACCCAAAAGACTATAAAAATCTCCTGATTTCTAGGAACATTTCTGTGTACCATTATTATTTTTGTGTCCTGAAGCATTGACTGGGGACCTGCTAGCTTGCAGAGGAAGATCCAGGGTACTGGGGGTAGAGGTTGTTGAAAGTAGCACGGTCCATGTGACTCTAGGGGAGTATTGGGGTATCAGCAGTTCTCTGTACTTTGGAAGCTTATGATCTTGTATGTCTGGCCTTTTACAGGGACACAGATACATTGGTTGGATTACCCAGGCCCATCCATGAGAGTGTGAAGACCCTAAAGCAGGTGACCAGGGTGGGCTCGCAGTATTCAGGGATAAGGAGCCATCAAGTCAGGTCAGATTACCAGGCTCCTGGACACTGGGTAGAGCTCTTATACCAAACTCTTTCTGGACCTTCTGCATTTCCCCTGCACTCCTTTTGACCAAACAGGAAAAATTAGGTCTCTCCCTACTTACTCGGTTTCCTATATTCAGATAGATTTTTAAATTCTCCATTCTTCCTCTCATTTCTTTTTCCTCTTCCTTCTTCTCTCTCTCTTCCCATTCCTTGCTTCTTTTCCTTTCTCTTCTCTCTCTCAGTAAGTCCATTAACTTCCAAAGGCCCAGGGTTGAGTAGGACCCTGCTCTGTATCCATTGTGCTTGGAGTCATCACTCCGTCCTACATGCACACACATTAAAACTCTCAGGGCAGTGGTCCAGGGGCAGGGGACTATTTCTGCTTCCCCTTACACTTTGTTTGAAGGTAAATGCTTAGGTATTTGCTGCTCTTCGGCAAATATAGAAACAGAATAAACAGAAACACTGTGCAGAAAACATTTGTGGTGATGATGCAGAGGTGATTAAGACTCCTGCCTTGAAAAAGTTTATGTCTATAGGGGGTGACAAACCCATTAGCAGAACATTTCCTTGCCTTTGGGCAATTTAAGTAAGAGACTGGTACACATGTAAATTAGGCTCTCAGCCCTTGTTGATATCTCCTTATCTTGTCAGCACAAGTATATCTCCATCGCAGATGTGCAGATCAAGAATGAAGAGGAGCTGGAGAAATGCCCTATGTCTTTGGTGAGCCAAGGAGGTCCTGCACAGGAGGAGGGTAGAAGAAAGTCTGCCTGCTGTGCTGTCACAGAGCATGTGTGCATGCATTCATTCAGCATATTAGGCTCTAACTGTGTCCCAGGCAAGACAAGGTCCCTGCTTTCAGGATATATTGAAGTTGGGAAAGAAAGATTAAAAAAACGAAAGTTAAGTAAACCAAACTCTCAGAGAATGGCAGATACAATGAAGAAAATTTAAACAGGATGACATGAAAGAAGCATCAGTAGACTACTTAAGATTGGGCAGTCAGAGTAGGTAGAGCCTCTGAGATGGTGACATTTAAGCCAAGATCTGAGGGACGGAGCCAGCCGTAGGAACATCAGGGGAAAGAGCATTCCAGAGAGAACAGCCTTAGTAAGGGGAAAGCAGGCTTAGAGTGTCAGAGGTAATGAAAGAAGGCCGCTGTGGCTGGACCACAGGGCTGAGGGCCTGGATCCTAGAGGTGGAGTCAGAGGGGTGGCCTCAGGCCACTTTGCAGAGGACCTGTAAGCAAAGGTAGGGAGCTCGAAGTTGACTCCATCAAATAGAAGGAAGCTTTTGGAGATTTTAAGCAGGGGAGTGACATGATCTGATTTATGTTTTTAAAAACATTAGCTTCTATGTAAAGATTGGACCAGGAAAGCATAGAAGAAGCACTCAAGGGAGATTAGCAAGGAAACCCTTGAAATAGTCAAGGTGAGAGATGATGCTGACCTGAATTTGGAGGTACAGCTGACAAGATTTGCAGTGCATTTGGATGTGGATAGAGAGAAAAAGAGAGGAATCAAGAATAAGTACCACTTGCCAGGATGTGGAGGGAATATCAAGAGTTCTGTTTTGGTCATACTAAGTTTAGATGCCCATTAGAATGTGGAGCTGCAGGCCATTGGAAATATAAGTCTAGAATTCTAGGAAGAGGGCTGGCTTTGAGAAATAAATTTGAGAGTTGCTTGTAGCACTTATAGGCAGTGTTAATTAAAGGCCATAGAACTGGCTGAGATAACCCAGAGAGGGAGTAGAGACAAAGCAGAGGATGGAACACAGGCAAAGCCCTGGGGCACACCAGCATGTTGGGTGGGGAGGGATGTGTCAGAAATGGAGCCAGAAGAGTACGAGAAAGACAGTGAAGTGGCTGGAAATCCAAGAGATTATGATAGCATCATAAAAGCTAAGAAAAGAAAGTCAAGAAAAAAGGAGTGATCTGCCAGGTAAAATGCTACCAATAAGTGGCATGTGGTAAGAACAAAGGTGCCCATTGGATTTGGCAACATGAAGATAGTGACCTTGATAAGAGCAACTCTAAGTGAAGTAGTGGAACCAAAAGCCTAATTGGAGTGTGTTGAAGGGAATGCCAAGAAAGGAAAAGTTTTGTGAAGAGGAGAAAGAAAGTAGACGGTAGCTGAAGGAGAATGTGAGGTCAAGGGAAGGATGTTTTATAGATGAGAGATACTAGAGCATTTTTTTATGTCCTAAAATAAATGATCCAAGAGAGGGGACAATTTTAGGACCTAGGCATTCAACAAAGCAAATGGGTGTGAGATCCTGAGCACCAGTAGGAGACTGGCGTTTGTTAGAAGCACAGGCAGTTCATCCATCATGTCAAGAGGAAGGAATAAGATTCTTTATAGATTTGGTGTTGAGAAGATGAGTGTCTGCCTGTCTGATTACTTCTGTTTTCTCCATGAAGTGTGAGGCAGTGTCAGCAACTGTTTAGGAATGATGGGGCAAAGGAATTGGTTTGAGGAGAAGGAAGACGGTATGAAATCAGCCTTCTGGAGAGCAGGAAGGCAGACATGCCAGGATTGCCAGGCTCTGTTGAATGTCCATTTAGGATTTATGTCAATTTAAGCAGCAGATGAATTATGTGGGACAGAAGGAGCCTGGTTATTCTTCCCTGCCTCAGAGTCTTATGGCAGTGACCCTTTGCCCTGTAATAGAGGGACCTTATGGGAGAAGGGGAATTGCACTGGTGAAAGATGACAGTGACCTGAGCAGCCTATTGGGCTCTTGAGGCTGATAAAGGGCTTAGTTAATGTCATCAATGGGACAGAAATACTTGTATATGGGGGAGCGTTTCAGAAAGGAGAAAGTGATGTAGGGGCCAATGGAGAGGGGAAGAAAATCATTTCTGTCCACTTAAAAGCGTCTTTGCTAATATTCCTTCCTGTTTCTCCAGGCCATAGGTTACCCAACTTCCATTTAAACCCTCACTGTTGAGCCACCTACCTCTCCTTCCAGCCTCAGATTGACACCATGGGAAGTGCTTCTATATGGAGCATCTGTTCCAGTATCCCAGGTCCTAAGAGGTCATCCAGGCCAGCCTGATGGTCCTATTGAAGAGTAAACTAGGACTCAGAGAATGAATGTGACTTATCTAAGGATGTACAGTGAGTCATTAACAGAGCTAGGGTAGGAACCTAGATCTGACTCCCAGCTTAGTGCTCTTTTCAGGTCACCCTTCACAACCAAGAAAATAAAGCCTTTGGCCACCTGGAAAGTGGCCTTGGCAAATCATGTATTTCTTGTCATAGGGGGAAGAGGTGGTACCAGAGACGCCATGTGAAATTCTGTACCAGGGAATGCTGTACAGCCTCCCCCAGTATATGGTAAGGAGGTGGCTAGGCCAGAACTGCCTTTCTCTGCTGCAAGGAACAGACAGCTAAAAACCATTTCAAGCCGATCCATCCAACACTTGAGCTTGTTTCCTGAGCCTGTGCCCATTTGGCAAGGCATTCTCTGACATGAAACTTCTGACTTTCCTCAGTACTCCTCTGATGGTACTGTTCTCTCTAGTCCTTCTTTGGGAGAGGTGGGGAATAAGTTGAGTTTCTCTACAGGATACATTGGGGACCCTCCTCCGAGATAAGTACTGTAGACCCTTTGATATCTGCTGTGGTCTGTCATGTCCTAGATAGCCTCAGGCTGGGGGGTGGGGAAGATGCCAATGGTTTGGGTTAGAGGAAGGAAAAGAGTGGGAGAAGTTGGGCTTATGCCTCTCACCTTATTTCTACACACTGTCCCTCTCATTCTGTTCTGTCCATATTCCCCTTTGAAAAGAACAGTCTTTTTTTTAATTTATTTTTTTGAGGCAGAGTCTCACTTTATTGCCTAGGCTGGAGTGCAGTGGCATGATCTTGGCTCACTGCAACCTCCACCTCCCGGGTTCAAGTGATTCTCCTGCCTCAGCCTCTCAAATAGCTGGGATTACAGGTATGTGACACCACACCAGCTAATTTTTGTATTTTTAGTAGAGACGGGATTGCGCCATTTTGGCCAGGCTGGTCTTGAACTTCTGACCTCAAGTGATCTGCCTGTCTCAGCCTCTGAAAGTGCTGGGATTACAGGCATCAGCCACCAGGCCAGGCCCTGGAAAGAACAGTCTTGAAGCAGAACAGCCAATGAGCTCCCTCTGGCTTTCTCTTTATCCTCACGGGCAGGCCTCTCAGGACTGGGCACCTGATTGGTCTTCTGGATGCTAGAGAGATATGGTCATTGAGGGAAGAACTTAGAGAATGGCTTTAAAACACTTTTCACAGGGATGTTAAGATGTGGAAGAACCACTGCCTTGCTGAGTGGGTTGGACAGTGGTGGATTTCTTTATTTTCTACTTTCCAGATCGCTCTGCTTAAGATTCTGCTGGCTGCAGCTCCCACCTCCAAGGCTAAGACAGATTCTATCAATATCCTGGCAGATGTCCTACCTGAGGAGATGCCGTGAGTGCTTCAATGGGGGCAGCTGCTGGATACTAGCTGTCTTATCTGCAGGGTCTCTCTAGTCCCCACTCACCTTGTTAATACTTACAGAGATTGTCTCCAAAGAGATCTCCCCCTCTCTCCACACCTGTACCCCCTTTCCCCTACAGGGCTTTCTGCTTGGCTCTTTTTAGCTCAGAACTCAGGATCTGGAGGGTGATATGAGTGCCAGTGACTGGCTGCCCAGATATATGGGTGAACATTCCCAAGGGATGAACTTGCCAAAAGAGAGAGACAGAAACAAAGAAATCAGTGGAATATTTCTTCAGACAGGCTGATAAGTGGTAACTCTGGAGGTTTCCCTGGCACAGAAGTTCAAGTTTTCCAAGTTTTGGCTCTCATGTGTACATTGTATCAGACCCAAATACCTGGATCCCTACAGGGCTCCCTTTAAGGCCACTCTCTGCGCTAATACCTTCTCTCCCCATTGTAGCATCACTGTTCTCCAGAGCATGAAGCTGGGCATTGATGTGAACAGGCACAAGGAGATTATTGTAAAGAGTATCTCTACCCTGCTTCTGCTACTCCTCAAACACTTCAAACTCAACCATATCTACCAGGTGAGCAGCTAGCAGCTCTTCTCCACAGGTCTTGGATGTTTTCCAGGCCCTATCTTTCAAAGGAAGGATACGAGGGCCCTTATAATCCTGACGAGCATCTTTCAGCCTTTTCTTTGCCCTTCCTCAGAGAATCTGGCCACCCATTAGTGTTATGGAGTGGGAACTGTCCTAGAAAGGTACAGATGTCTGTGTCCCTTGTAAGTTATCCCAGGGTTATGGATAGGAATCTCTAGGTTCTCAAGAATATGCCCAGCCAGTTTTTGAAACAATGCAAGAGAGAGTGCAAACATTTCACACAAATGGGGGGAAAAGTATGTTGACCATACTTTTCTATATGTGAAGCACTTTTCTGACATTTGAGGTATATTCTGAATAAGGCACAGTTCTGTCTCTTTGGGGCCTTGAAATCTTGTAAAGGATACAGATATATAAGTAACCAATTATAGTGAGATAAGTGCTCTGATACAGGTAAGCACTGATTGCTATGCAAACACCTGATTCAGCTTGAGGTGGAGAAGAAATGACTTCTAACCTGAGTCCTAAAAAAACAGATGCTAGCCACGATATGAGAATTGTTAGGGAAGGAGGACAGGAGGCATTTCAAGCAGAAAAGTTAATATGCAAAAGTCCAGAGGGGGAAGAGAGAGAGAGAGCAAAGTACCTTTAGAAACTAATTAAATGTTGCTGGAGTTCTGCCTGGGGTGGGGAAAGATGAGCATGGCCTGGTGATACATGAAGCTGAAGGGATCAGCAGGGAGCAGATCATAATCTATATGCTAGCACACAATTACTGAGCACCTGTCCTGTGCCCAGCACCCTGTTAAGCTTATTTAGGCCCTCATTCTCTCCACCCTATGAAGTAGTCTTATTTAATACCTCTTTTATAAATGATGAAATCGAAGCTAAGAAAAGTTAAGAAGCTGCTTTCCCATAAAACATTGTTTGCCATGCTAAGGAGTTTGGACTTGGTTTCATGGCGTTGCCAATATATAAGGACAAGATGGGGACAGCAAATGGATGCTCCTGTCTGTGAGGAGACCACAGGGAGAATAGGAATGCTTCTCATTCTTGCCTAGAGGCTCCACCCCATTTTCCTCCTAAGAAGTCAGAATCAAGCTTGCTGGTAGAAGAGCAGGTCCTCAGAGTACAGAGAGGCTCCTGCAGGGTCTATGTCATGGCCCTATCAACCAGGGTATTTTTCCATTTTCATACCTTCAAAGACATCTTTGGGTATGTTCGGTTGCCCTCGGTGCTCCCACTTTTGCCAGTGTTTGCTGAGTAGCAGCAGGGCTGGGAGGAATAGGGGTAGGTAGGAGATAATGTTTCTAGTGTAAAGAGAACAGAGAACTGTGGATGTGTGTTTACTTCTGCTTATCTTGGTGGGAAGTATGTGGATTCATAGCTAGACAGGTGGGTGGCTTGATGGGCCTTGGCAGTGTGTCAGTGAATCCTGACAGGGCCACAGGCACATCTCAAACTAAAAAAAGTTTTCCATCAGTTAATACTGGATATGTATTGGCTCTTCTGTCTGGGGCTTTGGAAAATACACTGGATTTTATAAATATATAACCTTACAGGGAGAAAATATTGAGCAGAAGAGGGAAGTGGTCTTGTCATAAGCTGACTCCCCTGCTCTAATTACATACCCAGGATCATTAGGCAGCTTAGCTTGCTGCTTGGCTACTTGTTGGTGATCAGAGAGCTGAGGATTTAAAACACCACAGTTCTCTGCTTTTTCAACCTCATTTCTATACTGTCCCAGCACACTAGGTTCTGGATCTGGAGTTAAACTGTGTTTGACACTCCTTAGTGTGTCATGGGTAACAAAAACGCCATGACACTGCTCTTATAGCTACTTGCCCCACTAAGTTATCCCGTACACAAACCACATGTGGATTGGAGAGATGTGGAGAATGGAGTCTCCACGTTCTGATATTTAGCCCATGAAAGACACCTTAGACTTCTCAGTGCAGTATCTGTTGGCTGAAGGGCTCTTGTGCATTCATTAAAATACTTACTAATATTCTTTTTCCCCTTCTCCAAGTGGCCAGTATACTTACTGATATTCTAAGTACTAAGAAGAATATGGTGTGCCAGACAGACTGGAGCTGGAGCCCAGTGGTTCATTTGGTTATTATATGCTGTCCCCATCCTGACAGAGCGATGACAGCAGTTGCCAAGAGTAGGCTGCAGCTGTCCCTGCTATATCAATCACAGTTGAAACATTTTGAGCCAGAGGTTTGGTATGGAAACCATCTCCCTCAGGGAGCCTTCCTTTCCTGTTGGGCTTAGGAACAAATCTCATAGCAATTCTTTCTCTTTATTGGAGTAGGATTTTATTTTCTGGCTTCTTCTTTTTGTGCTTGTGACATATACTGCAGATTATCCCCTTCCATGTAGAATGGGCTGGCTGAAGATGATTCTTCCCATTTCCCAGACAGGAAGACTGATAACACAAGTGGATAGTAGATATTCTCAGGAATGGATATTAGATTTGTACTTCTCTTTTTTTCAAACATTCTTCTCCAAATTAGCAGCCCTTTCTGCTTTGATTTTTAATTCAGTTTGAATATGTATCGCAACATTTGGTATTTGCCAACTGCATCCCCTTGATCCTGAAGTTCTTCAATCAAAATATCTTGTCATACATCACTGCCAAAAACAGGTATGGACTCTGGACAGGTTTATTTCAAGGGGCTTTTTTGGGGTGGTTGAGAAAATTACATTATCTCCAAGCCTTTCAGTTTTCCTGATGTCCCTAGTCCCTCCTGTCTTAGAGCTGTTACTGTTAAATTTAATTTAAAAGTGTTAGCTAATAGAGTATGTAGTTTGCCTTCTTTGGGGAGGTATTTGTATTTGAATAGTTTTGAACACTGAAAAATGTTATGACTTAAAGAAATGAAGTGGCAATTATGAATTTTTAGCTTTGTGTCAGGCAGATGCAGGGGTTGTTCTTTGTGAAACAACCTGCTTGTCTGGCCAGGCCTTATTTTAGTGTAAATCATAAATTGGAGCAATTGGAACAGTTATGCTGCTCCGTAAACTGTAATGTGTTATACAAAATTTGTAAATGAAAGTAGATAATAGAATTTACTGAGGTACATCAACTTGTAGTTTAAAAAAATAAGGCATTTCACATTCATTATTTAATCTCCTCAGCAATGCTAAGAGTTGTTTTAAGTTTTATTCTCATTTTGCTGATTAGGAGACAAATTCAGAGATGTTACTGACTTGATCAAAATTAACATGTTGGTGAGACCCCTTAAGTAAGCATCCGAGACAGGATCAGAACACAGGCTTCTGTGTTAATACAAATTGCTTTCCATTCCTCCAGCCAAGCAGGGACTTGGGGATTACAGAGCAGATCCTTGTTCCTTAATATTGTACTTTCACAAGAACTGGAAATGTGTTAATCAGTAGAGTTTACCAGAGGCAAAATTCCTAAAGTAGAAGTAAGAGGGCTAATCTCACACTTGGGGTGACTAGAGATACTGCCACACTAGTCTGTCAGTACTACCTGAAATCCCACCATGGAGATGCAGCATACTTATAGGTAGCTTAAAACACACACATACACTCCCATGGAACCTGAAGTCATGAGACCTGTATTCGTGACCTGGATCTGCCACTTACTAGTTATGTAATCTCAAGCAAGACACTGTTTCTCTGAACCACAGTATTTTCATCTTTAAAATGAGAATACCTCTTCTGACTATAATCATAGAATGTTATAAACATTAGTTAATATTAGTATATGTAAGATTGCTTTAAACACTTTATCTTGGGGGTAAGCATTGGAGGATGAGTTTTTCCTAACTACGTGGAGACCTGTGCACTGACCCCTTTAAAAATGGCACTTCAGATGTGCTACTTGAGTTACCAGGGAAAATGAAAGTACAGGTTAGGCTATGTCAGGGCCATGACTGCATGCAGACACCTATGTGTATCAATTAACACTCTTGATTAAAGGTAACCAAAACTAGCTGCACTAGACTCATGCAGAATAGTCACTTTGTCAGAAGGAAATGACATGTGTCATCTTGAGGAACCTAGGACAGCAATGCAGCTCTGGACCTCTGGGTTGGCCTGCAGTGTGGGGAGCCCAGAAAGCCTTCCACTTCTATCTGTAAGACACCAGGCCTCTGTATTTCCACTCCAGTTTCCTCTCTCACGGACAAATTTATCAGTCTGCTTTGTTTGCTTATCAGGCTGCTTGGTGAAATATGTCCATATGAGCTAAACATGCCTTGCCTCAGAGACTGAATTGACTCTCTAATTCCTGTTCCAGATTCCCTGGGTTAGAGGTTCACTCCTAGATCAACTGTGGCTAGGGGAGTGGTATACAGAAACCGAATGCTCCTTCTGCACCCATGGACCTAGAGTGGGAGGGACAGACAATTCAATAGATGTCCATTTGGTTCAATTGGAGTTAGAAGAGTGGTAGCAACAGACTACACCTTTTGCTAGGTTGGCCTGAACAAGATGGTTCTCTTATGTCCCACCTTCAAGTTTTACTTCTGAATGATCTCTGAGAACTTGGAGCACTCATAGCTCATTATTGCAGAAATGTCTTATCGCTCTTACAATTTAGATGTTCTAGATACTTGCAAATTAATTTTATGCCCCCTTAGGCTAGATTTCAGTTCACTAAGAGAATGGAACAAATTCATCTTTGATTTCCCACCCCCATTTCCTGGTTGCCAGCACCTGCTTTGACACAGGGCTTCGTCAGTGGGAGGTGGGTGGATAGGTAAATGAGCCAGCCAAGAATGTTCATCCTAATGGAGCAGTATCGAACTGGCAACCCTGGGAAAATCTAATAGAGTGAACGAAGATGATGAACAACATTACAGATCGTTTCACAGTATCCTCTCCCAAGCTGACACTTCTCTCCTACCCTGGTCCCCCAGGTTATCTTTGTCTGAATATCTTGGACAAAGGTAAACATTTCTGGCCAAATAAATTGTTGCCTTTTACTTGTGTAGAAATTTTGACTTTTAAAATGTAGAGGCAGGTTCAAGGAACCCCATACTCGTCTTTATAGCCACTGCTTTGCCAATCGATTTCCAACTGCACTAATTCAGATAGATTGGTGTTCCAAACCAAATAGAATGTCAGAACCAGAAGGAGTATTAGAGATTAGCTAGTCCATATTCTGTATTGTGTCCATAAAGAAGGGAGAAGAGGAAAGAGAGAGCTGTCATTTATTTTGTTACTGTGTCCTTGTCATAATACAGTGCCTTATTTCCCCTCTTGACTCATGCCTGCTTCCCTGAACTCACCACAGAGCTTGTAGCCTGCAGTCCCCCACTGTCAGCTATTACCATTCTTGAGTTACTAGATTAGCCTTACTATAGGAAGCGGCCCCTTTCTCAAGCTTCCTTTAGGAGTGGCTTCTATAATCATTCCTCAGAGCTCCCAGCTTTACAAAAGACCTGGTGAGAGACACAGGAGGATCATTTCATCCTCACATCCTCAGATTGTTATCAAGTGGGATGGGTTTGGGCAGTGTCTGTGAGAGCACAGTTATATTCACACATACAGTTAAATGCAGAAACACAAATGCACTCAAGTTTATGTATTCCTTTAAAAAAGCAAGGAGCACTAAGAAAAGAGGTTCTCTCTCTGCTTTCTTTTGCATCTGCCAGATGGGGGCCAGCCTCAAAGAACTCATTGGTTCCTCTCATGACAGGAAAGGAGACTGGAGCCAGAGTTGCCTGACACCAGAGCCCTCAGTTTCAGCTGTGGTCGCTAAGCAATTTGGGAAATGTGTAGGGACTGCTGGAGAGAAATAACTCCTGCCTTTTCAGATACAGCCAACTCCTGCTGTTGCCATTTACCTAAAGCCTGTCCTTATCTCTGCATCTTGCAGCATCTCAGTCTTGGATTACCCATGCTGTACCATCCAGGATTTGCCAGAGCTTACGACCGAAAGTCTGGTAAGCAGATGGGGATTTGGTAGCCTTTGAAACTGCTAGGTGGCAGAGGCTGGCATTTGCTCTTTCATTTCTTCTCCCACCCCTTAATGCCCTGGTTTGAGAGTCTCAGATCAATGAAGGCATATTGGCAAGAACACACACAGATGCAGCAGGGGTTTAGAGTTGTTGACCCAGTTGAGAAAGATCTGGAAAAGCTTAGCATAGCATTTTTCAGAGAAGAGGAAAGAGCCAGTGAAAAACACTAAGGAGGAGAGGGAATTTAGAAAGATAGTGGGACTGAAATTCAGTGTGAATATCTATGCTAATAGATATTATTCTTTAATGCAAGAGACTCTCTGCTGGTCCAGCACAAATAATTATCTGTCCTCTTTCTGCTGTGCTACAGGCGGTTTACTTCTTATTTCCATATAGGTTATAAAACCTAGCAATGTGTACTTGAGAAAACACCTTGTCTAAGTCTCTCGGAGGTACAACTCTATATTGCCACAAAAGGATAGCCCAGAAAGTTTCTCATCTTGAAAACAGCTCTAGGCAAATCAGAAAAGTCACTGAAAGTTATTCTGAATTCCATGAAACTGACCAACAGCCATACTGAAGATGAAGTATCTACCGCATCATGTATTGCCACAGCTCCTTAGATATGCCACAATCCATACCTCCAGCCTGTTGCATTGTAATTATGCATTTGGGTCTGTTTCTAAATTTGACTGTAGAATCCTTGAAGGAAGAGATAGCATCATCATTTTTATATCCTTAGAGTCTAGCACCTTGTCTGGTACATTGAAGAGCTCAATAAATGTTAAATGATTGAATCATGACACACACCAATGGGTACTACAACCCTTTGTTCTCCAATTGTAATTCCTGCAAAATGTGTAGTCAGAAAAGTATATTATGCAAAAAAGAATAATAACCTCTGTGGTACAGGTTTTATAGAACCATAGGATTCTTGGCTGGAGGGAACTTAAGAACCATTTGATCCAACCCCCTTGTTTCAAAGGTAAGAAACCTGAGGGCGCAGTGAATGAAGTGACAGAGCCTGAAATAGACATGAGTCAAAAGACCCATATCTTGAGACACCAACCTAGCACTCTTTTTTATCACTGGGATAGAGAGATTTTCTTCTTATTTAGATGTGACCTCAGCAACCAAAGAAGTTGGAAGCTTTTATTTCTACAGAGAAGTAATAAATTGTCTAACCCTCTTTATGTACACGATGCTATTCAGTCTTTTTAAAAATTTTTATTAAAAAAAATTTTTTTAGACCAGGCATGGTGGCTTACGCCTATAATCCCAGCACTTTGGGAGACCGAGGAGGGTGGATCATCTGAGGTCAGGAGTTCAAAACCAGCCTGACTAACATGGTGAAACCCCATCTCTACTAAATACAAAAAATTAGCTGGGCATGGTGGTGCATGACAGTAATCCCAGCTACTTGGGAGGCTGAGGCAGGAGATTCGCTTGAACCTGGGAGGTGGAGACTGCAGTGAGCAAAGATCATGCCATTGTACTCCAGCCTGAACAACAGGAGTGAAACTTAGTCTCAAAAAAAAATTTTTTTTTATTTTTTGCCCACACTACACAGATGTAGCTATTCAATCTTTGAAACAACTCTGTGAGGTTGGTATTACTATTTTACAGATGGAGAAGTTAAATAGCTACCAAGATCTTTCAGTTGAAAGGGGCAGTCAGGGTAGAGACATGCATCCCTGCTATTCAGAGTTGGAATGAAGAATACATTTTCCACGGAAACAGTGGTACACAGTAGCATTAAAATTCTGCTATTAGTAGGGTATTTCAGAAGATAAAGTCAACTTCTGTGGCCTGAATTTATTTCTTTATATAATATGTTCTCTATTTTCAGTTCCAACCCCATTGGCTCACATATAGGAATTGACAGGAACCACACTTTCACATCTCTCCCAATCGACCTTTGGGATATGTGCATAAAATTATTGAAATGAAGTGAACATAGTAAGTTATTATGTTTTCTAAGAAGATTTTATTATTATCCCAGAATGAAAGTATGTATTTATTCTTCCTAAAAATAGTCATGCTAGGTAATTTGCTTCTTTCCGTGAAGCAACAGTGGCACCTGGTGGTTTAGTTTAGTAACCACAGAGTTGTGGTTTTTTTTTTTTTTGCTTGAATTTTGAATGTAAGTGCTTCCCAGAGCCCAGTCATGGACTAGAGTAACTAGTGAGTCTACTCCACTTAGGTATATCTAAACTGGTGACTTCTATGCTCAGAAAAAGACTAATGTTCATATGAGTAAGATTTATCTTTTTTTTTCAGGCTTAACAAATTGCAAGCACAGAAAACGTACTGGATATTTAAATGTATAGGCTTTTCTCATTTTCTTTTATTTCTTTTTTTTTTTTTGAAAGAGTCTTGTTCTGTCACCCAGGCTGGAGTGCCGTGGTGCAATCTCAGCTCACTGTAACTTCCGCCTCCTGAGTCCAAGTGATTTTCCTGCCTCAGCCTCCCTAGTAGTGGGGAGTACAGGCACGTGCCACCATGCCTGGCTAATTTTTGTATTTTTAGTAGAGATGGGGTTTCACCATGTTGGCCAGACTGGTCTTGAACTCCTGCTCTCAGGTGATCCACCCTCCTCAGCCTCCCAAAGTGCTGGGATTATAGGCATGAGCTATCACGTCTAGCTATAGGATTTTCTTTAAGTAACTTTTGAAGTTTTTTTCCTAATAGTAAAATCAATAATATATATATTACAGAATGTTGGAGAAACAGAAAAGTATGAGGAAGAAAAGTACTCTTATGCCAGCTACAGATAGCCACTGTTAATATTTTGCTGCAATTATCATATATATATTCACTCATAAACACATTAACAAAACTAAGACTTTATACATAGATTTGACAGTAAAATTTAAATGCTCACAGTATAATTTTATTAAACATTCTAGAGGACAATTTTTCTTTTTTCTTTTTTGAAGACAGGGTGTTGCTTTATCACCCAGGCTGGAGTGCAGTGGCATGATTTTGGCTCACTGCAGCCTCAAGTTTCTGTGCTGAAGTGATCCTCATACCTCAGCCTCCGAAGTAGCTGGGTGTAGCTAGGACCACAGGCATGCCAGCATGCCAGGCTAATTTTTGTATTTTTAGTAGAGATGGGGGTCTCTGTGTTGCCCACACTGATCTCGAACTCCTGGGCTCAAGCAATCTGCCTTCCTTGGCCTCCCAAATTGCCATGGGATTATAGGCATTAGCCACCATGCCCAACTGAGGACATAATTTTTAATAGTTACATGTAATAGTCCACTGTTTAGTTTCAAAAAATGATTCTTCTCTGCTGTTGGTGGACATTATTTATGTTTTCCTTGTGTAATTCCAAAACGAATATCCTTGCACATGAATTTTTTTTTTTTTTTTTTTTTTTTTGAGACAGGGTCTCGCAATCATTCAAACTGGAGTGCAATGGTGCAATTATAGCTCCCAGGGTCAAATGATCCTGCTACCTCAGCCACCTAAGTACTATAGGCACACATCACTATGCCTCACTAATTTTTAAATTTTTTATTTTTTAATTATTTTTAGAGACAGGATCTCCCTATTTGCCCAAACTAGTCTCAAACTCCTGGGTTCAGTGGTTCTTGGCCTCTCAAAGTGCTGGGATTACAGGTGTGAGCCACTATGCCTTGGCCTCTTGAAGTGCTGGGATTACAGATGTGAGCCACTATGCCAGGCTACACATGAATCTTCTGTTATTTCCTTTAGATTCCTAGAAGTGGAATAATTGGGCTACAGTAGTTTTTTTTTTGAGACAGGGTTGCCCAAACTGGAGTGCAGTGGTGCAATCACTGCTCACTCCCAGGTTCAAGCAATTCTCCTGCCTCAGCCTCCCAAGTAGCTGGGATTACAGGCATACGCCATTTACACTCAGCTAATTTTTCTGTTTCTAGCAGAGGTGGGGTTTCACCATGTTGGCCAAGCTGGTCTTGAACTCCTGTCTCAAATGATCCACCCACCTGGGCCTCCCAAAGTGCTGGGATTACAGGCATGAGCCACTGTGCCCGGCCTGGGCTGAGGTAGTTTTGATTTATATTTTTTCAGTTTTCTGAATTTGAATTCAGTTCAGCTTCATTTGAAACTCTACGCAGCATGATGAACATGAAATAAAAGGTAGAGCTAATGGCATATTAATTTCTGAAGTCTTCCCATTTTGTCAAAGTAATTAGTTTTAGATAGGCCATCCTCACCAATATATTGAATAGTTTTTCCCCACCCATGTGGTACAGGAAGGCTAAAAATTTGTGGATCTCCAAATGTCTATATTCATATTCTATCCACTAAGCTAGGAAAAAATTGAAATAAAATTCCAAACTGAAATGAAAGATGGTGAACGTATAATTATGTGGAAGTTAAGTGTGGTCTTTGAAAGGAGGTTGCTGGAGAAGACAGTGGATGTGGGCTCAGCATGTATTTTGCAATGCTTAGCACCTGAATGGTTGTTGAGAGCAGTGGTATGAAATGTAGGCTATGCAGGTAATGCTTTGGGGGATGGAAAATATTAAATCTTTTATATATATTATATTGATATATTTGTTCTGTACTTATGTGTATTCTACAATGTTATTTTAAAGCTATGCATTTATAAGTAAACATACATGCGTTTCAGAGATACACTGTAAATATTACCACAAGTTATATATCCATTTTCCATGAGGTATTTATGCAAAGGAAGGACCATAGATAAAATTTTTTTAGCATTATATCAATTTTCCTTTGGTCACTATTTCTGTAATGGGTTCTTGGGAAGAGTAGAATCTCCAGGATGATTTTTCAAACTCACATACCCACGTATGTTAGTGCCCCTTACTGGGGCACTTGTAGTTTGCTAAACTTTGCCAAACTATCTTGAAATTTTCTTTTCTCCTTCCTCCTTATCCACTCATTTCATTGAGAACCATTATTCTCTTTTAAGCTATCTAGATCTAGGTCCTTAATCTAGCAGTAATTTATCACAAACCTATATGATAAGA